ACCCCTTGTAATTCGCTTGTATATTTACGTAACACCCACAATGTGACGCTGATATCGCATGACAGTTCATGTCGTGCCACGAACGGCTCAACTAGACTGCTCATTCGCGCATCCAATGCAATGCATACTCATTCTAACCAAAAAAATAAAAAACAAAAAAAAATATCCACAGAACTTCTAGCCTCCCTAGCAGGAATTTCGGGAACCCAGAATACCGGTACATCTGTGTGATTGTAAATTTCCTTCACACGTGGGTATTAGCGAGATGTCGCCTCCCGGATGCTTGGTTGCCACGGCCGGGAACGGTGGGTGGTTACATGTACATGTTGATACAGACCTCCCGTGATGAGAAGTCCGTCACATGCACGTATACCTCTTTCGAACACAGCGTGGTCTTTCAGGGATATTCTTGAATATGCCCGTACATGCACACTCACGTGCACGTGTTGGTGGTGAGAAATTAGATGGCAATGTAGGGCTCGCCGTTAAAGTTGTGGCAATAATCAACTGGTGGCATGCTATGGGGCTGGGTGGTATTCAGCTGCAGCTGCCACCCGCCCCCGCAAAAAAAATATAAGCAAGTACCCCCCTGATCAAGATACAAGATGGCCTCTCGTATCTGGAAGTCATAAAAGGAAGAGCATGCTAGGCTTAATTGCTGTTGGTGGATGTGAGAGCTCGGGGCAACTAAACTGTAGGAGCACACTGCCGACGTGGCAATGGGGCGTATCTGCTAATTTGCCTAATCGCATGGTATCTTTCATGAGTTGCATTGTCAAAATGCTGAGTCCCTCTTGGATTTACGAATGGGCCACTTCGGTCCGTGATCTGAAACATCGTTTGAGGGTCGGCTAGGGAAACCCTGTGCCAAAACAGCGTTGGTGAGCGCTCAAGCGCGAGTCGGATGTCAGTACGTGTAAGGCTAGGCCTATAAGTAGTCATGATCTGTTGAGATATCAACAATATACTATTATCCATGAAATGTACACGTAGGTACACAGGTTACTTGTAAAACGTAAATGCCTTAATCTGTTGTCTCGGTGGATAACCGATAATATTTCGCATGTTTTCGATGGGAACGTTATGATTAAGGTATTCATTAGATATAACTCACGGTAGTTAGTTGGGGCGTTCGGATGTTCCCACTTTGATCCTGGTCAGATTTGAAACATTTTGTGGGGAGATAACTGGCATTGGTCGTCGTAGATGCATTGTCTATTCACAAACATGGCTGGGGCGTCGCCGTATGTCGTATTTGCCTTTAGCAGTCGAAAATAGGTATTTGGAGCGAGAAGTGGGATATGCTGGTGAGAATAACTGATCTCGAATCCGACAGCTTTCTACTAATATGATATCTTTGGGTGCGAGCAATACAGTAATTGCCATACTAAAAAAAAAAAAAAGAAGCAGAGAAAGAAGAAGAAAGAAAGAAAGAAAGAATTGGAGTTAATAGATAGTATATTCCCTTTGAGTATATGGCTGAAAGTTTGAGGCAATTCGCACCTTCGATTATAGATAATGAAACGGAGTCTGTAAGTAATCCGTACGAAAGAGTGGATGCAGTGGGGCTACCGAAGCCAGAATCATGTAGTAGCGAGGGTATTTAGCGTCCGATCGTCGACAGCGCGAGCGGGTGCTCCGAGGCGAAATATGGACTAGTTTAGCTGATGAACTTAGTATGATCCTAGAGAACGGCCGTCAGCGCCTAAGCAAGTTGATATCAGCATTCACTACTCGTCACGACGACCATATCTGATATTGAAAGCACTCCGTCAACCGTTCCCTCGCATTGCATATCGGAGTTTTAATTTTATATAATACATTTCAGCCACGGCGCTGGAGCGAATAAGAAATTTAGGTCGATGACCTGGGTATGGAGAATGACCATCGGCCAAGTCCTAACTATTGATGTTTGATACTAGGAAGCTACTATTTGTATTATTATTACTATTATTTCTTGTTTTTAGAAAAAACAAGAGAATAATCGTCAAGTTTTAGTCTTGTGTCAAGATAGCCTTAGCTAACACATATTTGGGCGAAATCTCTGGTAGCGTTTATCCTAGTGTGGTCGTCGAGCGGATTTTGATATGTAGTATGTAAGTACTATGTAGACGGACGCGCCTTGAGAAAATCAATACCGGATGTAGATATATATGTGTCGCTAAGAACAAGTTAATAGTCTTCAAACACTAAGATAAATGGTGATATTTGGCGAGGGGAAAGAAAGTCACCTTCCAGCCTCGGGAACTATAAGCCAGAATCCTTCACGAGAGGAGCTGTGCAGCTTGTTGCATGTTGGTCGATCCGAGGCTTCTGCCTTAGCGATTATGGTTGCACTAAGGCCGTTCGCCAGCCGATAGGCTGTAGACAATACCGACTGTTCTGTTTACGGCAGATGTCTGGCTTCCGCGTGGTGCGTTTCTTTTCTTTTCTTCTTTCCCTTAAAAATAACATCACGCTTAGACAAACCCTCTTCACCTTTTTTTTTTTTGGGCCTTTGGCAAGGATCCTGTCTTCAGATTCAGAGTCGTCTCGACAAGCAGGATCTTAGAGACATTTTGTGGGGACAGTGTTTAGGGCGAACATGAAGGGTATGTAATAGTATGTCTCCAGTCCAAGCTTTTGGCATAAGCAATGCACCCGAACCAAAGTAGAGGTACTTTTACGGATTCGCTGGGACGATGTACGTGTACAAATCGTCCCTTCCATATCTCCACAAAAAGGAATAAAGTTGAGACAAGCGGGCATTTCTGTATTCAAACAATTCTTCCATTCCGACAAGGAGAATTTTCGAGAGGGATGCATCGATGGGCATATGTGTAAAATCGAGATGAATTTCCCACGCACAATCCACACCTGCCTGTTATATTCAAGCAGGTATGTATTAAGCCTTATCGCGTTTTGAAAAGTGTAGGTATTAAACGTGCTGCCTGATGCTCACAATCGCAATTGCCTCGTTCCCTGTCATCTTGACAGGCGAGCCTCCGGTTAGGTTTCGCACACGTTTTTTACTAGCGTTAGGCTATCGAATCGGGGAGAGGCGAGGGATAAGTGGGAAAAAAGCAAGGGAGAAGGACAAGGAAGAGCTTTATGGCTTGTGGGCACATTGTGCAGAGGGAGAGGGTGCCGTGCGCCTTTGGCTGGCCACTTTAAGGGATGTGTTTCCGATGTTTTGTTCGAGCTTCTAAAATAATACATCCGGCCTTCCCTTCTGTCTTTGTTTCGACGATAATATCTTCAGCTGAAGCTGGAACGGGGGAGGGCCTTAGCATACATACCTGTCTGTATTCACATAGACACTCACATTCTGGGCCGTGCAAGTCACCGAGGATCCCTTGATTCATAGCTAGTTTTCCGCAAGCTGTAGACACCTGCTTTCTGGTGTGCATTCCAACGTCATGGAATAGTGGCCGCCAGGAATCCTCTCCACCAAAGACCTCCGTGATAATTCTTTATATTTGGCGAATCTGTGGACGGATGGATGTATTGAGCCAAGCTAAGCAAACCCATACGTAGCCCAGAAAGCAAGCACGCACACAGAACAGTAAGAACGGTTTTGTTTCTGTTCTGCCTAGTGCTCATACATAGTGTAGGTGTGCTGCAGTTGGCGAGTCCACCCGCGCCAGGACGCTTCCATTTCCCTATCTTTGGCAAAACCATTAGTCTGGACCTCGATAACCAGCCGTGCCTCCCTCCCCTATTTCAGTACATAGCTAGAGGATTGGTTTAAAGTACTTAACTTAGCTTATCCACTGCATCCATCACCATTCATTGCATAGACGACACCTCTGTTTTAACACAACGGGTAGCGAATCGATTGATTGGATTGAACCGAATTGGATTGGATCGGGCTGAATTCGAGGAATATATACTGCTCGTTATTGTGTAGAGGACCTTAGCTAGGATCCTAGCTCCATCTATACAATAACCATCTGCCAAGTGCTGTTAATTAAGGGCATACTCTTTGGAGGTCCGGTCTTCGTGTTGCGAAAAAGGCGGGGGGGCTTTCTGGCCTGCTGAGGTCTTTCACAGCCAAAAAACAAAAAGGAGGTTTTCTCTTCCCCCCATTAAGTCCAGTCCTATCCACCCACCCATCACAGTTATCCTAAGGGATATCTATCTCATCGTCTTCTCTCCTCATCCTTCTCCTCTTCCTCGACATCGTCGGGTTCACTTCCCGCCCCACCAACCATCTCCACCCACCACCACCACCACCACCAACCATCATCACCACAACCACCACCACCACCATTATCATCGTCATCATCATCATCTCCAACGTCTATCCAATATATTTCTTCTCCGACAGACTACTCTCCTTGCATTCTATATATAAATTTAGTGTTCCATGTTTGCATTCATACATACATAAACTCACACCCACACACCCACACACAAACAGCATACTCCCGTAAATATCTGGGAGGCTTTTCCGACTTTGTTTGCTCGACATCGCCTGCTTCGGAACTCTTGTGCTAGCACCATCTCTCCGTAACTCCGGGTTTATTGGCCACTCTTCGGACTCCTCCTCTCACTAACGGAAGAACACTTATATTGTCTCCTCTGTATCTCGAATATTTCTGTTCTTCCCACCCCTCAGCTCTAACTCTCGAATTCATTTCCTCGAAACCTCCTGTATTCAACAGCAGCTGCATTTAGCGAATGGATTGTTCCCGACCGTTTACCTGGCCCGACAGGATCATCTGAGGCGACATCTGGACACTCGAATCACCACGAAGCGGCTGAAGCCCTTCCCCTTTATCGATTTCCCCGAAACCAATATTTTTCACCTTTCAATATATTTATATTTATATATATTTAAACCGACTCCGACCTGAAAGGTGTTTTTTCTTTTTTTTCCCCCCTCTTCCCTCTCTCCTACTCCCGAAGAGAAAATAAACTAGAAAACTATATTTCCTCGCTTCGCTTAAGAAAAAAAGCTTCTTTATTCTGTCGATACATACACCTGTTCTGATCTTTAGGATCGAACAGCATTCAGGATGATGGTGATGTCGAGCCAAACGGCTCACTTCCCGAGTAATGGTGGACAACAGCGACAGGCAGCACAGGTGCCTCGTGGGAGATTGCTAAATGGTAACGGTAGTTTTAGTGAGGGCAGAAGACCGAGATCGTCGAATCCGGTCGCTCCTGCTCACTCACCGTCTCCGCCAGCCATGTTCGTCCGAGCTTTGTACAATTACGCCGCCGATGACCCGACAAGCTTGAGTTTTCACCAGGGCGATGTTATTCAAGTTCTTACACAGCTGGAGAGTGGCTGGTGGGATGGTATTGTCAATGGACAACGTGGATGGTTCCCGAGTAACTACTGTGCCTTGGTTCCTAATAGCGACCTAAATGGTGATGAGAATTCCGGTACCCAGCTTGAAGGAGCCGATGAGGACGCCGAAGGCCAGGATTACGAAGATTATGAAGATACTGAATCGGATGAATCCGACGGTGATGGACAAGGAAGGGGCTCCCCACAATTACCCCTGGAAGGACAGGATCATGATGACGAGGCTGCTTTCTGGCTTCCCCAAGTGACCCCAGATGGTCGCTTGTATTACTTTAATACTTTGACAGGGGCGTCAAGAACAGAGCTTCCTCTGGAAACCCCAATCTCGTCAACGGAATCCGGACCTCGACTTCGCACGGAGTTTGCCGCTCCTGACTCGACCCGTCCTCCTCCGGAGCTTATGGCTGCCGGGTTGACTACCGACGAGGCTACAAATGGAGTAGATCACGATGATGGCGCTGATAACGAATCCCAGGGGGACGGAGAAATGCTCATGTTTGCTGTTCACAGCCCGGTCAGGGTATGGAAATCTCCAACAACAACAATCTTAACATCGGTTTAAGGTTGACCACGTTTTGCTGACATGATCATTAGGAAACGAATAATGCAACCACGCCAGACCGGACATCTGCACAGTCTGGCAAGGCTAATGGCCAGCGTGCGGGTGATGAGCCCATTTTGAACCGAGAGCTTTTTGGTGGAAATACTGCTGGTTATGATATTAACGCAGAGAACGAGGGTGAGTCAATTATTCTCTATAGTTGGATTTCTAATCAACTGTGTGATAGCGTCTGCGTCTCCTATACCTATGGTTCTTTATTTTATTTTATTTTGTTTTTTTTGCTAATATGACCGATCAAGATGCGAAATTAGACACTGTCACTTTCCATGACGACATTCTCCCAATCCCAGCGTCCTGGGACGCTCTTATCGAGGAAACGCAACATGCCATCGCAAGATACCGCCAGGCGATCATGCAAAGGCAACGTATGCAATATGTTTCACGAGCGGAAGATATTTCCGACATGCTTCGCCTGATTATCGGTGCTGGCTCTTCGACAACCGACAACCATTCTGGACAGCCGACAATTATTTCTTCGAATAAGGCCTTGCATCCACATTTCCGGCATTTCATGGCCGCTTTCTCAAAACTGGTTCTGTCGTCCCATGTTGCTAGCACGGATTGGCCACCAGCTGATGCTGAGGCTAAGTGCCTTGCTGAGGCTGATGAGGTGATGACTGGTGTCCTCGAATTTGCTAAGGTCGCACGTGCCCAGAAGGATGATGTTGTTCCACGACTGGGCCCTGGATTCGTTGTTGGAAGTCATATTGGAGGTAGTTGGTTTAGCAATGGCCTTGGCAACCCGAACTCTAAGCAATCTGTTATTTTCGGAGAACGTGATAGTCTCAGCGTCGCAACCACTCCGATTGACAGCCAATTGGTAGAGAGTCTGAGAGGTTTGCAAGCAGTCGTTGTTCCGGGTCTTAGGACTCTGGAAGATGCTCTGGAGACACCTGGGCCGGTTACGACGGTTCACCAACAAAACGTTGTCGGTGCGTTTGTAATCCACGCCGCGCAGACCTCTATGGAATCTATGCGTGCTTATTTCCATTTCCTGGAGAGTATCAATCTTGCCCCTCTTGCCTCCGGGGGTCGAAGCCCAACTCTGTTGGATTTCGCAATCACCAAACAGCGCTTGTATGACTCTTTTGCCGACTTGTTCATGGCCGTCCAATATGTCACAGCCGAGCTTGCAGATGAGTGGACAAGTTTCCAAGGCCTACCGCTTGAAGATAGACTTTCGGAGGTCCGTTCATATATCAGGGAGATTCAGCAAGGGATCCAGAGTCTTGTGTTCACGGCCGAGCATCTGGTTGAAGAATTCAACGAAAGAGCGGCCAAGGCACCAACAGAGGATGGGCACAAGCCATCACAATCTAGTCCTTCCACTGCGAAAGCTGCTAATGGTGGTAAGACCCCGGTCCAGGCGATTCCCACCCGGGGACGTGCTGGATCAACTGTTGGTGGACCTCTCATTCTCCAGAACTCGGATAAAATCCGACGTATCCTGGGTGATACGCCACTGGAAAAGGGTGTGCCAGCCAAGGAAGAGCCTTCCCCTCAAGAAAAAGTACCAGAACCAGACCCATGGTTCCTCGCTCCTGAAGTCGAGGATGAAAACGAAATACAGTACGCCGATAAAGAGAAGGCCACCATTCGAGGTGGTAAGCTCGAGTTGCTCGTCGTCAACCTCACAAGACACGATTCTTTGGATGCCGATTTCAACAATACTTTCCTTCTCACCTACAAGTCATTCACCACTGCTAGCCACTTGTTCGATCTCCTCACAGATCGCTTCAATATCCAGCCACCTAATAATCTCAATACTGCGGAATATAAACTATGGGCAGAACGTAAGCAGAAGCCTATCAGACTGCGTGTTCTTAACATCCTGAAGTCGTGGTTTGAAAACTTCTGGATGGAACCTAGAGGCGAGGCGGAGACGGAAATATTACAGCGTGTTCTCGATTTCGCGACGGCTGTGATGGCGCCCTCATTCCCTGGAGCTAACGTGTTGAAGAAACTCGTTGAGATGCGCATTCAAGGCCGTGATCCGGCATTCGAGAGGGTCATGATCCGGACAGATGGTGCCAAGCCTGCCCCGATTTACCCTAAGAACATGCGAAAGCTGAAGTTCTTAGATATTGATCCATTGGAGTTTGCTCGTCAATTGACTATCATTGAATCCAAGGCTTATACCAAGATCAAAGCAACCGAGTGCTTGGGCAAGGCATGGAGCAAACCTGCTCCTTCAGACTCGAGCCCGGATCCGGCGGAAAACGTTAAGGCCATGATTTTGAATTCTAATCAACTCACTAATTGGGTTGCGGAGATGATCTTGAACCAGCCTGAAGTGAAAAAACGTGTCGTTGTCATCAAACATTTTATTTCGGTGGCTGAGGTGTGTAAACATTTAATCTAATAGCCTTAAGTTCCCTGATACTAACTAGCTCCTAGAAATGTCGGTACCTCAACAATTTCTCAACATTGACTGCCATCATCTCGGCTCTGTCAACCTCTCCGATTCACAGATTGAAGAGAACTTGGGAACAGGTACCAACTCGTACGATTGGTATCTTGGAAAGCATGCGTACTCTTATGGGCACAACAAGAAATTTTGGTGACTATCGTGAAATGCTTCACCTTGTCAATCCGCCTTGTGTACCTTTCTTGGGTAAGCACTGCAATGTTTCCTATTTATCAGAACTGTATTCTAACAATGTCTAGGTGTTTATCTTACCGATCTTACCTTCATCGAAGACGGTAATCCGGATCTCATCAAGAGTACTGATCTTATCAACTTTGCCAAGAGAGCGAAGACTGCTGAGGTTATCCGAGAAATCCAGCAGTATCAGTCTGTACCATACGCTTTGGAGGCTGTAAAGCCACTGCAAGAGTATATTCTATCTAATATGCAAGCCGCCAAAGATGTACACGAGATGTACGAGGTTTCCATCCAGATAGAGCCAAGAGAACGGGAGGACGAGAAAATCGCACGATTACTCCAGGAGTCTGGATTCCTCTAGAGGAGGACGTTCCCACGGCCTTCGAGCGGTTATAATGACGCAAAGAACACGCTACGTAATTCGAACCCGGTTTAACGTAGATGTTCAGTATTTGTACAAACAAAAAATATACCCATCACATTACGACCAAAAAAACCATTTACAATCGCAAGAGATGTTTTCGGAACGGCATGATTTTCTGGGGTTTTCGGATCTGGTTACGACTCGCATTTCTCTTTACACCCATGATTCCACGGGCCCTCTTTTTTTAAACAAAATTCGGGAGCAAACAAGGTTGCTTTTGTCGATACACGGAGAACAGTACGAAGAAGCGCCAATGACTTTTTTTTTTTTTTTTTTACATGCTTGGAGATTATGGTGTTTCCTCAGCTTCATTACATCATGCGATTTTGCTTCATTTTGTTCCCGCTTCCCCAGAAACCTCCATTAACTCTTCGGCATAGCCTGCCATCGCTTAAGTTTACGAAGCCAGCAAAGTGACAGGTTTGTTTTTCACTTGGCCGGTCTGACCCTTCTGGGCGCCCGCACGGCGTTGCATGCATACACTTTTTAAACAGAGCCCGCATATGCACTGCATCCCGTCTACAGTTGTGTACATAGCGAAAACTTCCATTCTTTATGTGTATTTTGTTTCCTCACGATGGTACAAAACCACACAAACATTGTTGATTCTACTTGCGGCGCAGCATATGTATTCTCTATAGTCTTTACGATATCATTGCATACGTCGTTGACGTTTATTGTCCGGTACAAAAACTTTCATTTTTTCTTCTAGTATAACAACCCTTCATAGTGCTCTCTTCTATTGCATTGCTTCTTTACGACAGATATCACACCCACTGGCAGCTGTTGTTCTCCCCTCTCCCCGGGTTTTCTGCTTTTTCTATAGCTTACGGTTGTTATTCTGAGCTATTTGGCTAAGTATTCAATATTATGAATTTTCTTCTATCAAATCCTAAATTGCAAGAGTGTGATGTCGTATGCTTGAATTCCTGGGGGGTGAATAGGTTTAAAAGGATATAGTGACATGGAAATCCTTCATAGCATTTAATGAAGATATAGATCGATCTATGATTGGATCTTTCAGTATGAGCTATATATCTTTTTATAAATTAAAAATTAATTGCGGATTGAATCTGATCATGATTGAATCCCACTGTATGCGTATACGCGCCATGGAATTTACACCACTACATATACCTCCCACTTAACGTTACAACCCGCAGTGATCTACATCTAAAGCTGCATACGTACACTTCTTCATACCTCGCATTTCAAGTTTTTTCTCCACTGCTAGTTTCCGATCAACCATGTCGCTCGAAGCCATTATCCACGGGACATTCATCGATGCTCCAGCCGCACGATCTCTCAGAGTTCGCGAGAATGTTTTTGTAGTCGTTACAAACCACGGTGTGATTGGGCAGATATGTACGGAGGAGTCACATATTCGTGAAGAATTTAGGGGTTTACAGATCATTCAATTGGAGAAGACGCAGGCTATTGTGCCTGGACTGGTTGATTTGCATATTCAGTAGGCTACCATTTAGAAATATCCTATAGATATTCTTAATCTTCTTGAAGGACTTGGTTTTTTGCTAATTATATATGGTCCGGCGGTAGTGCTCCACAGTTCAAGGTCAGTATTTTATGATTTTATCCGGTATTTGCAACGCGGAAAATGCAACGTTCTGTTTGGGCACAGCATGGTTGATATCGAATGTCTGAGTTTAGCAATTGGGCACGAAGACGGATATACCATTGATGGAATGGCTTCAAAAGTAGGCTGTGTATATCCTTTATACATCGTCAAACCAGTTCTCTCAATACTAACGTTAGATTTTACCCCCCGGGTAAAATTACAAAATAAAAAGATACACCTTCCCCGCTGAATCCGCCTTCTCATCCCCAGCCCACGCCTCGAACGTCTACCCAAAGCTTCTTTCCCACCTAATTAAAAACGGTACAACCACAGCAGTTCTCTATGGTTCAAACCATCTATCTGCGACGAAGATACTAGCAGAGTCATGTGACAAAGCCGGTATTCGTGCTTTTGTGGGGAAAACTTGTGCGGATATGTTGACGCCTGAGTATTATGTTGAAACGACGGAGGGGAGTTTGAAGGATACGGAGGAGTTTGTGAAGTGGTGTTTTGAGAAGTGGGGGAGTGGAAGGGAGGGGAAGATTAGGCCCGTTGTTACGCCTAGGTTTGTATGTTTTATTGTCTTCCCTTTGTGCATTCCATCTTGTTTTTTGCTAGAGGGATGCTAATGAGGGTCTGGTATTTTGAAGATCCCAACTTGTTCTAAAGAGCTCTTGAAGGGATTGGGAGACATTGCACAAAAGTACGATTGCTTTGTGCAGAGCCATGCGGCAGAGTCTGTTGATGAGGAAGCGCTTGTTGAGAGTCAACATCCCGGTCAAAGAGATGTGGAGATATATCAAGAATCGGGCTTGCTAGGTAACAAAACGATTCTGGCTCATTGCTGTAGGCTGAAAGATTCCGAAGCTGGAGTGATGGAGAAAGTTGGTGCAACGGTAGTCAGTTGTCCGTAAGTACATACCTGCATTATCTAAGATCTACAAACACGTTAGGGTGTGGTATAGTTAACTTTTATTAATTTTCTGATGAATAGATGGTCAAATATTCTCTTCGCCCGTGCTACGGTTCCAATACCGCATTACAACTATTCATTTCCAAATCTCAAAATCGGATTGGGTACAGATATAGCCGGTGGATTTGGTACCATGCTAGATAACATGCGTACAGCAATCCTTCAGGATCGTATCGACTCCTTTGCCACCGTCAACCGGTCAAACATCACCACCGACTTGGATATTAAAAAGGAAAAATGGACCGTAGATTTCAAATATGCTTTTCACCTTGCTACGGCGAGTGGTGCGAAGGCACTGGGGATGGAGGATATGATAGGAACATTTGAAGAAGGAATGAGGTTTGATGCTTTACAATTAGATTTGGGACTTGATGGAGAAAATGGGGAGCATGCGAAGGCGATGCGGTTTACGAGGTTTGGGGATGAGAGTGTGGAAGAATTGTTTGAGAAGTGGGTTACTACTGGGGATGATAGGAATGTAGTGAAGGTTTGGGTCGATGGGGTCGATGTTTCGTGAAGGAAAAGTTGTCATCTTATAAATATCTTGGAGGGTATACGTATTGCAATATTGACTACATCCCGGTGCGATACAGGGCGAGAGCCAGGTAAATGATTATAGTAGTTTTTAATTCCGTACTTAGTTTTGTAGCATGAAAACCAAAGCACCAATTGAACTCCCCCATATGCACCATCCTCGATGATCAGCTAGTCGAGAACCGGGCCTCTCTAAGAGTTCTTGATCATATCAACCACGTCCCCCAAAATACTCGTCGGCTCAATTCCTCCAGTAATCTCAAACGGCCTCCCGCCTTGTTCACCAGACTGAATCATCTTCTCAATCATCTCCAAATCTGCCAATGCATTCTCCGGACTCAACCCTTCAACTCCTTTACCATTCTTCACCGATTCAACAAAAACCCTAACTTCCTTCTTAACCCCACTCCACTCATTCCTATCCCCTCCGAATTCCGTCCACTCCTCCGGCATCTCCAATTGTTTTACTACTACCTTTGGACCGTCTGAAACCTTTACGGTTCCTTGTTCACAGACTATGAACCATTCGAATACTTTTGTGGCGGGGGTACCATGACTCATTGCGAAGGTACCACATACACCGGATTTTAGTTTAATGGTAGACATGATGGTGTCAATTGGAGGAAGATGTGGCTGGGCCAGATTTGTGAAGGCGGATAGAGAAGCGATTTGGTCTTCGCCGACTAGACGACGGAGAGCGGCTGTGAAATGGACGCCGGCGTCTAGACAGAAACCACCTTGGTACGTTGGAACTTTACGCCATGCCGTTTCTTTAAGTATTATACCCCGTTAGTAATTGTAACAATAGGAATATATATATTCGGAAAGTTGGTATTTATGTCTTACCGAAATACTTCCCACCAGGGGCAACAAGTTGCAAAACCTCAACATGGAAAGCTAGAACTTTCCCAAGACTCTTGACCTTTTCCTCTGCGTAGTCGAATGCAGGCCAATATCTGAAGTTCTCGGCAACAGACCAGATGAGATCCGGCGCGTTTGTTTTCTTCCATCTGATCAACTCATTTGCGGTGGCAAGATCCTTCGCGACCGGCTTCTCGGAGAGAACGTGCTTTCCGGCTGAGAGGGCCTTTTTGATGAATTCAGGTTGATGGGGGATTGGAAGGCTTTTTTGACATGTTTAAGATTAGCTTCCAGGCCTGAACTGTACGAGGAGTTCACAAGAATGATTATGAGAGGAACTCACGCAATGATCACAAAAGCGATATCGCTTCTTTTTAACAAATCGTCCAAGTTGTTCCCGGGTTCGGAGTCATCAGAGTAAACGTCAATTGGAATGGTTTCATTAGCGATGATGGATTCAACGGATGTTTTTCTACGAGAGTAGATTGCTTTGAGAGTCAAGAGTTCTGGATCCTGAAGACAGGCGGGTTTGTGCTGGCTTCTGTGGATATTGAGTTCCGGTGTTAATTGTTAAGCATATTCACGTTAGGTATATCTATATTTAGGTGTAAGTATAGACTTACTCGACGAAAATGCCGCTGCCAAGTATAGCGACGCCAATGGGAGCCATGATTGATTGCTATTTCTTAGCTTGTCTGAAGGGGTATTTAAAAGCTATGTAATAGAAGTCCAAAGATTGGAGATATTATTTGGGATGGTGTTGATGCTGTTGGATATTAATTGAAGCTTTGGATTGTAGACCTGTCGACGTCACTGCGCGCTAATCAAGAAAAACTTTAGTGAACTAAAAATTGAATATAAGGAGAATTCGATTTAAAAGTAAAGCTAGGAGAAGATCGAAGATATGCTACGTTAAATGGTAAAACTAAAGAGAGAAGGGGGGGGGAAGGTTTCTAATATACGTAATTGTACGACGAAAAAGAGAATTCCTCTTATGCAGAGCAACTATCAATCGAATCTTAGTAATACATACTATAAGTAGTTAATGCCAGATATCCTGCGCATTCCAGTCGGCTCTACTGGTATATTAGCTGCGAAAGGGCCAAAATAGTCTCATTCACCGAATTCACGCCCAAGTTTTGCGCACTAGACCAGCTTTTCGCGGAGTAGTCCAGGGTAGGTGCGTAGCTACCTAGCCAGCTGTCGGAGCTCAAAGGGGAGCATTAGTAATTGATGCAGTTTCGATACCACGGCAGCATTACCTACTTATGCAAGGGGCTTTGGAAGAGCTCGACCATGTCCAGTCTGCATGTCTCATTCTCGGATCGGTGCAACCTCGGACATGCAGGTCTGTTCCTAGGATCCTATGCGAAAAGCGGGTACTCTAACGAAAACGAGAATAGTCTGTTATGATTTTGTTGAAGGGAAGGTACTTAAGTGTTCATTGATTAATAATTGTTCCTGTTGTACGTATCCAAAATACCTAGTTACAATATACTGTAGGCAAAGAGGGGAAAGGCTAATAATACAGAGCATTGAAGAGAGAAGGGAAGATATAAAGTCCATGCTGTCATCCAAACGCCAATCCTGGTATCGGAAGTCTAGATAAGAAAACTCCCGTGAAACAAGAACGAAAAGAAAAAAAACTGTAGGCACTTGCTGTATGCGTACTCTCCTCGAAGCACGGGAATATATGAAGAAAAACTTCAACTTGTAGGACCTGAAAAATGTAACCACTGAAAACGGTCTAGAACCTGTACAACCGAGAACAGCAAACAAAAGGGCGCCCGAGGTCTATAATTTTGAACGTATTGCTTCTAATCGAAACCTATTACGATTCTCATGTTAATCTCGCTCGTTCGCAGGGAGGGGGCTGGTGTGACATACTTAACATCTTTCAAAACCTTCGACACCGGCTGCCATTTTGAAAACTCGTCGAGGAGGGTCTGCGCCTCTTCTTGCAATTCATCCTGCACTTTTTTCTCTTCCAACATGCCTCTCATAGCCCACGGAAGGATATAAGGGTTTGTTGCCGAAGGCAACTGGAATTCCTCTACTTTTAATGGCACCCGGAGGAACTCCTTGGTCGTGGTCTCCAACGTGTGCCTAACCCCTAGGTCGTAGATTGCTGCGTCGTCATAGATTCTCGAATGTCCTTCCCCGGAGTATAAACTTCCTGCTAGCGGACTGGATAGCTCTCTGATGATCCCATGGTCTCTTACACCGATATTCCGTAGCTTCAATGCCAGTCCAACAACGTGGGAGATGAAATCCGGTGCATGAACTCGTCCGTCAACAAACACAGCCCGGTAAATGAACGGATGACTGATGTTTGAGAAGGTTGATGAGTATAGCGAAACAAGCTGGTCGTCGATACTGCCCACAAAAACTAGCTTGACCCCATGTGCGAGCACTGCAGTAAGTGATTCGACATACTGTAGAGACACCTCGCTCTCTGGACTTGAAAATTCGAACAGCTCCTTTGCTGATCCGCTGAGAATCCTCGAATTTAGTTCGCCAAATGGACCAAGATTTATCCCCGCCATACCAATTATTCCAATCTTTGACTTTTCGACTAGCCCATACTCGATCATCCTGGCCACCAAATGTACACCGACGGGTGTCCCCTGAGAGTGACAGCAGACGAGAATGAAATCCGCAGCTTCAATCACATCTAGCTTATTCTCTAGCAGCTTCCACAGCACTTCGACCCTATCAGAAACCCGACCTTCACCCTCCAACGCAATCTTCTCGATATCGACGCTGATATTATGTTTGTCGGCCCATCGTTGAATTGCTGCGGCTCCCTCATTTGCAAAGCGAACTGATGTACCTGTAGGTTCACCGAGCACTCTCTGAAGAATCTTCATAGGGAAGAAACCATGTACACCGATTGCAACCGCCTTGCGTATTCGAGGGAGAGTTGGAACGATCGAGAGATGAGTACGTGATACTACTTTAGGGGCTGACCAGAAGCGATTGACAGCAGAGCTTAGCTTGAACCATGGGCGCGATTGTTGAGAGTAGTAACAAGAATCGAATGACGGTACGAGCAAGTTCGGTGGTAGTACTTTTTGCAAATTCTTCGCAGCTGGAGATATCTCTTTGGGAGCAACGGGAATGGATGGTGGCTGCGATCCAGAAGCTGAGCTTGGCCTCAACCTTATTGAGTGCGGTGATTCGCTCCTCCTTTTGTTGCCGTTTGTGGTTTGGACTGAAATTTTCGCTTTTTGAGGGTCTGCTTCAGTTGAAGATCCAGCCACCGCAATTTCACCTGTTTCGACCGTCTTGCGCCCGTCGGTTTCTGGTGCTGCCTTTGACCACCAAACCCATGCCGCCCCTCTCGCCAATAGACCTTCAGGTTGTTCGTGTTGAGGTGGCGCACTTGTTGGGTTCTCTGGCATACTAGCTGCGGCTGTTCCGTTATCCTGGGAGAACTTTGTGTTCCCATCCTCAACTTGAGCCGCACTGCTCTCAATCTCTATCGACTGAGGTGCATCATATGCTGTAGTATCGCCAATGTTGGTAGCTGGTGCACTTTCGCTTGCCCCGTACCAATACCCTAACCATGATCCCTTGGAAGCTTGTGTAGAAGCTTGCGTAGCTGTAATGGTAGCGGCGGCAGAAGTATCGTTTGCTGGGGGTGGTTCTTCGGCTGTAATCGTCACCTTGGGAGGATCGACCATTGTTGCCGGCGCGGTTTTAATGGAGGCCATGCTTCCATTCAGGGCTCTCTTTAGACCTAGGTTCTCCGCACTTCTTACCTTCTGTACAGTTCGATGATCGGCTTTGAGGTTCTCTATCGATGGGAGATTTGGGGGCGATTTTGGCGTCATCGAACCTGTTGGTGTCGCAGCTGCCGCTGGTGTAGTTTCGTTATCTGAAGGTGGTGTGGCTTCTGTATTTGTCGCAGCTGGATTCGGCTGGCTTCCACCCCACCACCCTCCTAGCCAACCCGAGGCTTTCTGTTCAGGCTGCTCTAGAATTTCAGTGTTGGCAGCGCCTTCTATCTTTCCGCTTCCTCCATTTGCTATTGATTTTTGCTTGTCACCTGTATCAGATCTGGATTCCTCTTGTGATCCTTTCGAACTGGTATCTTCTGGTGCACCAGTTAACTGGGTGGTTGGTTTTGGTGGGGATAGGACTTTGTGCATTGGAGAAGGTGCTTGTGGTGATTGTGAAAGTTGGGACGGTGATGGTTCCGAGAAGGATGGTGTTCTTGTGACGGGTTCTTGATCTAATTTCGTACTAGCAGTTGTTTTGGAGCCGGTCCAGCGAGTGAGGTTTTGGGGAAGCCGTTGAGGAATGGTTTGGGAGACTGCTTGTAATGTTTCAGGAACCTGAGACTATTGGGATTTAAGGTACGTCATTCAATTAGTTTTAGTATTAAAGTGGTGGCATTCGAGAATCCAGGGGAGGGATTTAGTTAGGGTTGCTTGCGTACCTTCACCTTGTGAACGACCGAGGCGGTTGATTCCAACGCCGATGCCCGAGGCTTAAACATTGCGGAACCGGCCACACTTGCATCATCCCGGTGGGTGGTGACGGTTGCTTGAGATGTAAAAGAAGTTGTTGACGTGGAAGCTGAAGGATTCTGCTGAGGTGTGAATGATGAGGGAGGTGTAGAGGACGAGGAGGTGGCCTTCTTGGAGCGTTTCTTGCTCATAGGAGCGCGATCTCAGGTAGCGTTAATATGGTCGGTTAGAATAAGAGGAAGGCCGCAGCTGCAAAGATGGCGGTGTCCTTTACGTAGAGATAGCGAACGGGAAGCGGGGAAGGTACGACGATAAGGAAGGGGGTCGGAGGAATTCGGGGTAGCGGTGTATGTAGAATGTCGGAAGGGAGATGACGAGGCCGAATGGATGGACGGAAAGGGTGATGATGATGATGCGGGTCTGTTGGCTTGTGATTGATCTGGGCGATGTGATTTGACCGTTACAGTTAGGAACTCGGCAAAAACACTAAACGGAGCTGCAGGCAGATTGCTATTCCGGCCAGTATAGTACCAATACTGAATAAAAAGGTAATGCGAAGGTGTTGTTTAAGCAGGTACAGAATTTGATGGTGATATGATAGGTATCATACAAATGGAGATGATGATTGATGAAGTTGTAGTTTTATTTAATTCAAGATCTTCGAGGTGGTTATGCAATTTATGATGTTGTTGGTTCTGATATGTGTTGTGTTTGATTCTCCCAATATTTCCACTTATGGAAGATCTGACGTAAGTCCGACTGGGATATTTATATCCGATCACTGCGCTTACACACGAGCGATGAGTCTATATCCGATTGGAGATCACCTGACTTGCCAAGACCTCAAAGTGGCTCCAAAAAACAACTCGTCGATGCAAAGTGGTGCTCGCCAAAGCTGACTGGAAGCTCTTTCCCCTGTCATCTAATCATCCATATCCTCTCCCAATCCACATCAAAACGCTCGTCGCTACTACCCACCCACATCCGCAGACCACCCCCGATACTACATCACACTCTACTCCCTCTGCCACCCCCACACATCACCGCTCCGCAATCTCGGCTGTATCCTCCGCCATTCTACAACATTCCCCAGTTATCATGCGACATGACGCGCTTCTCGATATCTATCGTCATATCAAAAGATAGATAAACAAACTTGCTTTGTTCAGCGTTTTAGTTCATCGAAAAAAGCGATACTACCGATTGGCTGCGCGCTTTACATTCCACCACCAAAATTACACTACCACCGCTATAACATCATAATTCCAACTATTCAGGGTGCCACAGACTTCTGCTGGTTTCTTTAAAGCACCTTCTTCATAATGTTGGTCGAACTGTCGGTTCTTAGGGAGTTAAACCCAAATGAGATTTCCCATGATGACTGGCCCACCCTTGACCTCGAAGACGCCTTTGTTTGGTCGCCGAAATCTACCCACCCGAATAACCTCATAGACCTGTTGGATGTGCTGGAGAAAGGTCCCTTTACCGTTGAAGGGAGGATAAAAGATGCTCCTGACGAGTTGAAGGAGTTTGGTAAGGATCATTCAAGCGGTGTACACACGTCTTCGAGTAGCTAACGGGCCGGATCCACTAGCTCGCAACCCTTCGAACGTACAGAGTCTGAAAGGCAAAATAATCCGGGTCGCCAATGTTAGGAGATGGTCGATCGAGCGGTTAGCCGACGAGAGCATCGTTATCTGGGCCCTTGGGGGTGCTGCCTGGTACGGCATCCACCCGTCAGATGACTATAAGGATATCTATAACACTATGGTCAAGAAGGCGGCGATATACAACTTCATTATCGACAAGTATGATCACCTGTCTATGAGAAACAAACAAGTCAAAACCCCTCTCAGCGACCTTTATAATGAAGTATGTTCCATATCTTCGGAAAGCATTAAAGAGGACTTAAGCTAATAGAAGGATCATGTTAGCTGTCGGTTGAGAGCCCGGTTCTTGGCACTCCTGGCGAAGTGGAAAAACTTATCCATACACACCGGCGATTTATAATGGCGCAGCTCATTGAGAATGCCAAATTCAAAAAGACACCATTTTGGCCTTACTTTGACCGCACCTATCCGGTATGATAAAACTCTTTATCCAAGCTTCCCTCGTTGTTTCCGCTGTGTTAACATTGAGCTTGAATAGGGTGAAATTGCCGAAGTGCAGGCTGCCAAGCGAAAAGCCGAACAGTTAATCATGGACCAGGATGAGAAGAAGGCTCAGAGACTCGAGGGTTTACTCGTAACAAACGGGCCTGGTTCTCCGGGACGACGACGGACACGACCCCGCTCTGGTACTGCTAGCAGCGGGACTTCAGAGGCGGGTTCGAATACGAAACGGAAATCTCGTGACCACTCTATAGAAGAACCATGCCCCCGTCGAAGAAAAACAGGCACCGATGGCTCTACAGTTAAGCCCAAAATACGTGTAAAGCTTGGCCAAAAGTCTAGGCGATCGAATCGAATTCCTGCTCCTTCGGGCTCACCAGCACCAGCTCTTGAAATCCTTCCCACATCACTCCAGATTGCTTCTAACGACACAGCAGACCGCGTGATACTGAGAACTACTCGTTCAACTCGCTCTTCTAATCCCTCTTCTGCTTCCCCTACGTTGTCGAATTTCGGGGCGATATCTGCTTCTTCAGTGTCTACAGCGCCCACAATTTTAGCCCAGGAGATGAAGCCAATTCCATCAATACCCATCAAACCAATTCCTACGGAAGCTTCTGCGCCGCCGAAGCCCTCAATTGATATGCTGAAAGAAGTGATTGATCATAAACCACCTGTAAAGAATAATGTGGTTCGGGCGAGTAAACTCTCACGCCTGCCTGGTTCTAGACCTCCCCCAAAATCAAAATCGCCGCCCGCAAAAAAGATTACAAGGTCGGCAGCAGCAGCGCCTCCTCAAACACCCGCATCACCACCCGTCGCGAGGGCTACGAAGAGAGCCCGGAAGAAGACAGCTACTCCTGCACCTCCCGTGGTCCCACTAGATGAGAACCATCCAGGATACGACGATCTACGAGATCAAGCCATCTCTAAACTGACACAAATGCACTCCCTTTACCAACAAATTTCCAAGAATACGAACCAAAACGAATATGAAAAATTCTTGGAACTTGCGGATGAGAACGCTGAATGGAGGAGACAGCACGGGCTGAAAGCGGTATACATTGATGTTGTATATGCGGCTGGGTATTATAAGGATGAAATTAAAGATTCAAGTCTAATCAGAAGGGTTCCCGATACGGAATATCTAGTCGATAGAACGGAATGGGATTTCGATACAGCCGTTGAATTGCTGCAAAATGTGAATCGTGGAACGTATGTTCATGAATTGCTCCAGCCTGTCAAGGAGGCAAGAAGGAATGCGAGGATGAGAGGTGGGAAGCACGGTCGGGGTAGGCCGAGGAAACATCCGGTTGCCGAGGAAGTCGCATCTTCTTTGTCAGAGTTGAAAATTACAAGCGCGCCGAATGGGGCTTCTGATAGGAGCAACGCAGCTGGAGTAGACGCAATTGATACGACATGGAGTTGTAAGGGACATGATGCGGATGGAAACAAGTGTCCATTTTCCCTTGAGGACGCGTCGACTCTGGAAGGGGCGAAGAAAGCGAGCGACCATTGGAGGACGTGCGAACTGAGGAGGCTCGCCACCGAAGAGACTTTAGCCAAAAAAAGAGAGAACATTGAGGAAGCCCAGACAGTAGCAAGGGACCAGCAGGTCCGAGATCCATGGATTAATATTGAGTAAGTTTTGGAACTAGTCTGCCAGCCACTGTGAGAAGAGTTGGGGAAGCTAACTGAATGTTTTTTTTAAGCCATCTCGTTAGTTGGCTCGAAGGGGAGGCGACCAAGTCGAAATCGTGGTTTCCTGCTGGTGTCTGTTGAGGCATCCTTTTCAACAACGTTACATTGCTTTTCGAAACTGATAGAACGGCGGGCCCGGTGCCCTGTAACATCCTTCAGCAAGCACCTTTGAATTGTCTAAAGGGTTTAAATTTTAATATTCACGGTGGTGCTATGGCGTTGATACTACTTTTACTTGGTGGGACGGTTTCGTTTTTTGTACTCTCTTTCTTTGTTTTCACGGAAAAGTTGATGGTTATACCCATTTGTATCTGCACTAGGAAAGCGAAAAGAGGGATCGTTTCTTTTATTTTTATCGTTTTCGATACCTTTGTTCAGGTTCACGGGATGTGGCCTAAAGAGTACTCATGGATTGGACATATTTTTGCGTCCTTGGTTGATAGATTATAATTCTGTAAGGTATTAATAACGTGATATCAGATAGATATCAGGTGTAATTACTATATTTGAAATAAAAGCGTAGCTCTACAGCCGTCGTCAAACATAGATAGTATCAATGTAATCTAATAGATCTAATTGACGCTTGAAGTTCGAAGTTCGCACGTGTGGTTCTGGGAGTAGGGACTTTGCTTTTTTCGCGTCGCAGTAAATCCCTGTCAACCCATCCAAAAAAATTTCTGAATTTCCTTGCTCTTTTCCTGTCCTACCAAACCTTCCAACGAACATCACCAAAAACTGCGATTCATTATCTCTCGACAAAAAAATTTGATCAGACCTTGATAGCGGGCTTGAACGATCTTATAACACCTTTAATAAAGATTTTCAAGAGGTATCTCGACAACTACATATACAATGGCGAAAGCGAAGTTACGCCAGATCCTCGCGGCGGACAAGGGAAAGGTGCCGTACCTTGAGAAACAGAAGAAATTGCAGAAGGAAGCGAGGAAACGGAAGAGAATTCAGGAGGATAAGGAAGGTAGTGGAAGTGATGATGACGACGAGAAAGAGAAGATGGAGGTTGACGGGGAATGGGAAAGTGAGAGCGATGAGGAGGATAGCGAAGATGACGAGAGGGTGATTGATATGTCGAAGTTGGAGGATAGTGATTCCGAGAGTGAAGATGAAGATGAAGATGAGGACGATGAGGAGGAGGAAGAGGAAGAGGAAGAGGAAGAGGAAGAAGAAAAGACAAAGAAATCTCAAAATGGAATCTTAAAAGTCTCCAAGGCGACTATAGCAGCAGCCGATAAAGATGAGGATGATGAAGAAGACGAAGAAGATGAAGAGGAGGATGAAGAAGATATCCCCCTTTCCGAAATCTCCGAAGAAGATCACGACCCCGAAGCCGATATCATCCCCCGCCAGAAGCTCACAATAGACAATCACTCCGCCCTCTCAGCCTCCCACGCCTCCATCGCCCTTCCAATCAAGAAGTCTACACCATTCTCCACCCACCACACGATCACTACATCCACACCCGTAGAGATCAAAGACGTTCACGATGATCTCACCCGTGAATTGGCATTCTACACACAAGCCCTCGATGCCGCGAAGCAAGGCCGTGCGCTGTTACTCGCCGAGGGAGCACCGTTCACCCGTCCCACCGATTACTTCGCAGAAATGGTGAAGAGCGAGGAACATATGGGCAAGATTAAGGAGAAGATTAAGGAACAAGCGGCCATGAAGCAAGCTTCGGCAGATGCGAAGAGGCAGAGGGACCTCAAGAAGTTCGGAAAACAGGTACAAGTTGCAAGGCTACAGGAGAGGCAGAAGGAGAAGAGGGAAATGTTGGATAAGATTAACGTTTTGAAGAGGAGTACGTCCTTCTTTCTGTTTTATTGGAGTTTTCTGCTAGAGTATTGTGCTAACGGATATCACAGAACGAGCTGGTGCCGACCTGGGAGACGAGAACGAGGGTGATCCATTCGATATTGCGATCGAAAAAGCCTCGAAGGTCAATGGGCGTGAAGGAAGAGACAGGAGAGGACCAAATGCCAAACGACAGAAGAAGAACGAAAAGTTCGGATACGGAGGCAAGAAGAAGTTCTCGAAGAGTGGAGATGCTGTTAGCAGTGGAGACCTTACTGGGTTTAATAGCAAGGGTATGAAGAAGAATTCGTTTGGTAGCGGGAAGAAGGTGAAGACTCCAAGACCCGGCAAGAGTAAGAGACAGGCGAAGAGATGAAGCGTAACTAGTGAAGTTGTACGATAGTGTGATTAGAAGAGGAGGAGTTCGAAGGGGCAATTAATAGATAATTGTACTATCGAGGCTATCGGTCATTTCGTGTGATAGTTTACTTTGGGAGTTCTGTATGATACATGTACTACTGTAGCTTTTATCCATATGAGAAAAGTTTACCTGATTTTTGAAGTCGAACTACCTACTTCCAACCCCTGACTATTGCCTGCAACCCTGTTGAGATGCAGCATTCCTTGTTTATAACCCTGTTGAATAGATCCCTCTCAGTCCTCCCACCTGACTATGTGGTAGTATAGTAGTTAGCAAATGTTCCTCTCGGGGCTGCGCTCTCTCCGGGAGTACCCAAAGTTGTTTCGGAACCTGCGCATGTCAATACCGTGCCCACACAACTACTTACTTACTTTAGTACCTAGACATGGTAAAATGTATTTAAGTGCTGACTTAGTTATTAGATAGGCGGTGCTAAAGGTAGTAAGATGAGTCTTTAGACTAAATTTTATGTGGTAGCTATAACTTGATAATCGTGTGAGGAACCCCCGGCCAGCTTAAATACCGTCAGCAATCCGACTAGCTTCTATCTCCCATTGTATATTTTAGGCACTGATCTACGGCTGCGCTGAGAGCCTTCCCTATAATATCAGTCGCTGTCGGCGCCGGGGCTCCACCCGTGCCCATCTAGCATCGTGTAACCGGTCATATAAACGGCAGGATATCCGGCCTGGCTGCACCATTGTTCCACGATCCGACGCATCCACCAAACTACTTCCCGATTGGGTAAACTTACGTAGCTCTTAGGTTGGAGGATAGTTCGTAGACACCGTCACCTTATAAGCTTATTATATTGCTTGACCTCTTGATTCGTCGGGTGTACTTGCAGGCGCACATGTGCGCGTGCACAAGATAGCTCGATACCCATGTGGCAGCCGCATGTCGGACAGCTCGCTTCGGCAGAGCCCTGGACCGCCAATGCAGCCCCCTGTCACTTCCACAAAAAGCGGGCGCGCTTGTCCCAACCTCGTTTCTCTTTTGTTTAGATCACCACCCTGTGGTTTTCAATCGTATATGTAGTCCCCGACGTTGAACCACCGAGAAACGGAGCTGCATACCTTAATTGTTAACAGCCATGCCACTTCTAGAACCAAGCGAGGTTGTCGCGCTAGGGCTCTCACCTAAGGACATCCCAGCACATAAGCCTCAGACACCCCGGAAGGGCGCTGGTCATGTTGGATCTTCTACTGCCCGTGTAACCATGGCCCAAACGTCGACACGGCGTAAAGCTCTATATCACAGAAATTTGATTTCAACCTCGTCTCGGTCTTCGGGCCGCTCAACTTCGAACTCTTCCTCTTCGAATCCGAATTCGAATTCTGCTTCTCCAACCTTATCGACTTCTAGATTGGCCTTTGGCGCCGGGGCTAGGACTAGGAGCAGCTTCGAAGTGTGTATTCCGATACCTTCGAAGAGGGAACAAGCTGTCCTTCAACGGTACGAAAGATTTCCAGATGCAGATATCGCGACGGATGTGGAAATAATACGGGTCGGGGTCAAAGATGCACAAGAATGGACCCAGGACGATCCTATCGGCGAGACTCAGCCGGAGGTACTAGGTCACTCGAGTGGGCCCAATGGCTTGTCCGGTACGGATATTGATCTCGATATGAGCGAAAAACGGTCTACTCTCGGTAAGTTAGTATTCAATATTACGAATGGAAAAGGGACATATTAGGAAAGAAAATATTGGGAGAGAAGGCTAATTCTTGCCATTTCTTGACGTTTATATGCGAATATAGAACCTGAAGTACCAATTATATCAATTGTTAGAGATGTTTCGCTGTGAAACCCTACCAGCACTAAAGGCTGCCGTACGGTGGTACAAACTTCGCCCCCGAAGAGGAAAGACAGATGTGTATAGCTATATACTTAAATACTCAAGGGTATAAATACCTACAGATATAAAGTATCCATAGCGTAGTCACATACCGTCTGAGACTATTGAATTGGCTCTTGTGAAGCCACAGGGGGTCTATGAATTCGTTGACCTGAAGCCCGATGGGACTTGTGGGCGTATTGTTAAAGGGATGGATGGAGGATGAAAGAATGAAAGCTGGAGAAGGGGGGTTTTAGCCCTGGGTCCTACTGCCGCCGGTGGTGTTGGGACCATGTCCAATTGATATTCGACTCTTGACCTTCTTTCGACGACAGTGACAACGAAGCAGGCTACCAGACATCCTCAAAGTTTGGGAAACAGCAGGTCCAGATCCGTCCATCGTCTCTATCGATTTTCTCGGACGATTTTGCAGTTCATTTCATTGTATTTCATTATTTACTGGGGGGTTATCAGGGCCCTGAAGAAACAGTGTTCATTCTCTACATTATTTACTGGGGGGTTATCAGGGCCCTGAAGAAACAGTGTTCATTCTCTACCCCCTCCTTGCTGTCTGCAAAAACACTATTATTTAAACAGTGCCCACCTGCTGCAACGGTTTCTTTCTTTCTTTCCTTCCTCTCTCCTTCTCACCTCCACCTCACAACTTCATCGCAATCATCCCTCCTTCTTCAACCCCCATCCTCTCGTCATCGTTACGATCATCATCAATCCAGTCTCATCATCTCGGGCAAAGCTATTATTATCAATCCTTTTTTCCTTTAACGGTAACTTCATTTGCCTCTAGTACCCCCAGCTGCTAACTAGCTCGGTTTCTAGAGGTGCTGGTGAGGTCAAATTCATTCTTCGGATTTCTTCCAAAAAGTTTTCCAACCCAAAAAGTTTTCCCGCCCAAAAGTTTTCCCATCCTTTTCCTCATTGTTTTCCCCTTGCTCGCAACCTACCTTTCTTCTTTCTATTCTTCATCGATCTCGTCAAAGCCTTCGTGGAATCCCCCTCTTCAGCCAAAGTTTTGCTGCCAGAGCTTTACAGATCTCAATTGCCCCTTCTTACTGTTATTACTTTCCAGTAAAGTAAAAGTCAACAACCTCCTTTACGGTACCCCCACCTTTCCTTTCCTTTCCTCTACGCTTATCTCCCCACAAAGCGAAAGAAAACTCTTACTCTTCCCGGGATTCTTTTTTCGTCTGTGCCTTCATTCTTTCAATACTCAATTTTTGATCAAAAAAAAACTGCTTTTTGATCCTAAACACACGTGCACGCAAATACATCATACACCAGCACCCTTTTAACCAATTGATATCCGACTTCCTTCAAGCTCAAAATGGATAAGCCTACGGAGAACAATCATCTAGACGCTAGAGAGGAACGGGACTCTCCGTCTGAGCATCCAACTGAAGGCCCTTCTCAGGATGCGCCTCAGGAAACCCCCCAAAATGAGTACCAGGTTTCGTATCAAGTACAAGGGACCTCCCAAGGCACGCCCCAACCTACTCTACTAGGTACACCTCAAAACCCCCCCCAGAGTTCACACCAGGATCTGCAAAGTGTGCCCCAGGGAACCCCCCAAAGTGAACATCAAATTTCACATCGAGTACAAGGGACCCCCCAACATACGCTCCATCCCCCTCCACTAGGTATATCTCAAAATCCCCCTCCGATTTCACACCAAGGTCTGCACGGTACGCCCCAGGGTCCAAGCTTGTCCCACACGGCCCAAATCGAAGGTGTGGTAGCTTCGAACCCACAACCACCAGTCCGTCAACGACGATCACCCATAAAAATACTACCCAATATTCTAGAGGAACAGGAGAGATTGAGGTCAAAGCCCTTCTCGCCATCTGAAAGAGAAAAGGAGTATCACTATCTCATGAAAGAAGTCAGCAAAGTCGACCCCAGGGTTCACCGTGATCTAATCGGAAGCCTAGTCGCTTTTGGAGAAGCTGCAAATCAAGAATGTCGCCGTCTGACTCAATCCTCCCACGGCCACAACGATCAAGCAGCCCCCCCTGGATCCGCCCCTACTGGTAAGCCTACTCTGACCTGCTCTCAGAAGTTGTGTATAAACTTACACTGTTATTTCGCAGTCAATCCAATGGGTACACAAGCTCTGAGGTTTCCACAATCGACCAGGCAGTACCGGCGGGTTTTGGCCGGATATGGCCCAGATCCTGCCAGACTAGACCCGGGTCCTCAACAAGCACAGCAATTTCCGCGAGGATATGGCCAAAATCAGCCTGCCCCAAACCTCCAACAGGCTCAAACGTACCCACAGAACCCGAATCATCCAGACCAAGTTGCTCCAAATCCCCATGAAAGTTATGGGTGCCCACAAGCTTATGCCCGAAGCCAACCTATCCCAAATTTCCCACAAGCCAATCCAGATCCACGAACATATGCACCAGTACCTCCAAGGGTGTCAAGAAGCCCGCAGGATAATACATCCGCCGAACAGCCTCAACAATACCATGCTGATTTCCAAATGCGAGGCACGCCTACGGGAAACTCTAATATGCTTCCAGCCCAGGGAAATGGTAACCCTGCTCCACGAGATATCAGCCCTTCAGATATTCACAACCCTCAAACTTCAAACCCATTTCATTCTTTTGGATTTCATCCTGACCATCCTGACCACCACGATCGACCCGTTGCACAAAGCCTTCGAATTCATCAAGCTGCTGCAGCGACTCCTCTCCAATCATCATCTGTAACAACCCTTTCTTCACAACAGGTTGCATCTAATTCTTCTTCTCATCTAACATCTACAACGAACCTTTCCCATCTTTCAAGTCCCTCGGCTCTAGAGAGGGCCAGTCCAGTTACCAGTCCAAGACTTTCCGAGGGAACAGCACCCTCCGATCAAATTAGTCCTCTCCTAGAATTGAGGCTTGCTGGTGAGGCAGTCTCGACGCGTGCTCCCTCGGCTCCCGCCCCTGTAGAATTATCGGAGTCTACCCCCGTGAAAGCATCTAAGGCAGAAGGGATGTCGCGTCGTGCCTCCCAAAAGAGGCCAAGGCCATCACCAGAGTCTTCGCCTGAGCCAAGTAAGAGGACGGAGCTTATCGCACCGTCCGAAACCATGGATTCAGACATTGGGCCGCTCTTGGGCGACGAGCCCTCTTCTGCAACCGCGGATAACGAAGGAGACGGGGCCATGACTGGCCCCTTGTCTGACATCAATGTGGACGAAAGTCCACTAGGTAACAACAAGGGCGTGGCCGCCTCTAAGAGCAAAGAGGGGCCAACAACCACCAATCCGGCTCCTGGCAAGGAGAACCAGAAGGCAGGGCTCGGTCGCGAGCCCTGGAGGCACATGGACTTGGTCAACCTAGGCTACAGGGATAGGCCATTTATCTCCCCGTTTGTCCAGGAATCTGGAAACCCTGTCTCGGGCCCTGCTTCTGCCCCAGATTCTGCCGTTGCTGTTCCTACTACCGCCGCTTCTGCCGTTGCCGCGTCTGCCGTTACCGCGCCCGGCGCCCAAACTCGTTCCACCCGCGCCACTGCCCGCCCTATGCCCCGCGCCAGAGTCCCTCCCTCTTCTGCTGTGCCTACCTCCTTGCGCAGATCCAGGAGGAACGCAAAGCAGGAGGAGGACGACGATGAGATGGAGACAGCTGAGATCGCCCGGAAGACGAAGGCAGAGGCCTTCGCAAAGCTCTCGATCATGAAGATCGAGAGCAATGCCGATGCCATGCGAGCCCTTCTCTTCCAGATGGTACACGGCATCTTCTTTCAAACGAGGTCTGGCACCGGGGAGCCCCAAACAGCCCAGGCCCGAGAAAGACTTGTCCTTCTCATCAGTCAGGGAATTCGGGCCCTGATTGGAACTGGAGACGGCATCTTAGATGTCGTCTGCGACGTTTGGCGTCGCGATTTCGGAGAGGAACTGCGTCGGCCCAATATGAATATTGGGCCGCCAGTTAGACGCAATAGGGAGACTGAGGGGCTCGATTTTTGCGACCCGGGTACTCGGGTCCGTTGCAGTATCTGTGGCCGACGCCACGGAGTTAGATTCTCCGTCGGTTTCAGCGGCACACCCTACAAGTCAAACAGGGGGCACAGACCCGAGGATATGATAAAGAGCTCGGACAGCGACCTGCCTGGACCGCCCCGGACCCCGTCGATGCGCTTTAACGTTGGCAGGTGAGTAAGAAGCTTCGAAACCGCATACCTCCTAGACTCCGAGAATGGAAGCAGCTAATTTGAACTCTCCCTTACCTTAGGCGATGCACGGAGCTCATCACAAACTACCACGCTCTCCGACAGTGGGAGAGAGCTCTTAAGGCCTGGGTCCGCGAAAGAATGCAAGAATTCGGGCATATTATTGAAGGCGGGTACCTGAATCGAAACCATGCTGGCGGGGCCTCATTCGAGTTCATTGGTGACATTGTCCAAAGACTTCTTGAAGAAAGAGCCGAAGACGGTACCCCAAAGGTATTTGGGTTTCTCGAAAAGCTTACCAGGACCCACGCGCGCTCATTAGAAATCAGACAGGATAGGAAGGGTAAGACTCTTAGGTTCAGGAAGCGATATGGCCCAGGCACAGGAAAAAAGAAGGGCGCCGACAAGGCTTCTGCCCCAATTGAGAAACAAAATGCTCAGGAAATCAGAAGAGGGGCCCCTGGAAATGAAATCGGTCCTCCCAGAACGCTGGCTAGTCTACTTAAACGCCAACCTAGTCTTTCTGAGACTGGACAAAATGCTCATCAGACGACCCAAGCCAGTCTGCCATCTAGACCAACAGATCGACCAGGGATAAGGGTCCGATATCATGGCATCGGGAGAATCCGAACTAGAGCGGCTATTGACTCCGACTCTAGCGACGAAATTTTACTTGACGAAAATCACAACGGCGACGAATCTTCCGATTCTGATGACTACGTCTTCCTTGACGATGAGGATGAAACTAAAGAATACCGAGAGCGAAAGGATCAGTGGGACGAGAACCGGCGAGGAGGACACTAAGAAACCATCCGATGGATTCTCTTGTTCTCCAAATTAACATTTTTCTCACCTATTAAATTTCCTTCACTTGCCTACGACGCAAACTCCAATCATCTAATCTTGATATGAAACTCTCCACTTTTCGAATTAACGACACAATCGCAACATGCCTCCGTACACGTGTATGATACACACCTCTCCACTTACTTACTCAAATACCCGCCTGTTTACGATACGGGTTACCCGTTTTTTATCATGATTGAACTATCTTCACACTATCACGATACAAATCCCCCAGCTTTGTTACGATTGGAATTCCACCATCATTATTACGATATGGGCTTCCCCCGACGACATGACAATACGAGCTTCTCTAGCCATTACAAGGACAAGCTTCCACACCTACTTACACATCCGGACCTGTTACGATCTGGTGGACGACAGGAAGAAAAAAGAAATTTCAGAAAAGGGACGGGTGTTCTTGCTATCAAAATCTATTTGGTTCTCTGGCCCACCAATATTTCCCCCTTTCTTCTTAGAAGGCCTAGCGAGATGAAGTCCTCCCGTAAACATGCTTTTAAACGGGAAGGTTTTGTATCCAAAGGGTATCTTCTCACGAGTTGATTCCATTATAACCTCTTCCTTCGGGTTTTAGATCCTGATATCCTCCCAGGAGCCGAAATCCTAGACCAACCCTCCTCTTCATCAACCCCCTTCATTCTGAGAATCTCCCCTTACGTTTCCTCTTTTGATATTTTTCCTTATCACGCAACTTTAGCCTGCATTTCGAGGAGTGCTTTCTCATAGCGAAGGTTGTTTTGTCTTTAGCGTTAGCATTATTTTAGGAGAAAATGAAGAACACTCGTCCCACCAAATGATGCCCGTCTATAGTACATACCTTATAGGTACCGTAGAACGCATGTGGCCTAGTCTCGTACTGCATGACTTTTGATTTCAATACTTAGTATCAACGTAGTAGTAGCAATTGAAGAACCATAGTACTATATATAGTAAGCTGATCACGAAATCAATTCCCGATTTACGTCATCAACTCGAGAGGGTAGGTAGCTCACGCGAGACGGTAACAGGAGATAGCAAGAGTTTAAGTAGGAGGTAATAGTAATCCGTGAGTGGTAGTCGCACGAAGAGCAACAAAAAGAAGTTGATTATATATACAGAGCGGGGTCATTTGAAAACAAGCAGATGTCACTAGAATGAAAGATAAGAGGTTGACGACACCAAGTCTATAATACAAGAAGGCGAAGGACGTGGATATCGTGATTTCTACACCGCTACCGACCTGCCACCACCACCACCACCACCTTCACCACCGCTCCACAACCAAATAAACTATTTATTGCTAGTGGAAGTCATGTAATAGGTAGTAGCTAGCGGTCGTAAAAAATAGGATAAAGCTAGCTAAGATTTGGGAAGAGAGGAGTTTGAAGGTGCTGTAGATTTATTGACCCTATTCCTTCCTGTTTTCCTCCCCTAGAGAATAAAGAAATGGAATAGGACGGTATTATTATATTTCATCTACCGCTTTGGGAGCTCTGGCTGACCGAGTGAGGATTTCGAGCCGGGTGTGATGAGCTATGAGACGAGGTATATTTCGTTAGTACATAAACTTCTTCTCCTTGCATTTCATTTACAATTTCAAGGCCAATCGGCTGGTATCCCGATGAATCCTCCTATTTCGAAGCTATACATGTATAGGAGATACCGAAATAGTGGTAGAAGTACTAACCTCATTCAAGTTCTGCTGCATTTGCATCTCCTTCTCCATCTCAATAACTTGCTGTTCTTCCTGCCAAGCAAGAACATAGGGCACACCCAACAACAAAGCCGAGGTACTCAAAACCCACAAGGTCTTCCCACCCAGTGATAGACCCGAAGTTATCAGTCCATAAGCACCATTGAAAGATCTTGAGATCTGTGCGCGCCGACCAGGTGGGACAATATCCTTTAAGGCGACGATACGATCGTAGAAGGTTTCCGAGTCTAGATCGGCGAGGGAAGAGGTGTCCGAAGCATCTGAAGCACCGTCGTCGGTGATTGATGAGTCTGTGTCTGTGTAGTAGGCGTCATCTTCTTCGGGACCAGTTTGCTTTTCGTCGTAGTGCTCGTCGGGAACTTCGACTAGTTGGACCATTTTTTCGATATAAGATTCGGTTTATTTCTCTCTTTTTTTTCCCTGTCGGGTTCGGGTTTGGCTTTTATGAAGGGAGTGAGTTAGCTTGGTAGTGTATTTGTATGATAGAGTTAAAGTAGAGCGATGGTAGAGAGGTCGCGTGGGAGGATGTCGATGAAGTGGTTTTCCTTGGAAGATGGATGGATGGGATGGGGTGTGTTCGAAGTGGGCTGTCGCTTAAAGATTTTGAATTTTTTCGGTGACGCAGTTTTGGGGCTCCCGGGGCCCGTGGCGTTATCGATAGTCTTCCCGGGTGTTGTTCGGGGCCTCCCGGGTATCCCACCGGGCGCTATTACCAAGCACGCACGTCTGTCGTCTAAGCTATTGGCTGTGGGGATCCGGACACATTTATATCATTGCATCCCCAGCTTTTGCTGATTCCACTTTCCAATTCATCTTTTCTTCATCCTCTTCCCCCAATCTCTATTCTTAGTATCTTATTCGATTAAAAAGCATTGCAATTTTTTTAGTATTGTTCTCTTTTTTGTTTTTGACGCGACCATGAAATTCATTTCTGCGGCTTCCGTGCTGCTCTATGCCGTCGTCGTGGCGGCGGGCAGTAACGTCATTGATCTTACACCCAAGAACTTTGATGAGATTATCACGAACAGTGGGAGACCAGCTTTGGTCAAGTTCTTTGCTGTGAGTATTCCTTGTATTTATTCTCTAATCTGTATTATTAGGGTGTGCATGTACTAACGGATTGGTGTTATAGCCATGGTGCGGACGTGAGTAGCCTTTTGCTCGTCTGACCCCGGACCTTTATCATATTTGGTACAAGAAGCATGGAAGTTGATTTGATTCGGATATTGTGATTAGATTGCAAGAAGATGGCCCCGACATATGATGAGTTAGGAGACGCCTTTGAGTCCGTAAAGGACAAGGTTGTTATTGCCAAGGTTGATGCTGATAGTATGTACAATTCCGCTTCCCTCCGTTCCAGCTATAGAATAATGTATACTCACCCATTGAACTTTACCAGAGCACCGTGAACTCGGGAAACGTTTCGAGGTCAAGGGATTCCCTACTCTCAAATGGTTCGATGGCAAATCCGAAAAGCCAATTACCTACGATTCCGGGCGTACCCTCGATGCCATGAGCAAATATATCACCGATAAGACTGGTATCAACCCTAAGGGCGCCGGTGGTGCTAAGAAGGAACCAGAATCCCCTGTTAAGACTCTTACGGATGCGAACTTTGAGTCTGTGGCGAATGATCCTTCTAAGGGTGTTTTTGTCAAGTTTTATGCTCCTTGGTGTGGATGTTAGTCTGCCTCTTTCCCCTCTTTCCCTTTTTTTCCACTTTCTGGTTTCCTTTTAGAGGTTCTATAAGGGTGATTGACTAATGCTATTTCAATAGATTGCAAGATGCTCGCTCCAATCTACGAACAGCTCGCCACATCCTTCGCTCGTGAACCCAGCGTCGTAATCGCCGAAGTCAACTGTGACGAAGTCTCCGCCAAAATCGCATGTGTCAAATACGAAATCGAAAGCTACCCAACCCTCAAATACTTCCCAGCCGGATCATCCGAACCAATCCACCACGATGGTGACCGCAAGATCGAGGGTTTGGTTGAATACATCAATGAACAGGCCGGTCTTAACCGTCTCCCCGGCGGTGGGTTAAACGCCAAGGCTGGAAGAATCGAAGTTCTTGACAATATCATTAGAGATAAATTGCCTAAGGGACTTGTCGGTGTTCATGATGAGTTTGTAGAGAAGGTTAAGGGTCTTGAACATAAATATGCAGCTTATTATGTTAAGGTTGCGAAGAAGTTGGAGGAGAAGAAGGACTATGTTAAGAATGAGTTGGAGAGGCTGACAAAGATGGTTACTAAAGGCGGACTACACGTTGATAAGGTTGATGATATTACTCAGCGTCAGAATATCTTGAAGAGGTTCTCTGGAGAGGAGGAGCCAGTTGTTGAGAAGAAGGATGCTGAGAAGGACGAGTTGTAAATTTTGCAATTTAACTCTGAGTGGGATAGGCCTAACGAGACCAGATAAGTTATGTCATTTGTAAATTAAGGAAGTAAATATCTTGAAAGACATTGAAGGGAGGTTTCCCGAACAGTGTACCTAAGTAGATATCTACTATACTGTCGAGAATAAAAGTTTTTGAATCAGGTCGATACATTCAGATCTAGAAGCTCCACTCGAATTGCTAAGGTAACATTTAATCAATGAAGTCATGCAAAGCTCAAAAAACACAGGTTTCTCCAGCAAAAGAAAAACGCCAAACGCTATGCAGCTTCACTCTTTACAAAAATCCAACCGCCAACATAATCTCTCTCGTGAGCACTTCATCCTCAAAACATGATTTCCATACACCAATTTAAATCCTTCCTCTTCTATATTTCTCTTCCCTAAATACTCCCATTTATTTTTCTCTTATTCGATCATCAATCTATCCCTATGGAGTATCGGACCAGCAAGTTGGGCAGCGGTTTTACGCAAGGGACCCTATTCCTTGAACTCGGCATTCGCTGGCGCGGCAGAAGTGGTAGCGGTATCGCTTCCGGTTGGTTCCTTCTTCTCCAGAACACCACCTAATTCTGCTTCTACGTTGTTACCGTTCGCAGTAGTGGCAGCAGTGCCGCCGGATTCGTTGGTATGGGAAGCTAGGATTGATTGTTCGAGAACATCTAGCCGGGTGGAGATTTCATCCACTGTTGGAAGAGGGTTAGTATATGTTTACATATGTCTCTTTTCTTCTAAATATCGGGAGAAAGAGAGTGCTCACGTCTTCCAAAGAACTCTTTTGATGCAGTGGTAAATTTATCGGTTAACTTGTCGATTGCACCGTTGATGTCTGCGATTACCTCGTCGACGGATTGAGGATGTGAGGAAGGCGCGCGACTGTCGGGAGTAGCTTGGCCGTTCATGAGGGATGTCGTAGAAGTTCGAGGGTTCGACATCGTTCGCGATGGTAATGGTGGTGCCGGTATGTGGGATTAGGGGGGAAGATGAGGAGGGGGGGTTAATGATGTACTGCTTTAAAATGGTGGCGGGGATAATCTCGCGCGTGGTGAGGTGGGTGGTTGTTAGAGAGCCAAGACAAGGCAGGGGAGCTAGACACGGTAACTGGGAGCATAGCTCCTAGGCGAGAATCTATCACAGATCCGGGCTAACCACTTTCTATTATCCAACGATCTCAACGAATTGAGTAACCGGGCGTCCGGGATAATTATCGATAACATTGCATATCGACATCATGACGACTTCGAACGGCCCACCCGTTGTATTCTCCCAAAAACATAATTGAGGCAACTCGACTTCGGAAATGCTGACTATAAACGGTGCCTAGGTACTACTATACCCCGCCATCAATCCGATGGTTCGGGCTAACTTACGGGCGAATTCATTGTCAACAACTACTAACGCTCCCCGTTTCAAATGTTATGACAACGACTAAAAGCAATAAGCTAATACATTTTTGCTCCTATGCTGTTTAGGGGCGTACGAGGGGAACCTAGGCTCTGGTAGGCGGCTTCTACCGAAGAGCTAGAACCAAAGAGGATGAACAAAGTGAATCTCTTTCTTCTCGGAGCCTAAAGAGGGACTGCCACTTTTTCCTATAAGTTTGATTGGCTTTTTATTCGAAGATATTCGAAACTTGGAAGATATTCGAACCGTAATATACGGTCTAGATATACAAGGAGCTCGAGTGGTCCTGACTGCGAGATTCTTGAATATACCTAGAAGTGACTGGTGATCTTGAATATCCCAGATCTGCTAGATGTTCGATGATAATATTATCGTATATTTGCGGTAAAAGGGACACCAGCGGATGCATGGCTATCCACTCAGCTGAATTCCATGGATCTAGTAAATTTAGGATATTTGATTTAACATTCCAGCACAAAATCGCACCCGTGCCATTGTTGAAATATATTTAATTCAATTCGACCTCATAGAATTATAACCTTCATTCGAGCTTATATATACTTACCGTTATAGTTTGGCTTTACGAAATGGCCAAAGTCAAGCTATCTCTTACATCCATTCCTCTCGACGCCATCTACCAAATTCTACATACAATCGATAATAAACCCGACCTCGACAATCTCTGTCTCGCCTTCCCTTATATAGGAGAAATTGTCGCAGAAAACACCCATATCGTCAAGCAACTATATTGGAAGGAGATCCAAAATGACTTCTTCGCGCCTCTCGCATTGTTGAACTCGACGTTGAACAAATCAGATGAAGCTTCACAATTATTGCAGTCGCTAGTTCCACCAAAACACTCCGAAGATGGCGACGACGAAACGAGTACCCAAGACCCAAATATACAACTAACCCCAGCGGCTCTGGTTAAGACACTTAGCCCGCAAGCTACTTTTAACATGACAATCACCCATATGCAGATAGAAAAACTCGCCTATATATTCATGAAAAACCAACTTGAATCTCACTACCCACCACCCCAGATTTACCGTTCCCCGACGTGGGGTGAAAGAACGAGAGTCATCATGGCGATCTATAGAGCGCACATCATGGTCGCCATGCGATTCGTGAATCATCCGAAATTTCCAATATCGAGCTCAACGTACAATACCTATCTCGAGATTTCTGAAAAAATGATACCACAAATCCAACAGGAGGTATTCTATATCTTGTGGGATCAGTGGAATTATTGGGATTTCAAAGAGGTGGGTGTTGTTCTTGATAAACTCTGGTCTGAGCTTCCAATGGCGGTTTATAGGGAAGCCTTGGGGAAGGGGCTAGGTGTGGACTGCAATCTGTTCGAAGCATTGCATCGGCAGGTACGCCGTAAAAAAGGTAAGATATTTTCAGTTTTCTTCTCTTTTTTAAATATCGAAGGATAACTAGATCATCTGGGTATTTTGGGACAAGATAACTAAGAGTAAATCCAAATCTAGAATCGCCATCGAGACAAACAGAAGCCGAATGGATGGATGATTCGATTTCATTTATGTTCTCAATGCGGGATTGGAACCCAGGAAAACATGTGGAGTTTCTAGAGAACCTGGGAAATCGAAAAAAATCAGCAGACTGGCTTTTCGCCACCGCAAACGATGGTGATTGCTTATTCCCGTGGATTGACTGGGATGATACTCCAAACTGCCATAAAATGAACGTTGCCCTCAGAACCCATCTTTACTTCACGACTGCTCTTAGAATACGGTATTTGGAAACTGAAGAGATCACAAAAGAAACATATACTAGGCCCGGTCAGACTTGGTATTGCCGCCCACCTCCACGGCGGCTGATTAAGGGCATAACCGGACAAATAGCTGTACCAAGGATTAAAGATACTAAATATTCGCGTGTATCTAGGACCTGGATTTCGCCGAATCAGGAGAATGTGTGTGCTATGGTTGTAGACTGCCTATGGGACGATTGGAGGTTGAAAGAATGGGGGTATTTCCTTCCAGAGTTTTTGGGGGACGGGTCTTAGTCATAGTTGAGTAACATTGCCAATGTTTCTTGTATGGCTATTATTGCTATTAGCAATAGTTGGTACCACACTACGTATTACACAAGTAACGATTCCTGGATTAATTAGGGTGTGGCATATTCGATTTAGACAACTACAAAGATAGCTACTAGAGCTAGGACCGGGCTTCGAGCTATTTATATCGAGCTCCGGTCCGTTCAGTGTGTTAGTATCCTTTCCAGTCAAGCCCATATGCTCATGCATGCTACTATGTAAACATCTAGGGACTTGGGGTACTTTTGTTGGATTTTACCGGGCCAAGACCTTCCTTTTCATGAGTTCAGTTTCGTAGCCAAAACCTCAGTTGAGACCTTGCACCTAGCACCTCGCTCAGAATCGATTACTCGCTGTTCCATCCTTCAACCAATGTTCGTGCAAACGCTCAAAAAGTAATTTTCGACGCTCTCTTCCATCAAGCGGTTATGGTTTAGTGGTATAATTCTCGCTTAGGGTTCTTAGCAACAATATGCGAGAGGTCCCAGGTTCGAGCCCTGGTAACCGCCTGAGCTTCTTCTTTTGCTTCTCTTTTTGCTCGGCCGTTAATATGCGGTTTGCAAGAAAACTCTTTTTAATTTTGCTCCCATGCTGGTTTGGGTTCGTGACTGTGTTTTGGGCAGAAATGTGGTATTTTTGGATTGACAACACGTTTCTGGGCTTTTTTTGATTTGTGGCGGTTTGGTTACTCGTGTATGGGATGTTCGAGGTTTTGATGTGAAATTGGACATGGCTTAGCACAGTAAGGGGTCTAGTACACGGTGGGGAGAGCTAGTTCTGCTAGCTAAGTAGTTACTTAGTCTTGGTAGCTAGATGTTGGTTTAAAGTCTTTTAATTATTATGGTTAAAAGTAGTATACAGAAGCAAAGTGTGGGCCGCGTCTACAATACGAGACTAATACAGAAGATGGTTCAGGATGTGACCATCATATTAAGGTTCTATCAGCATATTGATATCATGTACGCTGTATTTACTTAGTACAAAGTATCTTATATTAACTACTTACTTAAGTACTTATATATCTGACTAAAATGCCATGGCAAAAAACCGCATGTCCCGATTCAACTTGCCTTTTATGCTCGCCTCTGCGCCCCTATGTCACCACAACGACCAGGACCTTATGAAAACTCCCCATCCGGCTTAAAACCTTCATGATACCGACCCCAATCGCAACTATCTGTCGCACAACCAAACACCGGAGCCTCAGGCGTAACGAGCCAAACTGTGCATGCCATCCTCCGCCCTAGCAAAATATGCACAGTTTTTACCATGATAGCATTGTCGACAACAGTCTGACAAGGAATCACCGGGGTTGGTGTCCCATGTAAGACCCTGGGGACGGGCAGCTGATATCTCAGTGAGTAGGTAAGGATTTTCGCATGGGCTGTAGGGAGCTATTTGGGTGGTTTCGGCGATTTCGGTTGATGTAGAGGTTGTGGAGGTTGTTGCGACGGACTCTGTGGTTGTGAAAGTTGAGATGGCGCTTTGGATGGTGACGGTTTGGGTGTATGTGGATCCGGTGAAAGAGATTGTAGTAGTTGTTTTATAGACTGTTTTTGTTATGAATTTGGTGGAGGTTGGGAGGCGGATGGTTTTTGTCACGGTTGCTCTGCCCGAACGTTTTGTGACTGTTAGGTGGCAGCCTGTTTGAAGTACTTGAGTTAGTATGGTGAATTTAATCAAATAGTACTACGGATTAATCCGTTTATTGAATGCTATATATATATATATATAGGCGGAGAAATACTTACTGCAACTAGGGCTGAGTGTGCTAGAAGTACATATACGCCTCTTCCTGAGCTTTGCACCACCTGATGGGGCCGCCTTGCATGTCTCAAATACAGGTGCTGTCTCGGTGATCGTAGAAGTGCTGGTAGTTTCGCCATGTGTGAAGAATGTTTCTGTTGTTGTTACCGTTTCTTCTTTGACGGTTGGAATTGTGGTTGTGATGGTTCTGGTGGCGATACTTCTATTTGTAATGACAATGGTTCGAGATGAGGTTATCGATACTGTCTTTGTGGTGCTTGGTTTAATTGTAATTGTCTTTGTTACGGTGGTCGAGGGTGCAGTGCAGGTTGTTCTTTTTTGTTTGAGTTCTGATAATATAGCGTGTTAGACTGTTTAAATTCTGCCAATTACTAGTCCTAAGGCTACTATCTCTCTGAAGGGGGAGATATATATAGATAGGTCTTTAATTTAAATACTACTTACTCGAGATCTGGGATGAGCACTGTAGTGCTCTCGCGCCCACTGTTGGACATGATGGATTAGATTGCGCTTTGCAGAATTTTGTAGCAAAAGCTGCCGCAATAAAGGAGGCGAAAAGAGTGTAGAAAAACAAGAACCGTACCATAGTATAGTCCTAACTATATATCGTACCCCTCGGGTTTATTTGCAATTGGTCTTAGCTTTGCAATTATCCAAAGCGGTAAACTTTTTGAAGGTAATAAAAATAGGATGCGATTCCGGCTAACTAACGTTTGAACTCTATTTATTTGTTTAACTATCCCCCTATTTTCCATGCATTGGCCCTGCCTTCTTCCACGCGTGTCGGTACCTATGTTAAACAGTACAGTGAAAATAGGGGAAACAGATTATCTAAAGGTACTATTTCGTGCACATGGTGGAGGCGTCCGCGGGAGCGCCACTAATTGTGATAAATTTCTCCCCCGGCGCCGCCCAACGGGTCTCTAAGTGGCGCCAAGGTGGTAGACTGCGTGGCCAGATCATGATAATATGTTTAAATTTGGTTTACGAACTTTTTCCTTGAATGGATGTTGCGGCGTAGATGTATGATTTTTTAGTCGAGCCCACCAACAGATTCTGTTCTATTCCGAAGTGCGAAACCAATTGAATAGCTCCCGAACCGAGGCCAAGACAACGGTCAGGGAGCGGTCGCTTGTTTAGGCCTGCTTTCATATGTTGTGGACTAACAAGAGTGGTCCTAGGAATTTCGGACGCTGATTAGGCTAGAAATATTAAATGTTAAGCCTGTTGATACTTCGATGGTTTATGATTTAATAAATAAATAAATATTATAAATTATGGTGCCCTTATGTTTTATAGAGCATGCACCATACCAAATAAGTATTGTCTTGACGTATATACGTATATTCTAGTAATTTCTAAGCGAAGAGAGCATTAATAGTCCACATATCTATCTACTTAAGTATGTACCAAGCGCCTGCACAAGGATTATGTTACAATCAGATATCCATTTGAATTTCGTTCATATTCTGAGAAACAGGGATTCGGGGTCCAAACCATGGGTTTCAATTAATATTATGAATAATCGAATCAAAAACATACAATCCCGATCCAGAGGGAGTCTCGTGCCCTATCTATGACTCGAACATAACCCGAAACCATGCTAGCCCAGTACAGGACCCCCAAAGTCGATCCGGATCTAGCCTGGGAGTCGCTTCCTGGTGTTCGCAATCCGAATCCAAAGCTCAACCGCGTTGCAATGTTGTATGTCCCAAAGTGGAACAGATCTGTCTTATAATGGTTAGCGGCTTGGCAACATCCAACACATTTTTATGCGACGGATGTCATTATGACGTTTGGGCTTTTCGCATGACGACAGTACTTTTGGACTTCTATTACGCCATGGGAAGAGCAATTGAGGATTTTCGAACGACGCGCCTCAGGTTCCCTTTGAGATGTAGATCCGGGTTATTTGGGCAAATTTTCGAACAAAATCGATCTAACTGAGTAGATAATTTATACTATGTGGTGCTTGTACATTTCGAGCTCTTTTATGACGCTTAAACTTAGGTTGCCGAAGTTGGTATCGATATAATCGACTTTCAAGCCAAAACGTTGATACAAAACGACATGTAACAATGCAATGAACGGACAGTAAATGAAGTAGTATTAATCCGGCGATGTCTCGTTCTTTTTCGGACAGATTGGTACTGGACTTTCAGTATCAATTTCCGAGAATTCTTTGTTAAAATACCCCAGTCTAGGCTAAGTAAGTCTACAATACTATAGACATGGCCACCATGAGGGGTAAAAAACAACCACCACCACTACTACCAATGTGATCAAATATTTGAGTTCCACCGAAGGACTGTTAATTAGCTGTCTGGCTCGTCCGATCTATCGAACTGGAACTGGTGTGATCGGGTGGCGGATACACGAGCTAGAACGCCAGAACACGCTCCTGTTTCGTCACTAATATATCATAGTTACTAACACCTCAACCTATTTTCCAAACGGGTGGGAAGTCAACGTTAGAGACATGCAGTACCAAAAAAACAGGAAAAACAGAAACTGTCAAATGTCAAAAGGCATTTCTGTTTTCATGCTGTTTGGTGGAAAGTAAGAATGATGCTGGTATATAAAGGAATGTAGCCTGCCATGCGCGCAGCAGAGGCAGATCCGATAGAACTGCTCCTCTCTGAGACGATTCACGCTATATAACAGAATTATCTATCTCATTACACCATTACCTTACAATAAACACTATAGCGCTATATTCCGTTGCATTGCATTACATTACCGCACCGACGCTGCAGCTGGGTACTTAAGATAGATAAATTATATTATTAATTAATTACTTCATTTATAAAGAACGATATTCTTCTTTTTCTTCTTTGTTTTCTTCTTTTTCCTGCTCGAAGTCTACTTCTCGAAACTCCCCTCAACCCTCATCACATCACATCACATTACATCACATCACAATCAACCAACCTCCCACTCCAAGTTTAATATCAAGACCTCATTCCATCTCATCTCCCCTCATCACTAATCAACCATCAATCATCGGTCATCATCATCATCATAAGACCCTACAAAAAAAACATTAATTTCATCAAAAATACCAAACTGACGGTCGTTTCGCCATGTCGGTCAACGTTCCCGTGGACCCAAAGGTCCGAGATGCTGACATCGAGAACAAATTGAGATTGTTCGGAATCTACAACGCCTTCGCCAATGGCAAGGTCCCCTCTAACCAACAGATCGACGTTGCTCTCAACAGCGTCCTAGAATCGAAGGCCCTCTCGTCGCCGAGTGATAAGCTCTCCGATGAAGGGAAGTCTCTAGTCGACGACCTCAAGAAAGTTATCAATGAGGCCAAGTTACTCCTTCTCTCTAAAAACCATGACCAAGCCATCCAAGAATTCATCTGGCACGCCCAACACGCTGGTAAAACTGTTGGCGGTCCGACTCCCAATGCTCCTGTCAGCAAAGAACAGGCTCAGCAAGATAGTGATAACGCTCTTGCCGGCCTTCGAACATTAGGAACCCTGATCATCACCAACGGTCAATTCAGAAAGCTCCGTAAGTTTAGAAACTGCTCCAGCAACTGGCTTAGTTTTTGCTTTATGTCCTAACGATTCTGCTGCCTTGTAGTTACGGATTGCACAATATTGTTCCGAGACATCGCCTCGGATGCCGCCCAAAAGGCAGGAGGAAAGCTCCAGCCATCTCAAGACCAGTTGAACCAAATTGATAAGCCAGCTGAGGACAACACCTGGCACGAAGCACCAGATCTTTCTCGTGGTTCTCTCCAAGAACGTGCTAAGGGCGCCTTCAACCGCAATGCACCGGTCAAGACCGATGACGTCAGACAAGCTGTAGGAGATACCACGGCAGCTGCCCATCCGGAGGGTTCTAGGGATCCACAGAGTCTTGCTGGACAGGCAGTAGGAGAATATCAAACCGGTTCTCAGTCGGGCATCGATGCTCAGGGCGGTCTCCAAGCCGGATTGAATACATTGAATGCCCGCAAAGATGACCAACAATTCGAAGAGCAAAAGAACAAAATTAACGAAACGAGCAATGAATACAAGCGACGAGCTTCTGATTATCTTAAGGGGAAACTGCCACAAGAGCGTCGCGATCAAACAATCTGGCGTTTGAAGAAAATGGTCGTCGAAATCCAGGGTCACGAAGACTACCAACAAGCCGTTGATACCTTGTTGTATCTTGCTGAAACCTATGCTGGACACACCAAAGCCGTCGGAGAACAAGCCAATACGTCTGTCTCAACCGTCCGTGACGACAATCACCTTAAATCTGCAGAGAACCTACTTCGTGTTATTGTCGAGCGATTTGCCAACAGTACTTCCACTGAAGATCTCTTTGACGCCATCAATGATGTTTATAAGGATGCCGACAGGGATTCTCAATTGAAGGAGTGGTTCAAGGATGTTGACGGATACATCCGCAGGTGTTTGAAGCAACAAGGATACATTTTGACTGACAGAGCCAATGAAGAATATGACATTCTTTACGACCGTGGCCGCTTCCTCCTCCGTGACCGCTACCGTGGCCATACTGACCGCATTGTCGATGAATTCAAGTATCTGGGTGACCAATTCGCACAGGATCCTCAGAACAAGCAATTTGCCGATTCGGTCACAAAGTTACTGAACAACCTTGGAAAGGATTCAAATGGCAAGGCTGTTTTCAAGAAGCACCTCGTTACTGACGTTGCTACCGTTATTATCCCTGGATTCTTCGAAACTGTTCGCTATGTTCCAGTTCCCCGAATTGAGTATACTGATAAACGGTTTGACGTTATCGTCGAGAACCTTGTCATCGAAGGAGACAACCTCATGCCTAATGTCTTCGAGTTCGGCAACGATTCATACTTCCGTTGGGGACGTAAGGACGTCACTAGCAAGAACAAGCAGAAAGTCATGCTTGCCGTTTCCGGAGTTCAGTGTGACCTAAAGGATGTCAGCTTTTATATTAAGAAGAAGCAGGGATTCCCATCGCTCACTGATACCGGTTTGATGGACATATACTTAGGAGGTGAAGGTTTCAGCTTCACCATCAAAATGTCATCTGCTGAGAAGAAGGATCGCGCCCATTTCTTCCAAATCGACAAGGTTGACGTTGATGTCAAGCATGTCAACATCAAGCTTAAGCAAAGCAAGCACAAAATGCTGTTCACTGTCTTTAAGCCACTTCTCTTGAAGGTCGTCCGCCCAGCTTTGCAGAAGGTTCTTGAAAAGCAAATCAAGACATCCTTCTCCGATCTTGATCGCAAGCTATACGCCATCAAGACCGAGGCAGACAAGGTTGAAGAAGATTTGCGAGAAAACCCAGACCCCGAAAGAGCCCGAAACATCTTCCAACGCTACTGGTCTGCTGCCCAACACGAGTTTACCCAGAAGAAGGAGAAGGCCCAGGAGATCGCCGCTGATAAGAAAGCCAATATTGCCATCACACAAGAAGATTCCATGTTCAAGGACATCAAGCTTCCTAGTGGTACTTCAACTGCCGCTACCAAGTACAAGAATATGGCTCGTGACGGCGAACGCTGGGAATCTCCTGTCTTTAGCATCGGAACTGCTAAGGAATCCAAGAACATCCCAAAGCCGGTCGATGTTACCCGCAAGCCCCATGGAAGCAGCCGGGCCCAGCTTAGAGCCCCTCGTGATTCTGGAGCTGACTTCGATACTAGTGCTCCCAACCTTGACGGGGCTGGATTTGCTCCTACCGGTTACGCCCCTGGCCCTACTCACACCGGCCCATATGCGCAGCTTCCAGAGACGACTAAGCCTGGTACCTTCAATCCAAACGCTCAGACGTTCGGCACTAACAATCCAAACGCTCAGACGTTCAGTACTAACAATCCAAACGCTCAGACGTTCAGTACTAACAATCCAAATGCTCCTATGCTTGGTAATAACGTTCGTTCCGCTTTGGGACATTAGGCCTGCAATATTCACCTGATTTCCTTTGTCCACTTTGATATGATAAGACGCTGTTGGTTTTACTTTGAGCGCGCTGTGCCATCACCTTTTGCTCCGAAACGCTTTTTTTCCAAAAACAACTAAACTGGAATGGGTCTTGTTTTTATTTCGTTCGTTGCCTCTAACAAGCTTTGGGGGCTTCCTTCCAATACCCGAATTTTTCGTTAATCATTCCTGTTTACTCTTTCTTTTAATGAAAACTTCTATACGTTCCAAAAGCATGCATCAGATAATACATGTTAACTAAGGCATAACTACTCTTTTAATATTTCTTTCAATTGATTCTCTCAGGCGTTTCTAACTAGTGTGTACTTTCAATTGAATATTTTTTTTGGAAAAAGAAAAATCCGCCGGCCTCCGGCTAGTCTAGAAGCCTTATATGTAGGATGTATCGATTCTGTGGTATTTTTGCTGATAAATCATGAATATCGTGTTGTTGGGCCTGTGACATTTGCAAACGCTTCCTCAGTTATCCTCATCCACCATGTCGCGCCGAAGCACATTCCAAAGACTCGGCTATATCTGCCAGTCATGCTTTCAAAAGCGGTCAATCTCGACCTCCAAAACTCTTCGTGATGGTATCCCTCACAGCCCGGAGTCGCAGAGGGTTCTGCTGCCGCCTGCGCCGCCCTCCGAACATCGGGTCTTCAAGCTTTCTTCCTCAAGAAAGTTGATCTCGATCCAAGGCCGTGATGCTGCGGAATTTCTACACGGAATAACCACGAATATTGTTCCGAACTCGAAGAATGTAGAGGGACTGTATTCTGCGTTTTTGACGGCACAGGTAAGTTTATTGTTTTCGCTAATGAAAATATATATATACATGTTATATTTCGAATTTCTTAGTACTAACGGAAAGAATGTAGGGAAGGGTTCTCTATGACGTCTTCATATACCCCACCAACCACTCCAGGCACGCTCTTCTCACGAATGGTAGTGATGACCCTGCTTTCTTGATTGACGTTGGAGCAGAGCTGGCACCAGAACTCCTGAAGCATATACGACGGTATAAACTTCGATCGAAGTTTATTATCAAAGCCGTTGACGACTTTAACGTATGGTCTGTTCCGAATTCGTTCCGGTTGGGTGAAGACGAAGCCGTCGATCATCCATCAAATCTCAAGATTGGATGTGTGGACCCTAGAGCACCTGGTATGGGACGTAGGGTTGTGCTTCCGACGGATGTATCGCCGTCTGAAGGACTTGTTACTGCGCCTGACGATGAGATTACGTATAAGCTTAAGAGGTATCTATCGGGGGTACCGGAGACGCCGGGGGAGATAGTGTCTGGGTCTGGATTACCGCAGGAATCGAATATTGATTACATGTCTGGGATTAATTTCCACAAGGGGTGTTACGTCGGGCAGGAGTTGACGATACGGACTCGGCATACTGGTGTGGTTAGGAAGAGGATATTGCCGGTTCAGTTGTATACTTCTTCGGAGCCGTTGAAGAATACGACACCATTATATGATCCGGTTTTTGGGGCTACTTTACCGGAGATACCGACTGGTGGTAATATCGCACGAGTAAACAAGAAGGCGAGGTCTGCGGGGAAATTCTTTGGGAATGTGGGGAATATAGGATTGGCATTGTGTAGGTTGGAAATTATGACGGCTACGAGTTTGGGAGGTGAAGGGCAGAGTTTTGATCCGGAGGTTGATGAGTTTAAAGTAGATCTTGGTGAGGGGGCAGGGGATGGGGAAATGGTGAAAGTTAGAGCTTTTGTGCCGGACTGGCATACTACTGGGGCGGTTACAAATGAGGTTTTGTAGATATTGCTTTTATCTTATAGGTGTATGATAATTTTTGAGTGTATACAATGACATACTAGAGTTGCGATTAGAGTCAATCGGTTTTCTCTTCTTCAGCCTCTCGTCTCAGCAGCTCTTCTGTTAGTTTTTGCTGTTCCGCTTGACGCCTTTCGGCTGCTTTGGCTTTCATCCTCATTAAAGTGACTGATTCGAAGTCCATCTCATCTGCTCGACTTGATGAATCTGTGGATGCTGTCGGCTTTTTGAATGAAGATGCTTTAAAACTAAATGATGGTGTGGACTTCGAAGTAGGTTTGTAGCTCTTTGAGAATGTCGGAAACTTGTCTTGCTTGTCGTCTTTGCTCCCTTCAGGATTTGACTGTGTCTCTTTCCCTTGCGGTTTGGATGGCGGCGGTGGTGCCTCCTTCTGTTTCTCTGCCATTTTAGATGACTTTTTGAACGTCAAGTCAGGCTCCTTGCCTGATGCCCACACTACATCCCTGAATATCCCCCATTCATCGTCCTCTTCTTCTAGCGCCTTCTTGTCACGGTGAACAGCAGCATACGCATGTGCGATATTGTGAAATATCAGCAGGGCACTGGCGTACTTCTTTTCTTTCTCAGCACTCCCAGAAACCACTACGCACTCATCGATCTTCCCAAATCGGCCAAAGAGATCAACCAAGCCCGCTTTATCCATCATCTCGCCAGCTCCTTTCCTCCTCCATTTAACCTTCAGTGTTCGATCCAGCTCCGAAAACTTCGATTCTCCGACTACAACTTCCTCATTGTCGTCGTCCTGGTCGATTTCCATCTTTGCGGCATCCTCTTCCTCCTCTTCTTCCTCAGCAGCGGCTTCCCTCTTCTTTCTTTCATCCATCTCCTTTCTCCTCCTAATGCCTTCTTCCTTTAGTCGTTCAAACTCTCGTTTCTTCTCGTCGACCTCGGTCTTTTGTCGTTTAAAGCTATTCTCTCGAGCCTCGAGTTCCTCTTTCATATGTCGTCTATTGCTATCATACGCTTCTGCGCGTCGCTTCTTGGCAACCTTTGCAGCGAGAGCATTGTCGTATGCAGCGCGTAGTGCAACATCACAAAGGATCTCTTGAGCGGCGGTAAGGAGATGGAATTTTTCGACAGCGGAAGGGTTATCCTATTTATTTTTTGAAACACAAAGGATTTGTGAAAAATATCTTTTGGTTGGTATGGGTTCTTGGAAGGGTTTGTTTCTTTTCTTTTTTTCACTTTTTTTTCACTGTAGATAGTGCGAGCAAAAGAGAGATATTGATGGTCGGTTCAGCGACAGTGTGTGGTAATAGAAGGGGAATTACTCAGCTGGGGAGGCGGGGAGGAGTGGTTGGTGACTTACGGGATTCTTGTCTGGATGGTATTGAAGCGCGGTTTTTCGGTACGCGCGACGAACGTCTTTGGCTTGAGCTGTGGTTTCGAGGTTGAGGAGTTCGTAGAATGATAGAGGCGAGTTCGCGAACTCGATGGCCTCGGATTCTGAAAGCATGATGGGCAGTTGGGGTAGTGGTAGTGATCAAGATAGATCGATGGGAGCTGGGAGGTGGTGGTGAGTCGGAGTTTAAGTTGCGGTTGGAAGGTTGAAGTTAAGCGACGGTGGGCTATAAATGGGCGAATGTTACAATACATATTAATATTACCACCAAATAGAGATATAGAAATCAACAGATTCAGAGGATATCAGAATAGCTATGTACAATATACTCCTCTGCCAAAATCCTCCTTGTTAAATTATATCATACAATAGAAAGAATATATGTGCATAAGTGATCGGATCCTTAAGGCCTAGAAGACCCTGTTTTCGGATTGTGCCTTCCTCAACTCCTTCTTCTTCTTCTGTATTTCAAGCTCCTCTGCACTCTTCTTCACAGTAGGTGTCTGCTTCTCAGCCGCTGGTTTCCTTGCTTGAGGTTTCCTACCCCAGAACAAACTTGGAGTCTCGCCAGGCCTGACAAGATGTGTGAGGTAACCTCTATGCGCTGGATCTCTGTAGTACTCGATATCTGATCTCGAGGTTGGACCGGCCAGCCTGTGACCGTCAGGGAATAGATGTGGCCTTGTAATGAATCGAATGCCCTCTCTTGTGTAGAATTTTGTTGTAACCTTACCCCCTAGAGATTCGATCTTCTCAATGGCCTGTCGGGATGCTTTGTTAACCTCGATTTCGACTGGAGTTGTGAATTGGTCAACGTCCTAAATAGTAATCATTAGAGCCTATCCGGACACCGATAAATTACTGGAAGATAGCCTTCGTACTCTAGCCAATAGCTTGACGCCGTCCTTAATCCCATGCACTGCCCTCGAATCGAACAATTCCTTCAAAGTGATCGGCTTCGTTGGATCAATTCGTCCCTGATTGATCCATTGTTGCAATGTACCCAGATTCAACGCCGTAAAATGCTTCACCAGTGGATTCTTGAATCCCTTTTCAGGATTCACAATCGATTGAGGTGTCTGACCTCCCTCAAAGTTATTGGGCCTGTGTCCACCACGCTGACCCTGACCTTTATGACCACGACCGGATGTCTTGCCCTTCCCGGATGAAGGACCGCGACCGACACGTTTCTTGTTTGTATGTTGTGAACGAATATCTCGAAGGTCTGCGATGATAGACGCAAATCGGACCTGACTGATTGGGAAAACAAAGGACGGCACCACCGATGAGGGGTTGGATATCGGGGAGATGCTAAGCTGGCGGAGGGTCTGCCGTAAGGCTCTTAGAGCCGTTGTGGAGGGGATCATTGTCGCAATCTATCTATGGGAGCCTCTCCGACTCTCCCAAAGACGAAGAGTCCAGGCAGAGCCAATGGCCAGGTTTAATCGAAAGTTGGAAGCGGGGTGGTGGCCCGAGAAGAGGATGTCGAGATGGGACTTTCTCGATTTCTTTGGTGTTGCAAGCGCAGGTTGGTTGAAATTTGCTTGCCCGCCAAAACCACCTCAACGCTGAATATCGGCAGAAGGAAGCTCCCAAAACACATTCTCATCCACCAAACCTTCATCGAAAACCCCATCGAACAGGCTTCTCCAACATGGCCGACACAGAAAACGGTACAAGCGCCGTCGCGGAGCCGTTAGATCTCGTCCGACTTTCTCTTGATGAAGTCGTCTTTGTCAAGCTACGTGGAGATCGCGAGCTCAGAGGCAGACTACACGTGTGTACCTCACTTCACCCCACTATATCAGTCACCAATACGGAGAACTATACGATGGAAAGCTGACGGTATTGGACGACATATCTACAGGCCTACGACTCGCATTGCAATCTAGTACTTGGAGAAGTTGAAGAAACGATATACGTGGTTGACGAAGATGATGATGACACAATACGGGTACGATATCAATTTGCCGGTCACATAAGGTTCCGGTCTGGATACTAAGTATTTTATGGGTTCCATAGACGGTCAAGAAAAATTCGGAAATGTTGTTTGTCAGAGGTCCGTTGGATATCCTCAGCTCAGCCTTCAACTTCTGAAGGGAAGCTAACTAACTATGTGACCTATAACTAGGCGATAGCGTTGTCATTATAGCTACGACGACCTAAAGGAACCGACACCTCTCGAGAATAGCTATGAGCCTCAAAGGCGGGCTAAAATGCTTTACTCTATGATCGAGACGCTTTCCCCGAACTATTATACCCCAACATGTTAGTAGCATTTACTTAAACCTCGATGGAAAGCGACGGGCTGGGTTTCTAGGGTTCTGAAGGTACCCAGGCATCGTGATATTTAGCGGCTACGCCTTTTTATGCTGAAAAGTTGAAATCTAGATATTTCAAACGTCTCCGCCACTCCAGTGCGGCTTATGGCTCCACAACTTCTTGATATACCTAAAAGTTCAAAATAGAAAAGCAAAAGGTTGTCCCTAACGAATGAAACGACAGTTTTCCTTCGGAAGTTCCAAAATTTTGCACCAAAAGCCTGTTTATTTTAAAAATGGAGCCGCTTTGCCGCTTCCAGGCACCCTTGGCACCTGCACAGGCATGTTTGACATTTACCCACTGGTCCAATGTGCTGGTTCGCTAGGCTGCCGATGATACGCAAGGAGTCGCATGAATAAGGACCACAATGGATGCAAATCGTAAGACGGTACTTGGTAAGCGTGCCAGGTAGATGCCAATCCTTATCAATTTCTTATATACCCCCCTTTAAATTCATTATTCAAAGCCATTGTTCTTGATATCGATAAACCCTTTTCTTTGTCCTGCTCTCCATTATTGTCAAAAATTCAAAAACTGGCCAAAAGACGTGAAGGAAACTCGTAGTCTTGGTGCCAGGAAATTCGGCGGGCCAAACCCGGTTTCGAAACTAGCCGACCATGGCGTCGACACAAAGCCCAGAAATTACAAATTATGGGGACGAGATCTACTCGCGGCCTCACTGGATGCCCCAACCTGCCTCACAACCTTCAGTTTTCCGAAGGCCGGTTCCATATCAATCCAATGATACACCTATATCCGATAATAATGAATACGAACTAAAGAACAACTCAAGTGACGCGCTAAAAGGGAAACGGGGTTCTGGAGGGCCGCCGCGACAGAGTAAATGGGGAGTAACCTGGCAATCACCAGCTCTCTGTCTTGTGTCATTTTTCACTGGGATCGCTCTTGCATTCGGGAACCACGCCTATTTTACACGGCTTAATGGCACTCCATACGAAAACTTCGTTTGGGTTGGAAGATATGCCTTTACCATGGCGCTCATCGTTAAGACATGTTTTGCAACATCGATTTTAATCTGTTACGAACAAGTCGTCTGGTTGGGATTAAAGAATAAGGAAAGCGGGACAAGTTTCCGGGCGATCGATGCGCTATTCGGGGCGACTTATCAAGTTGTATCGCTGTTTTATTATTCGATGTGGATTCAACAACCCCTCGCCGCCATCATGATCGCTCTTCGTTGGTTACTCCCAATCATGTCTATTGTGGCGCCGACGACCTTGACGGTCCAATCTCTCGGAAGGGTCAGCTATATGGACTGCCAAGTACCAACGCTCGACTTATCTGCTGTCGATTATAATAGATTCTACTTTGGCGAGAATGAACCGCAAACCGGTACTTATCTTGCAGACTTGGCTTTCCAGGAATACACGGGAAACTCGTGGAATCCCAGTCCTCTCGCCGTGAAGATCGCCACATTAACAGGCTACCTTGGAGAACCTGTGAGCTACCCATCACCTTGTGGGAATAACTGCTCCTACAGCCTTAGTTACAGCGCGGCGCTTTGGAAGTGTACCGAAACAGACCCTCATGATCCAAGATCGCCATGGGAAATCGAAAATAGCACAACAGTGCCTTGGTCGTCTGCTAAGGGTAGCAGCCCGTACGCTTACACCTCGATCTATCAGTACGTGTCTCAGGTATCTAACACAACTGGGAAACTTTGGGTCGGCCATATTGTCAGGAAGGAGGCTAGCAACGACCCGAATGCGACTTTTTGGGACGAGAACGGCGTTGAAACTTTTGTCTGCGAAGGATATAACTCAACTGTCTCTATCCGACAAGAATTTCTCAACGGCAAACAGAACTACCCACTTGTCGAAAATATACAGTACGGGCGAGAAATCAACTGGACGATGGGTAATACATGGGCGGGAGAAAATAATATTACAGCAGTAGACCTCGCACGTCATCAAATCATCTATGAAATTTTATCCGGCCTTTTTACAGGAAGTGTTTACTATGAAAGTCGGTCGGGCAAGTTGTTCACCGGAGACACCAGCATCCTCAACATGCCCTCGTTTGTCAAGCCCAACACGGTTAAAGCGGAGGGTGGCAATGGACCAAACGACGAAATAAAGAGTTCGATAAGAGGCTTAGCGGAACAGTTGAGCTTGAATTACTCCATGTCGCTACTCGCTTTCCCAGATCTAGGAGTCAGAAATACTACGACGGCGAACTGCACGGTTACCACATTCAGCAACGTTTGGAAATATGACAAGACGAATTTGATAATTGCATACTCAATCGGTATGGTTGTGGCGTTGGTCTCGTTGATAGTGGGTGCTCTCGCACTCCGCCAGAACGGCCTTGTTTCCGAGATGTCATTCTCGCAGATCGTGGCTACAACAAGGAATCCTGAGCTCGATAAAATGATGCAAGGGAACTCGCTAGGACGCAGCGACTTAAAACCAAGGCGCTTATACGGAGAAAGGCTAAGGATGGGAGAGTTGAAGGAGCAGGATAGTGCGCTCCTGGCTAGCGGTGCTGCACACACTGCATTTGGGCGGCCGGAGAATGTTAGGCCTATAAGGCGGCAGGGTTATTACATATAATACACCCGGAGAAGATTATGATTTTATGATAAATTTTTTGGAATGGCCATATGGGTGGGGCTCACGAGCTCAGCATCCGCCATTTGTTCGAGTAATAGTTTGATAGGACTTTATTTTTGTTTGATTCCAGAATTCTTTGTATTAATATTACTACTAGGGACGGCGTTTGAAGTGTACATACAATGATAAATAAATGTTTGGATTTTTCATACGAACCCGATACCCCTAGTATCCCGTAAACCAAATGGCGAGCATGCAGTGAAGCGGTAGCGTGGACTTCGATGCTCGGAGTTACAAAAGTACTAGTCTTGTACTAAAGTACCTGGTTCTGTGTCTTTAAATACAATATCGACTAGTACCTAGGCTCCAGGAACATACTCTACATTGGTAGTAAGTTGAACTATTTACTCCTTTCTCTCAACCTTCCCTTTTCCAATCTCTGCCAAAGCCTTACAAGCATCCTCCCAAGCAGTATCTCCCTCAAATAGTTGACTTCGCAAATACGCCCAAGTCATTCTCTGCACGATGCCCAGAAGCTCCGGACTTTCATCCAAGGTCTCACCCGCATCCCACCCGCTAATCCCACCCAATCCATGTTTAGCACCAAAAAGCGTAAGTAAATCCTTCGGCCCCGGAGCTTCATGATATGGATCCGCATGCCAATCAGCGCCACGGGTCGTAAGATGCGGACTAGCATCGTCATCACCATAAACCACCAAAGCAGGGGTCGACATCTTGCTAAACTCTGCTCCATAGAATGGTATCATACCTTTCCCATGTTCTGAAAGGTTTTCCCCCGAGCCACCTACACCGGCAAGAATAACACCGACCTTAACACGGCTATCCGGTTGATAATAAACAGGACCACCACGGGGGTCTGTGTTGGAAAATCCAAGGAGCCCGTAGACCGTAAGTGAACCGGCTGAATGACCAACGACACTAATTTTCGCGTGATCAAGACGGCCTTTAAGACCAGGTACGGTTGATTCAATAGTATCAAGGCTATCAAGAATCTGTACCATATCCCCCGCACCACCTTTCCACCACATTTCATCTCCCTGTGGCCATGGAAGACCACCACCCAGAAATCCAGACCTCAAGTGCGTTGGTTGGAGTACTGCAAAGCCATGAGCAGCGTAGAACTCGGCTAATGGGGCATATCCTTCGAGGGAAGAAAGATAATTGCTAGCACCTTGGCCGTGCGAGAGAAGGAGGATTGGGAGTGTATCATTTCCTATGGCTGGAAATGTAACACGCAACTCCAGGTCGAATAGACGTCCTGGGGCAGGAAGGACAACAGGACTGAAGGAGATTATTGGAGTTGAATCATTGATTGGGATTTGAGCAGCTGCTCCGATTCTGGCGTGGTATCCGGAATGTGCCATGTTGTATGGTATCTTAGACTTGGTTTAAGTATAGTATGTTTATAAATTGGGAAACAGGATTGGTGCTTTTCTAGGACAAATCTTGAAATAGATAGAGTAAAGGAAGTATAATGGAAGAAGATGACGAAGGAAGAATATTATAAGCTATTGGACTGTGATATTATACTAGTTTGGATGTATATGATTTGTCTGGGTACGAGACAAGTATATGATGAAGAAAGATATATTTTCCGTAGGAGTTGGTGTAGTCCAGATATTTATAGACTTCAACCTAGTAGTTAGATACCAATGAGACTACGGATTTAGATGGAAGTAATTCAACGGAGTTACAATTACGAGAATTATTCAGCGTGAACTTGGTCATCAGAGTATTAAATTGAAGGATTCGAACTTTGAAGTTATCGACTTTATGCAGGTTAATTGACCAGCCCAGCAATGTGAGCCCAGGTTGGACTTGAACGACCGGGATTTGATTGGCTGAAGACTGTTATCCCAATTAGGCAAGTGTGAAGTCGACAGATTAGTCAGCCCGGATGTTGCTCACAATGCAATTGCAAAGTGCCGACATGAAGCCGGCCAAACCCTTCATGAATTCAACGTAAATACTCTCAAGCGCATTTAGCCACTGGATGCTCACTATATCCTCCGTCTAAACCCCCCAAAGGAATACAAGGCCAATTGCTGAATATTCGTTACGACTTACAAGTTTCCTTGACATCATTGTCGACGCTTCTGACGAATTAAGTTTCAGCCGAGACATAATATAATTATACAATTTCCAACAATTACAACGCGGAAATTTAAAGGTCTTCCAAAATCCAAAAAGAAAGAAAGCAAAGAAAGCAAAGAAAGAAAAAGACAAGAAAAAGAAATGGAAGATTTTGAGGTCTTACACGAAACACCTTCGCCAGAGGACTACTTCCGCCTCCGCAAAATTTCCGGACTTACGCCAAAGTCCCGAGAAGCGATAGCTCGAGGCCTTCCCAATACCTTATTCGGGGTTATAGTCCGTCACAAAGCCGATAGTAAAGTGGTGGGGATGGGGAGGCTTGTTGGGGATGGAGGACTCTTTGTTCAAGTGGTAGATATCGCGGTTGAACCAACATGCCAAGGTCGCGGTATCGGGAAAACTATCATGCAAACAATCATGGATTGGGTTAAAAAAGAACTCTTTCCGAGTGCGTATGTTAGCTTAATCGCAGATGGGGAAGCATACCGGCTATACGAGCAATATGGGTTTGAACTGACGGCACCAAGGTCAGTTGGAATGGCTATATGTATTCAGTAAAAATTATCGCACCGTCTCGCAAAATAGAGTTTTTATATTTAAAGCCTTCAGAATACCCCGGAGGATTATACCGGCTCCTTCGATACACTGTACTTTCTGCCTCTGAGTGTCGAGAATGAATGTTTTTTATTGATATGTTAATTAAGACTAATTTAGGGCCATGGCGCCAACAATATTTCCAGTTGCCTCTCCAAGGCCGTGCTATTCAAACAGCGAGCCATAATCTTGAGGCATCTTATATCCATGTAGTCGGAGCTAATAATATCCGCCTATGTTATATTCAAGATCACGTTCTGAAAATCTGCGGGCTGAGGACAGCTCCCTCGCTCTAGGATCATAGTTCCAATCCATTATCGTTTCTCTCCAATCAACCTCGAGCGGCCTATCTTGTTTATTAGCAAGCTCAAACATGAACTTTTCCGTTCCAAAGTTTATCTTGAAACTGCTAGAATAGTTGGAGAATCCGAAGAAGGGGTAATAAACATTTGGATCGAGCTGAGTGGTCGTGAAAACCACAGCCCCGTCGACAGTGAAGAAAAGCACCTGAGTTACCGGGTTCATACCACAGCCGAAGCAACGATATTTAGTATCTGTGAATGGATTTGATGTGCCCTTCCCTGTTGCTTGGGACACATGCTTCAAATCACCCTCATACGGCCATTCGAATCGGTCCGTATATTCGCAAGAGACTGAACCATCAAAGATATCACAAGCAAAATGAGGGGCTTGTAGCCCCGGGCATCGAATACCAATCTCGCAGAAAACGCCACTTAATTCAAAGCTATGTTTATTTTCATATGGCACATGTGTTAGCCCCAAATTACTTCTCAACGATCGTGGCGGGCGTAGATATAGATCTAGATATTTAAGAAATGAAAGAAAAAAACAAATGATACATCGATAAGTCCTACTTACTCGGATAGTCCGCTGCTCAGTGTTACTTCAAAGTAGAAAACCGCGTTCATAGGGGGTATAGGGTGATCCGGTATAACGAAATAGTATTGATTTGGCTTGGATCCTAGATTGTTATGAATATTATTTTAATAAAGATATCCTTCACAACCGCAAATAAAGTTAAGAGTCCCTACCGGTAGATAAGACTTCGAGTGCATCATTTGAAAGTTCTATAGAACACGATGCCCAGCCTATCCGTGTTGGTCTTGCGAATTCTGACGGCGGCGATAAAAGACGCTCTCCCCCTTCCAGGTCTGGGTACGAGACAGGCTCTCCCCCTGGATATCGCATCCGATTCAGACGTACCACACTTACCTTCACGATATATTCAGATAAATACCAGCCGTGAAGGCGCTTACAGGCGGAACCATATCGATCAATCAGGTCTCGAGTCTCGGGGTGGGCTAATATCGAGTCCAACATGGTTGATTGCATGGTCGAGTGCACCAATTCCTTGAACAATGGGAACGGAAACTGGGATGAAACCGAGCCGCTGTGGGACTCCAGACACCGGATTATTTGAACAGCAAGTTCGGATGCCGCCTTAATATCCAAGTTTCCGGGCCTCGGTCTTAATTCTATCCGTGTTTTCGTCAGATTATGCATTGCTACATCAAGTGCACTTTTCAGATAGTGATCGACACGACTGATATCAGGGTTGATAGAAATTATCGCCTCAACCATTTGAAGACAGCGCCCCTGAACAGCAATATGTAATGGGGTCCTGCCAATGCTATCAGGCTTTAAAATCAATGAAGCTGTGTCAGTATATTTGGATAATACACTGTTCAACTCTTTGAAGAACTCAATAGAGTCGAGCTGCTCAATTCGCTGTCTCTTGATAGCGTCACCCACTGCACCTTGGGCGGTAGCGTAGAAAAGAGTTTTTCTATTTCCATTGGTCAGCAACAACAATGGGTTAGTATTTCCAGTTTCCTGTGATATTTTGGCTAATTCGTCATATTTGCTCAGGAAAAACCGCGCCCAATACCACCTCCCGGCCATAGCTGCGCAGTGCAATGGTGTCTTGCCAAACTTGTCGGGTTTAGCGTAGTCTAGGACAGACCGCAGCAGAACATCCGCTACCTTCTTCACGTTGGTTTCGTCACCAACAGGCCAGTTGCTTAGATGATGAAAACAGTTTGCACCATTGAAATCCTCATCATGTACATTGACACCCATGTCGACGAGCATTTCCACAGCTTCTATGAAGCCGCCTTGAATGGCGTAAGCTAAAGCATTCTGGCTTTTATCATCCTCCATGTTGATAAGATCCTCTTCTAGTCTCTTCATTTTGACTATCATCTTGAAAATACTGAGGATTTCCGTTACTTTTTCCGGGCTACTAGGCCTTGGGCATCGAGGAGACAATGCAATGGCGTTTTTCCAAACTTATCCCGCGCATGCACATCCCAATCCCCGGAAACACAAAGCAATTTGAATAATTTGAGTTCATTCAAGGAGGCAGCTAGATGAAGGCATGTCGTAGTTCTTTCCGAGTCTTCTCCTAGTTTCAAATCTGCGCCTTCCAAAATCAATATCTCCGCTGACTTCAAAAGCCTTGTTTTGGTCATTTCAGAACGTGGATGGGCTGCTTCTTCGAGGATGGATTTTAACGGTGAAAATTTGTGCCCCAGGCCGAGAATGCTGCTGCCATTGATATTTGCGCCGTATCCGAGGAGACGTCTGATGATCACTGGGTTTGAGCTTGCCAAACATAGCGGGGATCTTCCCAAGATATCACCCCTGTTACAGAGAATTCCACGGGGACTTTGCGGACTTTGTAAACCAGCTGTTTCCTGTACTAAACCAATTATTCCCTGGTTGTCCAGGTCGAATGCGTTCTTGGTTAGTTGTTCGACAATCACAGAAAGCAATTTGGGGCTCGCCCCATTATCTAGATCTGGGCGTCCTAGACGTTCCAAAATTTCCTCTCCACCCATATCTTCTACCAACTGGCTTAATGCGATGTGATGTTTGAGCCATATAAACAACCCTTGCCCGACGCGTATGGACGGCACACTTGGTGCATCTAGAGATGTCCAATACGATCTCTCAGTTCTGATATCATTTATAAGTGCCTGGACTCTCACAGTTCTAACTGTTTCGACTTGGCAACTTTGAACCATCTTGGAATCCTCCTTCTCACGTTCGCTCGATTGTACCGAAGTTTTGGCCTGCTGAGCGAGGGCATCAACCAAGAGATATAACCCCATCTTGCAGGCATATTGTATTGGCTCTTCGAAGACCCGCAAGAGGAATTCCAGGTTCCCACAATCTCTGACAGGTACGTGGATGCCCACATCCTTAGACACTAGGAGTGCTTCATCGGTATCAAGATGAATGCGCTGAATATTCCATCTGTACCAATTTTCCGGACGTGTGAATATTGAAATTTGGTTTAGAAGCTCCGCCCACCAGCTACTATCGACACTATCCTCAGTCCACCACTCCTGTAATGCCAGGATATGGTCATGCCAGTGTTCAATCTCGTATCTGAGTAGTGTTTTGCGATCTTGAAAAACAAGGTCAATATCTTCGACCCAATTTGGCCTCCAAGGCATATATTTATTTTGGAACTCTTCGTTATTTAAAGTGCGAACTAATCAGAGGCAGGTTAATTTTTATCGCCTTTAGGCATTTCGGGCTAGAAAGAAACGGCATGACTTACATATATCGAGCGCAATAGACATGTGTGCCTCTTTCTTGTTGAACAATTGCGATAGGGTGTCACCATAACGCACAAATGATGCTGAGGGGTGGAAAAACATCGAAGCTAGGCATTAGTATCGTATAACCGCCCAAGTATTCGAAGAGGGTGGATGGTTCGCTCACGAGCTAAAGTAAATTGAAAAACCGTGTTCCCACGATTATCACGAAACTTATTGAATCCGCGGGAATCCTCAGCCAAGGGATCGGAATCTGAAACATCTTGTTGTATCCATTCCCTGATCGATATATCAACGTTGACCACCCCGGTATTCCGATCATATTTGAAGAAATCGCGGCCCGCATTTTCAATGTGGTAAATAGTATCTTTTACTTCTGGGTTATCATAAGGACTTTCGTAGTAAGGCTCTGGGATTGATTCGGTTTCGCTTCCTCCTACATCCGGAGAGGGTTTGCTGTCACTGTGTCCGGAATTTTTGTAGATCTCTTTATAATGATCCGATATCTCAAGAATGCTCAACCCACAAACACCCCAAACTACCCATTTCAGAGCAGCTACCACAAACTCTTGTTCATCCGCAGTCAAGGATTCTAAACTAGCCCTGTATATATCGCCTATTGCGGACGGTAATCTTTTGATCCTTTTCTCTAAACTTTCCTTTGATGGTTGCTGAAGATTGGCGATAATCAATCTCGCTAAGGTGAAATCCCCATTGGCCTTTTCATGAACTATTTTGACAATCCGTGAGAGCTGGGAGTCGTAATAAGCTTCGTATTGCGTTCGGTCAATACGACGGGTAAGTACTTCTCCAACTGCGTACCTCAGATACTCTTCGAGATCGTTAGAATTCTTCTCTGGGGTTATATCAACGATTTTGATGCCCTGATTCTTCAAAACATCTTCTGCATTTGGGCTTTCGGTCTTCTTCTTAGAATCCACGAGTTCACCAACAATATCAACGCTATCTCTAGCGGATATTACGAGCTTGAGGTTCTCGGACTTGATGCCGGTATTGCTACTGCCGGCAGTTCTTGAATTATCGCCGTCGACATTGGACTTATCAACGAGAGACTTCAGATACTCCAAGAAACACTGCTCCCTCCGGTCTATGCATTCATCGAGTGCATCTATCATCAAATAGACAGGAACCGGAATCACCGCTGCAATTAATTTGATTGCATCGCATAGTGATCTGAGACTGTCTTGGAAATTCCCAGAAACGTTTCTAGTATCCGTCCCTCGAGATTCTGCCGATTGAGTTGAGCTAGCATCTAAGAACCCGGGATTTAAAATGCCGATGGCGGCGGTAAGTACGCTGAGGTCTCTGCGAATCTCGTCACTGCCTAACAATTGATACAATATAGACTCGAGCGCTGATCGTGATCGTTCCATATCCTGTTCACCCTTTTTAAAAAAGAAGTGACAGACCAATGGCGGGTTCGAAGCGTGCTCCCGAAGATCGCGAGTTATCAATGCGACCTCCGAACCTGGGAACGTGCCTTGTAGAATAGATTTTGTGATATCCCTGTGGATGCTCATCATCGCCACGGATTTTCCATGACCACGAGGACCTCTAAGGCACAGGAAATTCACACCCTCGGTACTCGAATTAGGGTGGAATATTTTCCAGTCGCAGTATTCATCCTCACTAAACAACCAGCTTGCCGCTAGTCTACCGTTTCGGTCGTGAATAATTCTAGTTAATCGATCGTTGAGAGATGAGAAGTGGAGTTTGTAGGAAGCAGGGTGCTCTAGTTTTGCCTGTTGTCGGTCGAGCTCATCGAGAAGTGCTTTTTTTTGAAGGCTAGACATAAGGTTAACTCCAATTGAGACATAGCTTTGAAGATTCTCTCGGATTTGACGAATTATTTCTCCAGTTTCTAAAAAGAAAATCACGGTTAGGAATGTTGTATTGGTATCGATCATAATACCGGTCTACCTTTCTCCGTTACTCACTAAAGCTGCTTTCGAGCATCGACCCCTGGAATTGACCCTGTAAAGCTTTCACCAAAGCTTCATATTTATCAAGAACCGTCGTAACTCTCTCTTGTAGCTCCTTATTGAAAACTTCCTTCAGATTACTTGCAATGCGTTTGACCCGGCTTTGGTCAAAGTGAGGTTTTGCGGACCAAAGGAACTCCAAAATCAAGAAGATAAGATGGGGGACATCGGATTCCCAGATATCATCGAGATTCTGGTCTTCGTTAACCATCAACGCTGCCATCGATTCCCATCTGATGCAATCCGCCACAATATTGGCAATACTGTCGCAGGCCCCACATATCATAAGCCTTGTTTGGACTTTTGCACTTCCAATCTATAGATGTATATGTTAGCGATCTAATCATATAATTGTATAAAAACCATTAATATTCGGAAGAACTTACAGTAATCAAAGAACTGATCCCAAACCACACGATGGACACACTCTCCGGCGCAAACTGCAGTAGCACATCCCCAGCTCCCTTGAACTGATCCAATGTAACCAACAACTTCGACGCCTTATTATTCGCCTTATCCTCGGCCAGCTCACTTAAATCCCGACATACCCTCCCCAATTCATCGAGTTTTATCCCCTTAAGAAATTCTTGAATGCTGGATAAACGTTTTGGATCACTTTTCGTCAAAGGTTCTACTATCTTCTTTTCAAAGGTTTGACGGGCTTCTTCGAAACATTGGAAGAGTGATTTGCGGGTTGCTGACGGCGCTGGTAGTGACGATTTGGATGCGGGTGGTTTCGTTGGAAATGTCGTTCGGCGAGATATTGTTGAAAATGGACGGATTGAGATTTCGTCGAGCATCGACGTTGAAGCCGTAACTTCGGTAAAACCTACCCCCGCCATTGCATTCCCCTCAATAACACTTATATTTCTTTTCAGATCCTTCCGTCTGTTACTTTTTGTATCAAGAAATTCGAACATATAGATAACACCAGAACACGTCTAATATTACTTCCTTCGCTTTTATGTTAAATCGAGTCAGATCGATATCGATAATCCTGCGGGGTACAAAATAGGTCCTCGTAAAGGGCGGCTTGATAGCAACCGCCCACTAGACAAGGCTGTGTATGCATGTCTTCTCCAATCAACGCATCTGGGATGATGCGGGGGCCTGCATATGCAAGGCTGCAGGGCAGGCCGAATCGATATCACTTAAATGAGGGTAACGTAACCGGCAACATTAAAGAAGATCGCGAAGACGATCAACTAACGCCCACTTATCCGTACGAACTTACGAGGTTTCACTTTTGAATAATACCTTTTTCTTCTTCTTCTCGTGCTTTTAACGCCCAATCCCACGTTGTCAGTGGCAGAGCGGGGTTGAGCAATGCGGGTCTGGATTCTGAATGTTATGAATGGCGTGTTAAATTAATATCTGCCAAGAATTAAAAGAAAAAGAAGAAAAAGAGGAAAAAGAAGACAGATTGCTTGCTCTAATATAGAGCTCTATTCGAACATCGATTCGCATGTATTTCGATAGTTCGGATATTATGCAGCACATAACTTCTCTAACCTTTAGCGTAGAACTTTTTCATATCGCTGTTGGGGCTCGTGGCCTGCAGATATAGTTATCTGCAATCTGACAATAAACCCCATCAATGCAAGATCATAGTCGCAAGTATAGCTGGCGAAGAGGTCGTTGTTAGTTCCACCTTTCATCAAACAGGGGAAAAAGCGGAAAAGAGAAATAAATAAATAAATAAAATAAAAGAATGCAGTATGCAGTGAAATACCTATCCAATTCTGGGAATAAATCGAGAAATCCAATCGAAAATGTTTCGAAGTCATCATCCTTTGGGTTTGCTGTTTCGGAGACAAACTTCGAAGCCGATCTTCAAAGTCCGGTTGTTGAAAGTGGGTGTTGAATGAAGTATTAGCGTTTCGTTGACCTCTTAGATGCACGTTCGATGATAGCTGAAGACGTCATTTGAGGGCCATAATCCCAACCCTCCTCATCATCATCGGAATACTCCCAGGATTCCACCTTATAATTCTCGCCGTCTCGCTCTTCCTCTTCATAATCTTCATCATGATCTCCCGATTCATTCTCTTCCACCTCATTATTTTTCTGCTCGCTAGGACTAGCACTAATCGGCCTATCGACTCGAGCAGCATTCTTCCTCTCCCCCAAAACTAACTTAGGCAAGGACCTTGTGCTGAATGAGTACTGCCATTTTGCCGGTGAAGCAGGACTGGTATACTCCTTCCCTTGCGCCTCGGCCCTCCTCCTCTGTCTGTCATCCTCCCTTGTCAACTCCTTCATCTTCACGCGTTTTGATTTGGGTGTCTTAGTTGTACTCTTCATTGTGTCCCCAGAACTTGCGGGAGAGCTCAAACTCCTTGCTCTCTTAGCCTTCCCTTTCCCTTTCACGTTCGCCTTTGCTTTTCCCGCTTCCTTACTTTGAACTATACACTTATTCTTGCCTTTGCCCCTCCTCTCAGTCGGTGACGGACTGGATTCACCCCTCGCCATCCTCAAAAATGACTCCGCCGCCTCCGTTGACATTGGAGACTCCAATCTGGGAGGTTGACGTTCCCAAAGGACAAATAGCTCCAAAAGTTTATGTTTAACCGGAATAGATATGCCATATTTCTTTGGGTACGTCATAGGCATACCGAGTGCCCTGCCAGCATGGAGAATCAACGCTGTCGGTGAAGCCTCAGTGTACAAATCTCTTTCGTCATTTTCAATCCTCATCCTCAATTTCTCGGGAATGGTTGTGGGATCATTGGTTAGCACGTAGACTTTGTATAGACCTTTGTAGTCATCGTGTTCCGGGACCGTACGTGGAGACACAACGCCCCCCGAGTTGGCTTCTTCGGTACGACGTTCGTAGTCACGGTGCTCCCAGAGGACGAAGAAGTCGAGGTTTTTAGGGAGAATGATGATTGTCGGGTATGGATTGTCGAAGAAATCGGCGCAGGAAGGGCAAGTCCAGAGTAGATTCTCGAATTCGTCGGGTTTGGCGAGGGCGTCTGGGAGGTAGCCACATTGTCTGAATGATTGGAACTGGAAGGTTCGGGTAAGAGGTTAGCCAAAGGATAAGAGAATAAAAAAGTTATGCAAGGGACCCTGTTCATACCCTTTCATCATGATCTACATCAAGAATGGAAGATATTTTACACCCTTTCTCTCCTTCCAAGCAGATAGTGCAGGCACCGTGAGGTTGTGGTAGCTTGTCGCGTAGGACAAGCAATCCCGACAGCTCGTATTTGATGATACGTGCGAGCATGGTTTCCTCACCCTCACCTGGATCACTTGATTGGGCATCAGCCTTTGACATAGTTGATGATTGGGTGTCCGCACCTGGGATTTTGGATAACAGCTGATAAGAAATATCGAGCGTGACAAGGGTGATGTAATAATATGGACAGGGATGTAGTCCGGAGGATAGGATAGGGAGTGATGCGGATAATTAACACTAACGCGTGCAGGCTTTTATAGCGATGATGAGAATGTTGATAGGATTAGAGGTGAAGGGGCAGAAGGGTGGAGGGTTGGAGGGGGTTGTAGACGTTGGAGAGGTTGCTAGAACGTAACAGAGGAGGGAGCAAACAAAATGTGTTGAAAATGTTGAATTATGACAGTAACCATTCCCAATCGGGACAACCGCCAAAAAAGGCCCAAAAGAAGCAAATCCCACCGTCAAAAGCAGCATCGGCCGTGGTGGCACATGTGCAACATCTCGGCTGCATCCCGCCCTCCCAAAAAAATTGTAAATCTTTGTCCCGAACAACTTCCAACTTACCAGAAATCAGATCATCAAACCAAAGCCTTCATTCTTTACACCAATTAAATAATCTAACCACCAAAATGTCGGAATCAACAGCTTCAGCCACCGCTGCAACGGCCGGTGGTAAAGTTTACCGTATCGGAACCCGTTCCTCCCGCCTGGCAATGATCCAAACCAACATCGTCCGAGATGCATTGGTAGCGCTGAACCCCACCGCCACCTTCGAGATAACCTCCATGAAGACCATGGGCGACAAAGATAAAGTTACAGCCTTACATTCATTTGGAGCAAAGAGTTTATGGACTTTGGAGCTTGAATCTCTGTTATTGGAAAAAGAGGTGGATTTGATTGTTCATTCCTTAAAAGGTCTTGACTTCCCTTCTATATCACCGTTATAGCGGGGTATCATATTAACTTCAAGTGTAATAGATATGCCGACCCAACTTCCACCCGGCTGTATCATCGGCAGTATTCTAGAGCGTGAAGGTACAACCTAAAATCCCCTTTTATCCCGAAATTAGGAAAATTCAAAAGTTATCGAGGTTAAAAACTCTAAAACTTCATAAAATCTAGTACAGACCCCCGCGACGCCTTAATAATGAAAGCCGGATCACCACATAAATCCCTCGATGACCTCCCACCAGGTAGTGTAATCGGTACCTCCTCCGTCCGTCGTGGCGCTCAAATCCTAAAACGATATCCACATTTAAAACTCGAGAATGCTAGGGGTAATGTGTAAGTGACCTTATCCCACTTTTCCTTCACTTATATCATATTTTCGGACTTCAAACGAAAAACAGGAATTATTCGAAGTAACTGGAAAAATAGTGATACCCGTCTCCGCAAACTCGACGACCCAGAATCTCCATATAGCTGTATAATCCTCGCCGCAGCCGGCTTAATCCGCATGGGCCTCCAAGACCGAATAACAGCTTACCTCTCCTCTCCAACCCTCCTCCACGCTGTCGGTCAAGGCGCAATCGGCGTCGAAATTCGTTCCGAAGACCCCGAAGTCGCAGAATTAGTAAAACCACTTACTCACATCCCCACTTATCTCTGTGCTCTTTCAGAGAGACAGTTAATGAGGACCTTGGAAGGAGGATGCAGCGTCCCCATTGGCGTTGAGACAAAGTTCCTGGCCGAGGATGGTGAGAAGGGGAACATGATACATATGAAGGCATCCGTGTCGTCGGTTGATGGGAGACAGACAGTGGAAATTGAAGATGTATTAGCTTTGGACGATGAAGCTAGTGGGTTAAAATTAAGTGTTACAAGGGCGGAGGATGTGGGCAGGTTGATGGCCGCGAGGATGTTGGATCAAGGTGCCGGTACTATCTTAAATGCAATCCAGCGAAGCAAAGATACCGACCCACAGGCTGCAAAGGTCGCAGAGAAGGAAAGTGAAGTCGAAGAAGCGATGAGGAAATTGGTCGAGAAGCAGGAGGCATCAGAGCAGTAGATATACCCACCTCTCAAGCTTAGCCAGGTACTAGCGTATATGCACAAGTCTATGTCACATACTTATATATAGGTAAGCTATCAAAAGTTCCCATAGCGTATCGATTAGTCAGGGTTATAATATACCACTATTTCCCCGCTATATCGATCACACGACTATAATTAAAAAGAATCGTAACGTTTTTGAACAAAAAGAACAAGCTACCAGTCAAATGTGCCACACAACCCCGAGAACCACAATATACCACAACCACAACCACAAGCAAGCAACGCCCAAACAACCTCCAATGCCTTGATCACAAAGTAAAAAGACCCCCTCACCAACCGGTGTTTAAATGCTAGGTAAAGAAATAAAATTATCGAAAGGAAATCCTTCACCGGGTAAATCCTTTACGACCCTTCGCCTGCATCATTCCCTTCCAGCAAGATATACCTCAAAATATCACTCAGTGTCAAAATCCCTACCAATCGTTTCTTCTCATCCACTACCACAAATCGATGAACTCGTGAGTTTCTAATCGTGTCAAAGATTGTGTCAAGACGGTCTTGCAGCGTGCAGGTATGTATTCCAGCGAAGTCCTATACATCAATTATATCAGTGTCGGCCCAGATGGTCACGTCATACGAAGGCATCTTACATCAGGCCTCTTCAAGAGGGATTCCCCAACAGTGAGGCTTAGCTCATCATAAATCCCACCCTTAATGAGAGTCAGGATGTCTACAGCCTCATAGCAGTTCAGAACAACCCCTAGAAAAATTATCAGCAAAAGTACTTTCACCTCAACGATCTCAGTGACAATCCGGGACATCCACCCACCATCAGGATTAACAATAGGCACACTAGCAATGTCCTTTTTGACCAGCAGATGAATCACGTCCAGCACCGGTGTATCCATAGTTGCCGTCGCCAAATTATCATAACATCCAATTTTAAGGTCCCTGAGAGGCTTGCGAAGCGCCTGCACACCCTTGACATTGATAGCCACGAATCGTAGAATACGGTATTGTGTGACCACATTGACAACCATCTCTTGACCGGTTTCGTCGTCAACATCGATAAGAGGTATTCTGCGAGCACGAGAGCGAAGCATTTGGCGGCAGGCATCGTAGAGAGGTTTCATTGGGTCGATGTAGGAGGTCTCGGGCGGCGCGACACCGATTCGGCGTTCGACCTCTTGAAGCACTTTTAGTTGAAAACACCAAAAAAAAAACCACCCTAAAAGATGGATAGAATAGAGTGTACCTCGCAAGCTATTCAGTCTGAATTTGTCAATCTCCTTTAGATCATCAGGGAACTGAAAGTAATATTGTATGACATTGATGAAATCGGTCGATGTGAGGAGGCCAGCGAACTTGGACTGTGTCGAGTCCCAAAGAGGTGCTGAAACAATGCCTATATACGGTAATAGTATTCATAAAAATGTTAGCTTTAAATAAAGTGACGCCAACGGGTACCTGTAGGTATACTAAAACCGCCTTACCATTCTGAACGAGTATCGCCAAGCTCTGCTTCACAAGTAGTGTGGTATCCAGGACTCTGTAGATGTCCAAGGCTGAAGTTAGCGTATATCGCAGGTTCAAACGGATATCCAAACTCAATTGCATCCAATTCTCACAAGAGGGGAAAAAGGGAAAAGACAAAATAACATAATAAGGTTAATATTATCCTGGGGAAAGTATGTCCACTCACATCAACCTGAACGAAACAGGCAAGACATCATAACTGGTCCTCAGCCTCAAGAAATTTCGAATGGCCTTCAAGCCAGCCTTCTGTTCTTCTTCCACCACATCCATCGTCCTCCGACCCGATTGATTGGTATTGCTAGTAGAAGTAGAGGTAGAAGGGGGTGTAGGATCCGGTGTAATAACTGAAGACTGAACGGCAGGTCGTAGGAAAGATGAGGGAGTTGCGGGAGTTATCGTTGGCATCCTAAATCCAGAAGGAAAAGGATAAAGGAAGAAGAGAAAAAGCGGGTTAGTTTCTGGATCCAAAGCTGGTTAAGTGCAGCATTTTTCACAGGGCGGCCGGGCTTGTTTCCCGGGGCCATCTGCCCATCGATCAACTACCTAGCTGCTGTGGGCGCGTACTGGGAGACCGTGACCTCCCGCATAGCTACTTAACATACCTGCTCGACGACATTTTGGCAGCAGTGGCAGCGGCAGCAATTGCAAACGACGAATTATTGGGGAAAGGCTCCGAAAATGAGACATCCGCCCGCAGGCACAGGCACGGTACAGGACGGTATAGTAATCGAATCGAATCGAACCGAACCCCGCAGGAAGTCGAGCTAGTGGGTCCAAGATCTGGACTCGAATCTCGCAGCAGGTGGAGGCTGGTTGGGAAGGAGGGGTTTGGAATGTGGAATGGGCGGTGCACGTGTGTTCGACCGAAAAGAGCGGAGTTTAGTGATTAGGTTGAGTAAGTAACTTAAGTTGAGTGCTGGGGATGCTAGTACAGTCGAAAGTAGGTTTGAGGTTTTGTACGTATGGAAGGAAGCTAGTCCTCGTCCCACATCCAACATTTAACATCTCTCCATGACCACTATCGAGGACCCCCCCCTGTCCATACTCTCCATGGCGGGGCCCGGCGGGCACCAATCACAGCCCGCCCGAACTAGAACCAACACACATATCTTTCTGTTGGTTGCAGTCGATTGAGCTCGTCACTTTTATTATATCAATTAGTTTGCTATCCGTCACATTTTAAAATTATCATTTCATGCAGACAAGCAATATCTCTGCTCTGCCCCGATTTGAAAGTGCATATGCGTGAATATCTACGTCATTATCACACCAGTCGACTGATGCGTATGCATTTTTTGGGTCCCTTTTGGTTACAAACAGCAGCCTCCGAGAGAAAGACAAAAACAGAAGAATAATGAAAGTCCCATAAGGGAAAAAAAAAAAGTTATGAATTCTTGGTAGGCATGAATGAAAGGAAACGCGTTAGAAACGTCACATCATAGTCACAAGCATATTAAACGGAGTGAATACACCTCTCCCTCTTTCGAATTCCTTCGACCACGCTCGTTTAGTACTTCGGGGGCTTTCCACCAGGGTACCCGCCACCATATTGTCCTGGTGGTGGGGCTCCATATTGGCCTGGTGGAGGTGCTCCGTATTGTCCCTGTGGCGCACCGTATTGTTGCTGTTGGCCTCCGTATTGTCCTGGTGGTGGGGCGCCATATTGGCCTGGTGGAGGAGCGCCATATTGGCCTTGTGGTCCACCATACTGACCCTGTGGCGCTCCGTATTGCTGTGGTGGTGGGGCGCCGTAGCCTTGTGGTCCACCATATCCGCCCTGTTGTGGTGGGGGGGCATGGCCGGCTTCATCTTTGCGGTCGTACTGTCATAATTGTTAGCCACTTTTCAGATGTTGATATATTTGAATATATGACTACATACCGATGGATCAACGGCTCCAAGGAGAAGTTTTGTCAACTGTAATTCCCTTTTGTCAATGTCTTGATAATATCCCTCGAGTTGTTCAATTTATCTTACCCAAAGCTCCACGGTGAGATTAACAGGTGGGCTAGATTTCGACATCTCGTCGGCCTCAACCTCATAGTCTATCATCAAATGTCAGAAATCTCCCGCTTTCCTAGAGTTGTCTAATTAGCTAGTCAAAGGAAGTAACTTACTGGATGTGCAATCAATCAAATGACCAATTCTGGGGTCCCTATCTAGTCTGCCCAAGAACTCACGAGCACGAAGATCGTTTCCGACCTGCGCAAATTGGAAGGAGACAGCTGTGCACGCATTATTAGCATATATTGACCTAAAAAATAGTTTTTGTTTAGGCCTTTACGTACCCCCGGCGCCATACTGAGTTCGAGCAAGCTCATCCGAGGTGCTCTTAACAGCATCTTGAACTGCACTCTCAGGCTCACCAGCAGGTTGTCTAGTTTGTATATTAGCATCATATCCATCTCACACATCTTAGAAGAAAGCATACCCATCAGTGACTATGGAGGAAGTTAGTGTAAGAACTTTGGCCATAACTATGAATTGAGAAACTTACTAGTAATGACGAGGATCGGTTTTTGCAGACCATTCGAGCGGGCAGGGGCAAGGACCAAAGGATCCAAAACCTTAGACTTTAGCGAGGTTCCCATTGGGGTGAGACCCTTGAATTGGACTTGGCTGATGATCTGCTCAATTTCTTGGGGCTGGGTGATATTGTTTCGGGCAAGGTCGTTGTTCATGAAGCGCAAGCTAATACCATCGTGGTCGAACAGAGTAGCAGCAAAGGCAACTCGCTCAAGTATGAGTTTGAGGTCTTTGATACGTTCTCCGCCTTCCTCAAAGGCCATAGAACCGCTATCATCTGTTTTAAACTTACATTAGTTTGTATAAAAGAAAATAAGTCTCGCAAACTAGATTGCGACCCTACCGATATAGATGATGATATCGAACAAAGCCAACTTGACGAAGTCAACGGCGACCTCAAGAGGGAGATTCCATCCTTGACGAAGTCGGTCGATCTGGTTGGAGATAGTTCGAGAGATCTGTTCTAGTCTTTGTGGTGGGAAAAAGCTTTGGATCTTGTTATCGACAACGGTTTGTTGCAAAACTTGCATGTATTGTTGTGGGTTCACCTGGCCGGGACCTCCAGCCGGGCCGCCCATCGGTTGTTGACCCTGGGGTGCCTAGAGCCATGATGTAATCCCGTTAGCGAACCGAGCATATTCCGAAGCTATAAGAAGTCAAAGCAACGCCAAACGTAAAACAAAAACAATATTAACTCTAAACTAACGTAATAACTCGGTTGCGGTGTATGAGGCTGTCCGTATGTTTGTTGTGAGGGGCCACCGTACGGGTTATTGTACGGGGGTATCTGTTGCTGCGGCTGGCCATACTGCTGTACCGGTGCATACGGATTTGACTGGCCGAACGGTGAGCCCTGATAAGGAGGGTTAGGTGAAGGACCTCCATAGGGGTTGTATTGCTGCTGAGGCGGCGGAGTACTTTGGTATCCGCCACCATATGGAGAGGGGTTATGCATTCCACCGGGCATGGCACCAGGTCTAGGCGGTATCGCTGGAGCCCCTGGATATGGTGGCGGCGGCTGGTTGTAGCCATAAGAAGAGGGCGACATTGGAGTTTGCTATGGTAAATGAATAAAGAATCCTCGATCAACCGTCGGCCTCGAGAGAGATATGTTGAATCGCCCTTTAGATTTCTTTTCCGGCTTCCGGCAAGGACGACAGGGAGTATTGCAAAGAGGAGAAAAAACAGAATGACGGCACAACAAAACAGGAGCAAACGAACTAGCCTATTCAAAACGAAGGGTGTGCGGGAGTTATCAATAGGTACTTACGCCATATGGAGCGGGGCCGCCGGGGCCGCCAGGTGGTTTACTCCCAGATCCGCCAGAGTAAGCCTGATATTGTGGAGCCTGGTAGGCACCTGGAGCACCTGCCTTTTGGCCACCTTGAGGAGGAGGGGGACCTCCTGGGCCTCCTGGGCCGCTTGGAGGGTACTGACCCGGTGGAGCCTGACCGGGATATGCACCCGGAGGAGCACCCCCTGGAGGACCGTAGTAATTTGGATTTGCTTGCGCAGAAGCTGGTTCCGAAGACCGGTTAGCTCGGGGCGACCATAAATATACAGATAACGGCAGCACAATGCAGGATTATCATGCAGCAAGTTCTATTTTTCCAAACTGTTGCAGAAATTGCGTTGCGGCATCGGGTATCACAGCCGGAATTACCTAATTTGGAAGCGAGCTTGAGAGTGGCGGGAAGAGAAGCAGGTCAGCTGGGACTGTACGGTCGACAGGATCCGGCTCAGATGACGAGGACGGATTCGGGAGGGTTCCAAACTTACACCCATAACTTGGAGATCGAAAACGACGTCGGTGGTTTGATTTTGATTTTAGTTGATTTTTAAATTTTCAAGAGGAGGATGTTCGAGGCTAGGTTTGTCGAAGGCAGCAGATGGTCGTGTCAGCGTCAGTTTAACGGGACGGTTGCGGCATTTTATGGCGGGGGATCATTGCATGGCGGGGTAGCCAGTCAGCTACGTAAGATTGTAGTCGAACAGCAGCCCACGCTTGGAAGCCTTCGCGGATGATCGATGGCGATTACAATATATAATACGTACCTATTGAGAATAGTAATGACGACGATGACGATGACGATGGGAAAAGGTATCTGAGTAGGAGGATGCAACGAGGTTGCTAAATATTTAAATTCAAGCGAGTAATTATAACCAAGCAGGTAACGTAGCAAGCAAGCAGGAACGAGGGGGTTATTTGTACTCTTTGAATTCGGATTAAATTATTATTCCATGCATGCGCTGCAGGTCTCCAGGCTAGCTACTTGCTAGGGCACACAGCTATGGTGGTAATATTTGATGAAGGAGGGGGCTGCGCTGACGCCAGACTAACTCGAATCTACATGATGTCTACAAGGGTCCTTTCTCTAGTTCCTATTAATTACTTGTTACAATATTACAGTCGTGTCTTCGGCGTGGCCATAATCGACGACAAGTTTGTGTATTCACGTCAGCTATCGATATCCTTGACAAGTTGCAAATTGCAAGCGGGGTAGATTATTCGCCCTTTCCTGGTACCCAACAGATATCATGAACGTGATATTCTACCTTGCAGTCAGTTTTCGAGCATCGAAGTATATATTCGAGTTACGGTTGATCATAAATTTGAACAAATGATATGATCCAATCACCATACCGTGTTGACATCCACCGCATTGCATTGAAGGATCCATATTGTCAAACAGCCACCATATATGTATGTCGTAGGTACTTACATGGTACCCGTGCCACGGCTAGTGCCTCCGAAGGCTTTATGCAAGGCTGTGAGACCTTAGAACGCGGACGCAGGTGCGCTCTCATCTGTCTGTACGTACCGGCCCATAAGCACTTATGACATAACAAAGGTACCAGAGACAAAGAAACGTCCTACACTGCGAAGAAGACTTTCTCATGTCGCACAATATTTATGTACCCAGTAATATAGGGTTTTTCTTCCGTGATCGCTTTCTATCGGCTTGCAAGGTTAACAGCGTTCCCGCGGTTGAATACCTATTATAACGGTGCAGTGGAAGGGGTCCTGCGTCTCGCCTCTCCCCAAGGCGGCTTTTTCCCACCAAAAAAAGATGCATATTCTTTGGGGGGTCGATTTCACAGGTTATCGACGGTTCCCTCGCTTTGTCTTCTGAAACGACTGATATCTGTACACCGAGTCCGCGGATACATACCCGTGCCGGAAGCCTACATCCATGAGTTAGCTCATCTGCATGTAGAACGGCACATTCAGATCCTCAAGGTTAAATATGTTGACATTGATATATACTTATTTTTTAAAATCGGTATTCAAACTGCAAGGTCGGTAAGGAATCTGAATGATGTAATAAGTGAGTATGTATGTACTCGTATGGAGTACCTATATGTTGTTCAGTGTCATGCATGTCATGTCGCCTTTCTAAGACGAGATCTATATCGGTGCTGGGAATGTATGCTCTGCAGGGCTAGAACCAATCACCATTACCAATCCACCAGGCTAATGTGCAATAGCAGCAATTGCAACGTGCTGTGTGATTGATTCTTCCAGAATCTGAATAATCGAATCCCATGCATATCCTCGTGATCTCGATTCTGTTGGATGAGACTGCCATATTCAGAACCCCTACCTCTTCGAAGCACCAAAAAAAAAAAAAAGTTATATGTGAAGTGATTGAATATGAGGAATTTGGAAAAAGCAAGCGTCACCAGAGACACCACACACATGCCATGCCCTTGAGTATAATAGTATGATCAGCAGTAGTTTATTGTGTCTCGAGGTTTGATGTTTGCGTCGCTTGAGCTTAGCCTAGGCTTGTGGGTTTGTTTATTCGTTATCACCTTCCACCAGTTCGTTTAGTACGATATCAAATCGTATCGTGATACCATTTGACTGGGGAGGTAATTAATTTCGACACTGTGATTTCTCGCCAGATAGTCCGTTTTGAAGCAATGGCAGGCTGGGCGCCTTCCAAATGGGAGAATGAAGCCGCAAGTCTAACCGGACTTTTGGTATTAATCGTCGACGTACGGTTGGTTGGCTGACATCCGGGGCTAGCTAGCCATCGAATTCCCTTTATCTTCCCGACGCTGTGATGGTGATAGTATCAAATCCGTCAACGATTAAACTGGTCCGACTGGCCTGGCCTGGGTCGGGGTCTGCATATTTTTTTTTTCCCTTTCCTTCTTTCCATTTTAACTTTCGTCTTCCTTCCTTCCCTGACTTTGACACACACATCGCCTCCCACATACTATCATATTGGATTAGCATCAGATAGATAAAAAAAAATCATCTAAAGTCACTTAAAATAAAACGAATTCCTTCATCGACGGTACTTACTTCCTTGCAGACGGCTGACATAACAAACATCCCGCCGACGTTTGCCTCCGGGTGGTTTTTAGTTTCGGTTTCGGGTTGGTTCTGTTCGCTGGCTGCCAGTTGGCCCTGCAGCCAAACAACTGGCCGGGTTTTGGTTCTTAACGCGGGAGAATATTATTACTTAGCAGTGACTGGCAGTCGCTTGTCCCGACTTTCCCTTCGAAAACAAACACCACCACCACTACCACCACTATTACCACCACCCAAAACCCCTTGACCCTTCATCTCATCGTCGAACAAAAAGTCTCTCTCCCACAAAAACCCCTCTCCTCCGAGGCTTCTTCCCTTAGGACCCGTTCGCTGCCGCGGGCCTAATCGTTATATTGTCTTCAAACTGCCTCGGTGCGGCTTCGCTATGGGGAACTGCAGCTCTTGCTGTGGAAGTACGTTTCCCGACTCGCTGATAACTTTCCCCGACTCTTTGTCGTCATCTCTTGACGCTAACCGCCCATGTTTTCGTTATAGACCGATCGGACGGTTACAATGAAGTCCCCCAACTAGCTGAGAGTGAAAGGGAGGCCGTCTCGGATCTTTTGCAATACCTTGAGAACGTAAGGATCCTCGGTTCCAATATTTTCTTCATACCAGCGAAAACATAACAAATACTGACTTGGATGACGCTATCTCCAGCGAGCCGAAACAGACTTCTTCACCGGAGAGCCGCTCAGGGCACTTAGCACCCTTGTATACTCGGATAATGTCGACCTCCAGCGCAGTGCCAGTCTGACCTTCGCTGAAATAACAGAGAGAGGTATGTTACCCGAAAAAAATTTATATTCAGATTGATTCCTCTGTCGGCCGGGAACCTGGTCGCTAACTGTTCCTTTGTCTAGATGTCCGGGAAGTTGATAGAGATACCCTGGAGCCGATATTATTCCTTCTGCAGAGTTCCGATGTCGAAGTTCAAAGGGCTGCCAGCGCAGCCTTGGGAAACCTGGCCGTCAACAGTATGTCGCATTCTTCGGTCTCCACCCGAATGCCATAGCCTGCTAATCTAATCGTCCTAATTGACAGCACAAAACAAGGTCTCGATCGTTCAACTCGGTGGCTTACCACCTCTGATACGACAAATGATGTCCCCGAATGTGGAGGTTCAATGCAATGCTGTTGGATGTATCACCAATCTCGCCACTCACGAAGATAACAAGGCCAAGATCGCAAGATCCGGAGCCCTCGGTCCTCTTACCAGGCTCGCCAAATCAAAAGATATGCGCGTCCAGCGTAATGCTACTGGGGCTCTCCTAAATATGACACACTCCGACGACAACAGACAGCAACTCGTTAGCGCCGGTGCCATCCCAGTTCTAGTCTCCCTTCTCTCCTCGCACGACCCAGATGTTCAGTATTACTGTACTACGGCTCTCAGCAACATTGCTGTGGACGCAACGAACCGAAAGAAACTCGCCCAAACGGAACCCCGCCTTGTTCACTCGCTCGTACATCTCATGGACTCGTCAAGCGCCAAGGTCCAATGCCAGGCCGCGCTAGCTCTTCGAAATTTGGCTTCTGATGAAAAATACCAACTAGAGATTGTCAGATCTAAGGGCCTTCCTCCACTTCTAAAACTCCTACAAGCATCGCTCCTCCCGCTCGTTCTATCTGCCGTCGCCTGCATCCGCAACATCTCCATTCATCCTCTCAACGAATCCCCCATTATTGATGCTGGATTCTTGAAGCCATTGGTCGAACTCCTAGGGACCACCGAGAATGAGGAAATCCAGTGTCATGCAATTAGTACTCTCCGCAATCTAGCAGCTAGCTCTGATAGGAACAAGCAGCTGGTTCTCGAAGCCGGAGCTGTCCAAAAATGCAAAGACCTGGTTCTCCACGTCCCTCTCAGTGTTCAGTCGGAAATGACTGCCGCAGTCGCGGTGCTTGCGCTAAGCGACGAACTCAAACCGCATCTTCTGAATCTCGGCGTTTTTGACGTATTAATTCCACTAACGGATTCCGAGAGCATCGAGGTTCAGGGTAATAGCGCCGCCGCGTTGGGTAATCTATCTTCAAAAGGTATGGTCAAAATATAGAATGTTGGTCTTTTTTTACAATTCAATGATACTAATGCAATTCTAGTTGGCGACTACAAAATGTTCGTGCAGGATTGGACTGAGCCATCTGGCGGCATCCACGGTTATCTCAAACGGTTCCTCGCTAGTGGTGACGCCACCTTCCAACATATTGCTATTTGGACTCTTGTTCAACTCCTCGAATCTGAAGACCAACAACTTAAGAAATTGATCCTTCAATCTAAAGAAATCGTGTCAACCATCCGAAGTATCGCTGAGAAAAACATCGAGTCTGATGACGAAAGCGAAGACGGTGAAGCAGAGGTTGTTCAGTTGGCCAGGCGAGCATCCGATCTGTTAACCCAATCCGGCACCGAGCAAAACCAAAAGGATGCATTGGCAAAACACCCGTAGTATGGTGTTCCCCCGATAACCAACTGGTGCCGATACAAACTTCGCCTTATTAAGCCTGTTACCCAATGCACTATAACAGTTTTACCCCCACCAGACCATTTCAAGAAGCTTACACACTACACGAATAAGGAATTGAGAAGGAGGGTTATTACAGTACCACCAGTTCCGGTGGCACCGTGCAAGATGGTCCCATATACCCTTCATTCAGGATAGAGAAAGGACTATCGGCCTGGACCCCGAGATACCCTGTCAATGTTTTCCTTTACTTCCCTGAATGGAATACATGATATCCCCACACATAAAATTTATCATATCGATCTATCGTTCAGACCGATTTACTACTATATGCATATCCAATGCTTTTGAGACGTTCCTAATGAAGCGATTTTTTTTCTGAAGTCTGACCTAGTGCCTTTCGTGCGGTTCGGATGCGACTCGTTTCCTCTATTTTCTTTTTACTCGCGCGTTTTGATTTTTACTCGAAGTTGTAATTTGAGCAAAAAGGACGTTTGGAAGGGCTAGGGTTTTGGAATGCGGCTTTTCCTTCTGTGTATTTTTTTTGGGTTGAAGTTTCTATAGTTTCCTTAATTTCTTTGCACACCAAGTTATACTCCTCCTCGTTCTTTACTTTGAGGACACTTTTTTTTTCCTTTCTCTTTTCTATTTCCTTTTATCAATGTTAATCACGAATGCACCGACCCTCCCAGACGATTCTCCTTTGGTTTTATGCCCCTTGATCACCCCAGAGAGAAACGTTTAGATTGAAATACCATTGTCAATGAAAGGGCGTCTCTTAACCTCTACCAATTTCAATACCAAGACCCCTTCGAAATACTCGAAACTCGGATTTGAAAAAGAAGAAAAAAAGAACAAGTTCATGATCAAGAAAGACAGCAATACATTATACTGTTCTACGATCAGTTGATCAAGCCAACATATACAGTTACGGTACACTGTCTAAAGTGTAGTAATAGACTACGATTACATACCAAGACCGCGCGAGCTGTCATAGTTAAGAAAGTTTAAAATATATTTGAGGATTACAAACCGAAACATGATCATGATAAAAGGACGGTATGACGAAGTACCCCACCTGTCTTACGTCTCATCAGCTCCCCGGGGTTGAGGCCTGCAATTCGGAGCCGGTGACTGCATGCATGATGAGCTCAAAAGCATCGCATCTAGCATGTATTATACTGCAGCTCTGGACACAGTAACCAGATACAGATCAAACCTCGATCAGGAAATTTCCTTACGGGTTACATCCGATCGATCCAATCGATGTGTGCACTATATTAGCGCTGCCGCGTGGGTTTTACACAGCCCATGGTAATTTAAACACTTTTATTTTTTTTTTATTGTCGAATCGACTCATATCTAGGGGTTTAATTTTACATCGTGAATTGTGGTGAATGCAAAATGTTTCAATTGTAAGAGGGGTTTTTTTGAACAGCGTGGTTAGATGTTCATGTTGTTTGTAAGCTGGATACCTTACTAACAGCTGTTAACAGCAATTGCATTCCGATCAAGATAGTATAGTACTTACGGCTGGTATCAGAAGGGAAGTTCGAATTAAAAAAGACATTGCTATAAATTCTCAAGAAATGGACGCTCGTATGTGATAGTTTTCCCATGCAGCAGTCCTGCACATCTCTGCACCAAACTTGCAAAAATTCCCCGCTGGACGCGAGGTAATTATTTAACTAGGACTATTATTGGACAACGCACATTTTACAACATCGTTTGCACCTTTCCCCCGTTTTTCTCTTTGGAATTCTAGAGAGTACTTCTCTCGTAAGATCAAGCGGTATCGATATTTCCAGGGTTCTACCAACGTTTATAATTCATAATGCGTACTCCTGGTAGTATTGTTGTGGTTTCTGGTGGGAGTGCTGCGAATAGTTTGGTAAGTTTTTATTCCCTTATCAATTGATAGTTTGATTGATAGCGGATTGTGGATTCTGACGTTTGATATGTGAAAGGTGGACGTCTTCAAGAGTGTGAGCGCGGGGAGCCCTATCTCGTATATTATTGGTATATCAGATAATGGAGGTAGGTATCAGTGATGGCTTTGTGATGATATTGTAACTAATAGGATGAATAGGTTCTACCTCGGAGCTTATCAGTTAGTATTCTCTGCAGATGAAACTCAGAAGCTTTTGGACGGACTATGCTTATCGGTTTGCATTGATGTATCGTAGGGGTATTTGGTGGTCCAGGAATTGGCGATATCCGGAGTACGAACGGCTTTCATATGCAAATCACACCCTGGTTCTATGTACATTCTCGACTAACAAGTTCTAGGTCGTCTCGTCCGTCTCGTGCCCGACGATACCGAAGACGAAGAACGGCTTCGTATCAAAGGTCTTCTAAACTACCGTCTACCTCCCTCTGCTGAAGCTGCCCGTCACGAATGGAATCTCATCGTCGAAGGCACCCACCAAAACTGGGATGGTATACCTTCCGAAAAGAAGGAACTCCTTCGTAGTTTCTTTATCCTCGTCGCCGGTGAAATCACAAAACGTACCCGTCCAACCAGTACATTCAATTTCCAACTAGCTTCCCTCGGAAATCTCTTCATAACGGGATGTCGTCTATTCTTTGGATCTCTTGAATCTGCTATCTTCTTGTTTCGTTCCATATGTGGTGTTCCCGAATATACTCACGTCATACCCGCGTTAAACAGTAATTTTAGCCATCACATTGCCGCCGGTTTGGCAGATGACACTGTCATTGCCGGTCAAAACCAGATATCTCATCCTTCGGAAGAACCAGCGTCTAGTAACCATCCCGTTCAAATGACAGGGAACCAAGCGTTGCTGGAGGTAACAGCTCAACTCAAGAACTCGAGTATAATCCCTCGTTCCCCATCCGGTCCCACATTTGGTTCGACCACTCCTTTAAACCCCGGTTACTCCACTCCCGTAACGTACCTCCACGATCACGATGAAGTTGAAGATGCAAATTTACCGGGTTCCTTACCAGCCTTGAGGAGAGGGAATATAGTGTTTACGAAAGAGGAGGAAGCAGAGTTACCGGCTAGGATTCAGAGGGTTTGGTATATCAATCCATATGGACAGGAAATTAGGCCACCAGCGAATTCAAAGAGTCTAGCGGCTATTAGAAACGCCGAGACTTTGGTTTATAGTATTGGGAGTTTGTACACGAGGTATAGTTCCATAATTACCTCCAGCTTTTATTATTTTGGTGGTATATGAATGCTGATATTCGAGGGTAGTATTATACCCTGCCTTATCCTTCGCGGGATGGGTGACGCAATTGCTACATCATGCAAACACAAAGTCTTAATTCTGAATGGTTCATTCGATCGTGAAATCGGACCAGGGACTACGTTCACCGCTCTCGACTTTATAAAAGCCATCGTGAGTGCTTGCACCGAATCCCGGGGTATCATAGCCGGTGAACCTGGATTCGAGCAATTGACAGCCGAAGCTGAATATAAAAAATATGTCACTCATGTATTGTACCTTGAGGGAGACGATGTTCCCAAGGTAGACACCGCCAAGTTTAAGAGTCTAGGGATCGAATGCTGGAGAATTGCAGGGAAGAAAAATGAGAAGGGGAGAGGATGTTTGTTCGAGATGGCGGGGTTGGGTCAGGCACTAGATATGATTAGAGGCAGGAAACGGTCGCCAAAGCAGAGGAGGTCGACGGTTGATTCGACAAGAATGCAGTTTCTACCTGTCCTTGAAGCCTAGGGCATATGAAAGTTTTACAGTTGTTTAGGAGGAATTGGTACGGGGTCTGGAGTTTTTTGTTTCCCAGTTAATTATATATTTTTGAGAGTTTCGTATTCCTTTCAGGTTTTTTTATTTTAATTTAGTAGTCAAAACGGTTGCATCGCAGGCTCGAGTACGCCATGGTTTAATAATCTTCCCGTTTAAAAACGCCTAAGAATCTTTGTCAGGAGGGGATCACAAAATCACAAGACTAAGACTCATTCTATAATTATATATAAGTATAATATGCTTACCTACTCAGTCCAACCCCCGTTCATCGACGTTTCCAGTGTTCACCTCGGGAATTTGGATCGAATTCGAGGGACATCTCCTTCAGTTGGTGCACGATGTAAGAGGTCTGCAAGATTGAGATCCTTCCACAACGGCTCCCGTTCCTTCTGTTGAGCTCTGGCGATACCAAATGCAGCTGTTACGTCTTAGTATAGTCATTCTCCTCAAATACGGGAGGATATAAGCATACCATGTTGGTCGGGAATTACTAGAAACATGTTACTAATGTATTTTCTTAGGAGGTAAGGAGTGATAACTTACCGTCATCTTCATCCTCTGGATTAATGGGCTGGTGCTCTGGTGGAACGTATACCTCTACTCGCTATCAGGTATGGTCCAATTAGTGGGATATGTGATGTTATTTACCATCATTAGGAAGTTTGTCCCGACAGTAGTCCTATACCCATGTCCTTTAGTATCAATCCTACAAAAGCAAGCATCTAGCAAACAGGAAAGTCGTACTTCGTACTGCTCAACGATACGAGGGAGGCGGAAGTGGACGTATCTAGCAATATCAGTCAGTGTAACCCTAATGTTACAACTGCTATATTTGGAGTTGTGGACGATCTAACGTACGTGCGGTTGGAATCGCGAGACTGTGAGGTGTATTGTTAGCTGTATGGATACTAGACCATTTCGATAGGTTACAAACCCACCATCTTGAATATGATGATATCTCTATTGGTGAAGTTCAAGATCTGAGGTTGAATGATCAAGGTTGCAAGCTACTAAACCCAGGTAACGACTAAGCATGCATGGCATATGGACAAACAAACATGCAAAGGCACCAGGATCGCGAAACCAAGACATCAAGCGACATCATGTGATCAGCCAGATCTTATCTTATCTTGATCAAGATGTGTTGTTCCAGCCAGCTTAGGGCTCCGTTTAAGTCTTGGCACCCACAAACCAGAAAATTCATTTTGGCTTTTCGTCCTCCCAAATTCGATATCCTCATCTTCAAGCACCAATCGACGGAACCCAAGCCATCCCCAACCCGACCATCCCCTAATCTCCGACAAATCCTCAACTGTACGTTCATCCGATACTATAAACCCCTCCTTCCATCTTTCGACTTTTTTCTATCGACAGCTCTTTTTCTAATTGCTAGGGATTCTGTGATCACTGATTTAGACGACTTGTTTCTAATAGACCTTTTCGACTTTTTCGAAATAAACCTCACACCGCAAACATGGCTCACGATCAAGTTTGGTACTCCCGCCCAAGGACCTACGGAAAGGGCAGCAGATCCTGGTATGTCGACACTTCTGTGTTTTTTTTTGAATTTGGGAGGCTGGGAAGTCGGGAATTAGATGAACGGGGATACTATAAAGAGAATGGAAGGGATATGTGAATATCAAAGTTAAAAAGGAAGAAACAAAGGAAAGGGGGGGGGGTTGCTATAATATGGAGTTGAGATGCTGACTATCTCGTCTTCATGAATACAGCCGCGTCTGCGCCCATCAAGCCGGTCTCATCCGCAAGTATGGCTTGAACATCTGCCGTCAGTGCTTCAGAGAACGATCCAAGGACATCGGTTTCACCAAGGTCAGCTCTCCTCCTTATATCATTGATATAGTCCCGGACACTTCAAGACAAATGAGCTAACAATCTCCACAGAACCGGTAAATTGTTTCATTTTCGGCCTTTCTTTTTGTCGATGAGGGAGAGCGGAGGAACGATGCATTTTTTTTCATTATGAGCCAATATCCATACACACGATGACGAAAACGCTTTCCGACACTTTTCTACTATATCCTTTTTTTTCTCCCTACCAAAGCTACTATACTTCCGCTCCCGTTAGCTAGGATGATGTGAACGTATCAATATACGTCTTAGCATCAAATTCTCAGCGACTCCGATAATGCCAGAATCCCTATTTGACAATCCGACGAATCTCCTCGAACCCCGAATTCTTTGGCTCCCCACCTAGATACTCACCCACCCTTTCTTTTCCTTTTTTATCATGTGTCATATACTTTTTTTTCACCTTTTGATTCGTTCGGTGTTTACTCGGATTAGTCCTCTTTTTTTTCATGGATAAGCTTATTATAATGCGAATTCAGCTTCGTTGATGAAGGAATTGCTGCCGATGATACTTTTGAGTCAAGGGAATTCGGAGCCCAACCGGGATGGTTTCTACTGGCCAGACCTCGGGACTAAAATCCCGCGTAGATATGTAGGCTGAAGTGCTACCTCTAGGTGCGAGAACTGAGGAGATGCTAAAAGATCACGCAATATGACACTGTAATTGGAATTGAAAGAAGAAAACTGTATCCCGGCTTTCTAAATAGTCTCTTTCTAAATTGAATTGAGTATTATGTGAAAGAAAGCATAGCGAACACGCTCAATAATACAATTGTACAACAGGCCAGTAATATGGTACCTATAGGCACCTAGCTAAGTCAGTAATTATGTACTGATCTCCTTACCAAACTAGGTGTATTGCATAATTGAGTCCTATTTTGCCAGTCCATCTTTAAGATGACGGGCTATCGCTCCTAAGATCTATTCTGGTCGTAGTATAGTATACCCCGTTGTAGCAAATCACAAAACTTAATCTTCCCTTGATTGTATACACAAAAAAGCCATTGGCCGTGTGCGCAGACACTACCAGATTCAACCAATAATCATCTAGATATCTACCTGTTCCGTAATATACTTCTCAACAACTCCAAAACTAGATAAGACGAGTCCTGAAGGTAGCAAAAACCCTTCTTCCATGACCGTCCTGATCCCGTTCTCCAAGAGCTTCATCAGTAATTTAGTATAGGCGACATACTCTCCGCTTTCCCAGATACATCAACATGAACTGTTTCGTCTATCCATTTGATTACCTCGCCTGATATAGTACGCCTGTATTTTCGTTCGTGATTGTATAGGCAACTATCGGGCACTGTTTTCGTGATATTACCCATGCATGCTGTTTTAGTTGTCCCAACGGAGTATATACCACTACAGTACAAGATGCGGAATACCGTAACTTACGAAGCAACTTTACCGTAAACTACGAGAATCAGGCATAGTAAGTTACGAGATTTCGCCCCCAGCGCACTGGTGGGACAGCTTTGGATCCTCGCGCTGATATGTATATACCTAGTTATAGGAGTGTACAGCCTAACAAGTACCTACTTACCACAGCTCCTAACTTGGGCCTATGGGACGCTAAAGTGGCCTCGAGACTACGCCGAATTTTTGCCCTGCCTGCATTCGTTCTTTCCCTGATGCCGTAGAATCTTAGTCACAAATAGTCCCAAGCGGTTGTGTTCAGGATGTCTTCCTAGAGTGGCTCCTATCCTTGTAAAACTTCTAGCTTCTAGAATAGAGTTAGTTGTTGGATAATCGATAGATATATAAAAGAAATTGTATGCATAGAGTAGTCGAGATACTGAGGTGATACGCGAGTGTCAACCTCAAGACGGCCTGGATTCGCGATCGGGGCTAATACAAGTGTCACAAGGCCTTGAATCGATAAAATATTAGTATGTATATCTGTAGCTCCAGATTGATTATGATGGTCACTGGGGCCTGTGATCCACTGAGAACGATTGGCCAGTTTATGGGTGCCTTGTACTTTCTCACACTGTGCGTTGATTCCTTTCTCTGATGTTGGATTTCTCTTTCAAGGACCAGACGAGTTATGCTGACTCAGCCGCCTGTGATACAGTCAAGATGCTTGGTGAATTACCTTTTCTGATGAAAACTACCGAGTTAGGGATACTCAATTATTTTAATAACTGGTCAAGGCAAATGTGAAAATGATGGTAGTGTAGCATGCTTTGCCCAGAATAATGGCTTGGAGCTAAGCCAGCACCCTGTTCTGTTCTGTTCTGGTGTTCGGTCGCGAAATCCTGCAAACACAACCATCTTTAAATTGAAACCACAGAACATCGGCAGATATCATAATCCTCAAGAAATCTATAAAACTCGGTCGCAGTCATGGGAAAAGGTAAACATCGCCTTACCAACTAATTATCTACTATAACAACACTAACTATATATCTCTTAGGAACCGATAAACTCTACGTAAGTCCTACGTTGCCTCATCGCATAAAACCATCATCGAAAGAGTTCAAGAAAAGCGCACGAGCCTGACTAAATCCTGCCCTTATCGGTGGACTCTTCCGTTCACCGTACCGCCAAAATAGGGTTTCTTTAATCAATACAGATCACACAATCAGAATGGTCCAGCACCGACTCCCACGGTGCCTCTCGGGGCGCCCGAACCGGTAAAAGCGACGACGCGACCTTTCGTCGTCTACCATTCAACTACTGCGCCCTCTCCTTACAACCCTACGAACACCCTGTCTGCACGGCCACTGGAGTAGTATTCGACCTTATAAATATCCTCCCATGGCTGAAAAAGCATGGTACAAACCCTGTGGACGGATCGAAGCTCGAATCGAAAGATTTGATAAAAATGCACATGTCCAAAAACACGGATGATGAATATTGGGATCCTATCGCCTCCAAAATATTTACGAACAACACGCATATAGTGGTTATCAAGACCAGTGGGAATGTATACGCCTACGAGACCGTGGAGAAATTTAATATCAAAGCGAAGTTTTGGAGGGATCTTCAGACGGATGAGGAGTTTACGAGGAAGGATGTGATTACTATTCAAGATCCTCAGAATTTGGCGGGGAGGGATATGTCAAATTTTAAATACTTGAAGGATGGGACATCGACTCTGACGGACGAGCAGGAGGCTGAGAGGGCGAATCCGTTGAATGATATCAATCTGGGGAATATTGGGTCTAGTGCTAAAGTCCTCGCTGCGAAAGCTGCGGTTGCGAAGGCTAGGGAGGCTAGAGCGGTACAACAAGCGCAAGGACAGTCGAAGGCAGGTTCAAGTGGAACATCGGGTTCGAAGGGGAAAGCAGTGGCGTCTATGCCAGCCAAACCAGCGATGCCGTATAATGCAGCGAAACACACAACCGGGAAAGCGGCGGCGTCGTTTACGTCCACTGGTGTTAGCGTGCACACTGCAGCTGATCGCGCATTGTTGACTGAAGAGGAGTTTATGCTTAAACCCAAGGTTGTCAAAATCAAGGGTTACGCTAGGGTCTCAACAAATCTGGGGAATTTGAATGTTGAGCTGCATACAGAATGGGCGCCTAAAGCGGTCTACAACTTTATCAAATTGGCGGAGAAGGGGTATTACAATGATACGGTATTTCACAGGAACATTCGGAACTTTATGGTTAGTATTTCTACGCGATTGTTGCAGCAGGATTATAATAACTAAATTAAATGGAATAGATTCAAGGCGGTGATCCAACGGGCACAGGACGGGGTGGAACGAGTTACTGGGGAAAGAATTTTGATGATGAAGTTCAAGGCCCTCATACGCATGATGCACGGGGAGTGCTGTCAATGGCAAATAAGGGCAAGAACACGAATGGGTCGCAGTTGTAAGTATATTATTTTCATATTGATCCAAACTGTTAGTGTAATTGCTAACCAGTGTTATAGTTATATATTGTATCGCCCACAGGCACATCTTGACAGAAAACACACTGTTTTTGGGAAGGTTGTGGGTGGCCTGGATGTTCTTGATCGGATGGAGACTACCCCCGTAGATTCGAGTGATAGACCAACGAAGGAGATTAAAATTGAGGAAATTGTGGTGTTTGTTAATCCGTTTGAAGAATTTCAAAGGGAGAGAATACAGAAGGAGGAAGACGAAAAGACAGCGGAAGAGGTCAAGAGGGCAGGTGGAACCGAAGATGACAAGACCACTTGGACTGGGAAGAGGCTACGAACCGCGGGAGACGGACAGAGCGGGAAGAGTGGGACTGGTGGCTTGGGAGTGGGGAAGTATCTGGCTGCAGCGAAGGCCAGTGCTTCGAAGGCCGCAGTTGAAGAAGATGAGATAGTTGAAGTGATTGAAGATGACGATACGAGTTATTACCAAGAACCTATTCGGAAGAAAGTGAAGGGAAGTGGTGGTTTTGGCAACTTCGATAACTGGTGATACAAGCGCTATACTTTTTACTCTTACTTACAATTTTGTATGCACAAGGTTAGCGCTGCAAGTACCGATACGGAATTTGTTTACTACATAGTACATGCATATGCGGTGTATGTATGTAATGTATATGTATGATACTAGATGAGACCTAGTTTATGTTTATGTCGTAGTCTCGAGACTAAAAGAAGTTGCCTATAGGCGTTAGACCATGTAGAAGTCGGGTTAGTGGCGAGCGAATGCAACTTGACAGCGACAGGACTTTCTATAATTAGACAAAGTGGGTTTGCCATGGTGACGCCCTTGCACTCGATGTTCCTGCGCTGGTGTTTTGCTTGGCGACCTCCTTTTCTGTTTCCTCACCAAATTTCCTGCTTTTTTCTCCGTCGGCGTTGCTTGGCCAATTCCTGTCAACCTCCATCGCTGGTCGCCATTCCACCGCCGTTGCCATCCCACCGGTTCCAACCTCCCACCTATCGACCGACTGACCGGCCTCCCACTAAGTATCCATAGATACTTACCCTCCACCGCCATCGCTATTTACATATCCTTTCCTCTCTCTCTCTTTGACTGTCATCTCCGACTCCTTGCTTGCTTCACACACACACCACCGCTGAGGGGAAAACACAAACGCAATAGGCTGAAAATCCTCGTAAGGGAATAAAGGGGGACGGACACCACTCAATCGAAAATACCTTCTCACGACGAACAACCTCAAAACCTAATCCTAGACCACAATCCTTAACACGAACAACAACTGACGTTAATATATACTTCCAACCATCATCGTCATCATCACCACCAAACTAACTTTCATCACCATACGAAGTAAAAGAGCCTCTTTTTTTCTTCTTTCTTCTCTCTCTAGAGATTTCTTTAAATCCGTGAAGTTCTCTAGCTTCACGAGATCTTCTTGTCTTTAATTTCACAATGGGGTTCGGGGACTTCGACCAGATATGTTCCAAGGTCAGCCTGCCGTTGTGCTCGCTGATCGGACCTTACGGCCAAAAGAGCACAATCGCAACCATCGGTATCGAAGCAGAATGTTACTCCAGAAGTATCGAACTCGCCAATACAATCATTTTCCAAGGAGCTTCCGATTTCATTCACATCGTCTCGTTGATCATGACAGCCATCATGTTGATTCACGTTAGATCAAAGTTCACAGCCGTCGGCAGGAAAGAAATTACAACGTTCTTCTACCTCTTCATGGGTCTTACTGCTGTTTCGTTATGTCTTGACGCCGGAGTTATCCCCGTCGGTTCCCAGGTCTACCTCTACTTTGTCGCTGTACAGTCTGGAATGATTTCTGCTCTCTGCTGGTGTTTAATGATCAACGGTTTCGTCGGCTTTCAACTCTACGAAGACGGGACAAGGTTATCGATCTGGCTACTCAGACTTTCGTCTGTTCTTATGTTCCTGATTACTGGCGCTGTGGCTTTGGCGACTTTCAAGGGATGGGCGGGTCTAGGACCGACAAAGACGATAGGACTCTTCGTCGTGTTGTACATTTTGAACGCCGTCTTTTTGGTCATCTACATCGCCTCGCAGATTTTGCTGGTTTTGAATACCCTCCAGGATCGTTGGCCTTTGGGTGATATCCTTTTCGGAATCCTCTTCTTCGTTGTCGGACAAGTCTTGCTCTATGCTCTCAGTGATAAGATCTGCAATTCTGTGAATCATTATCTTGACGGTGTTTTCTTTGCTACTATTTGCAACTTGTTGGGTGTTATGATGGTGTACAAGGTATGTTGATTCTCGAATCCTTGATATCATATTGACTGAGGTTCTTTTTTACTGACATATCTAAAATAGTATTGGGATTCTATCACCAAGGAAGACTTGGAATTCTCGGTCGCCAGTCAAAACTTCGAAGTCAAGGAGCCTCTCATGGACGAAGCCAAGTTCCACAGCACCTACGAACCTGAATTCCACCCACCAGGAACAAGATCAAGCGCTTATCAGTACTATTAAACGGTTGTTGTTCCGAGTTTACTCGTCCTTCTTCCCCCTTCCGTTAACGCCAAACATATAATGACATAATGATACGACCACACCGAGTACTTTTTTTTTGAAACCGTAAGAGACGGGGGGGAACTTGGGTAGAGAAGGACGGAGTAAAAAGTTGTACAAAAATAATTTCTTTCTTTGGCTACTCCCTTTTTTTTATTTTAGTGTGCGAGGTTTCGGAATTGGATACTTGCGGCATGCATCTACATATGAAGCACACACATTGGCTTACAGCATCATTGTCACCAAAACCACCATGCATCGGAAAAGCATCAGCATGAGCAGGCATTCGCTTATATCCTTTCTTTGCGGGGAACTTTCGGCACCTATCTCTTTTTTTTCTTTCTTACAAAAAACAGCTTCTTTCTTAGTAAAGGGGGGTCCTGTAGGGTTAATCTCTGTTGTTTTTTTTCTTTCTTTCCCTCTATTCCTTTTTCATTGGCTGGCATGGAGTTATTGTGTCTACAGATCGCATTGATGGTTATTCTCTCGCATTTCAACCTTTTACCTTTCTTCTTTCCTTTTATTCTTATTTTCTTATAAGCTCACATAGCTAGTGTGTTTCCTTCTAATACCTCGGATTTTTACTATTCATTTTTCGCAATTCTAGCCCCTTCTTCTTCTTCTTCTTCTTCTTCTTCTTCCTTATTTCTTCTCTCTGAGGACATGTAGATAGCCATAACTCGTAGAATAGGGTAATTTCATATGACCATACTTTTTAAAGTTATTTAAATATTTTCCGGATAAGATTAAGATTAAGAATTGAAGATTACGTGCCTCGATACATACCTAAGTCTCTCCACTTGAGGAACTAGGTGGGTATGCACAGAGGTACGCGGGGGGGCGGCTCGACTATTAGGAATGTTGGGATCAATACAAACTGGGCCACACATTTGCATTTTCCAGCCGTGCTGAAGTTTGAGGTAAAACAATGGTTTCGTAATGAATTTTCATGTTGGCCTTTATCGACATTCCAGATAAAACTACAGATAAACAGTATAACAAAAGAATGGAACTTCAGGGGGTGATGACAAGGAAGCTTAGCTCGGGTGGTTGTGACATAGGCTGGTGTGGCACACCAAAGCTTGGGTCATGAATACGCGAAAACACCCATCATCGCCTTTGCATTTCGACCAACAACCTTCCCCATACAAACCCTCACAAAAAAAAACGGGGACGCAACCAACCATGCCGCCCAAACGCATGACCGCGAACCCGGTCCGTCCGGCACGTTATCGCGCTGGAAAACCTCTACCGGGCGATCGATCCGAAGACTCTGGCGACGAGGATGACGAAGAAAACGAAGATGATGATGATGCCGAGGAAGTTGAGCAGAAACAACAAGCGGCACCGGTTCATCGTCCTGCGCAGGCAGGGACTATTATATCGACAGGTCTACAAAAAGTCGACTTAAACCAAACTTTTCAAAAACATAGCGATGATGAGGAATCATCCGAAGAAGAAGAAGAAGATGATGATGATGAAAAAGAAGACGATGAAGACGCCCAAGGCGATTACTTAAAACCTTCACGACCAGCACCCTCCGGCGACTACGAATCCTCAGGCTCAGACGACTCTTCGGATGAAGACTCATCATCAGAAGACGAAACCTTCAAAAGAAGAAAACTGATCCGTCCAACATTCATCCCAAAATCGAAACGTAACCTCCCGGAACCAACAACAACAATCGCAGACTCAACATCCGCCGCTACAATCGCTCAACGGAAAGCAGAAGCTCACAATCTCGTCGAATCCGCCATTCGTCGCGAAGCAGTCGAGAACAACGCTAGATCCAAAAAATCTTTGGACGCAGACGTCACATACACCGAACCTCCAGATGATACCGATGATCTCGATCCAGCTGCCGAAAGGGCAGCATGGAAGCTCCGAGAACTACTAAGGATAAAACGTGCGAGAGATGCAATTGAAACCATGGAAAAGGAACGTGAAGAGATCGAAGCTAGAAGGGCGATGGATACCGACGAACGACTAAAATCCGACCTTGAATTCGTTGCTAAACAACGGCAGGAGGCACAAGATAAGAAAGGGAAGATGGGGTTCATGCAAAAGTTCTATCATAAAGGTGCTTTCTATCAAGATGATGAAAGTGAGGTTATGACAAGGAGTTATGCGACGGCAAAGGTGGAGGATAGAGTTGTCAATCTGGATGTATTGCCCAAGGCGCTGCAGGTTCGGAGTTTGGATCAGTTAGGAAAGAGAGGAAGGACGAAGTGGACACATTTGGCAGCTGAGGATACAACCAGCCTAGGAAGGGAAGAAGGTTATGGATTTGCCGGGCAGGCAATGAGGAAACCGAAGAAGTTCGAAGATTTGAAGGGAGTGAGCGATGAGAGGTTCATGTCGGATAGAGAAAGGGAGAAGAGGGGGGCAGCAGAACGAGGGAATACGGATACGAGAAATTCAGGAGGTAGGGATGCGAGAAGAGATGACAGGAGGGATGATAGAAGAGATGACCGAAGAGATGACCGAAGAGGCGATAGACGGGACGATAGAAAAGATGGAGATAGCTATCGTCCAGGTCACGATAGGAGTCGGAGGGATGACGATTATAGGCGGAGAGATCGGTCGAGGAGTCCTCGAAGAGGCCGCCATGATGATAGAAAGGACCGAGACTACGACTCCAGACGGGATGGTAGGAGATCAGATCACGATAGAGAAGACCGTCGCGATGGTGACAAAGGAGGGTCCACATATAAATCCCGTTGGGATGACAGAACGGACCGAAAACGTGGCGGCGATGATGACCACCTTGATGAGAAACGACGGAAGATTGATACTTAACTTTTGGTTAGTGTTCCGTGAGGGGACTTCTTTTCGCGTATGATACCATGAAGACTGTACAGTACTATGTAAAGTACCGAGCTCAGAAAATGCCAGGTGATGAGACTAGCCCAAGTGCATATATAATTCCAATTGATAGATATAAAATGACGGACTGGTATCCTAAGCCGTATGAAACTCCATGTAACGCCGAAAATATGCAATCGCTAAACCCCATAGGCATAATAGGCATATCTACTCGAGTAGCCTCCAGCTGAACAAGTAGTCGACTCTCCAGGGCCGAATCCGCCTATCGATGACTTGACCATCACGGGAGACTAGCTGCCGACCCTCAATGCCTCTCGCTCCAACACCTCCGGTTCGAATTTTATCAAAAACACCGTCCTGCCGGGCCACATCTCGTTAGGTGCCGTATGAGCGGTCACCTTCGCCGGGAAACAATGTCCGTCCAACACGGCCTCGATAATCCCCGCAATAAAGGCCCCGCAGTTCAACTGACTCATCTCCTTGGGCACGCTGATGTATGTATTCACGACAGGGTCATTATCAGAAATCATGTACTCGTCTTCATTTTCTCGGACTTTCTCGAGAGTGTCGGCTTGCTTTTGGAAGATGGCACGGTAGAGTTGATGGGATATGAACTGGAGGATCCCAAGGATTCTGGTTTCGCGTTTCGCAGTGCGGCCCTCACGCCAGAGAAGGAGTTCGAGAAAACGTTGGCCAACAGCGTAGCCATGGAGATTGAGTCTGCGAAAGTTATTGTGGCAGAGATCAGTTTCAAGTACTGCATGTTAGAAAGCAAATGTTGGAGGGGTCTTGACTTTTTCTCGAGATCCTGAACACCGTAGACTTTTTTCTGGGCGTACTGGACCATTTCGCCGAAGAGGAAGGCGAAGGCCGATTTCGAAAGCTCCGAGGTCTTGGTGCGGTTTAAATGTCGGTCATAGATTGACTTCCGCGTGAGGGAGTAGCGGAGGTTGGTCGATGCGGTCAAGTTGGCATATTTGGGAGTGGGAGAGGTGGCAGTGGATGCCACTGAGGCTGTGCGGAACGGGGATGGATCTCTGTTCATCGCAAAATTTCAATTAAGCCCAAGCTGGCCGTCTATGCTAGATAACGGGTATTGCGAGACTGTGGGGGTTCCTGGGAGTTCCCTGGACGGTTTTTTCAACGGATGTGGGACGCGAAGGGGAGCTTTGTTTGTGGTTGGAGCTGAAGCTCTCCGACATACACGCAGGAGTAGCTCCAGTTTCGAGACTGAGTAGCACCATCGTAAATTACCCTATTTGGAAATACAACACCAACACATGCCCCTGTGGCCCAGGTAGTCTAGTTACGAGGCTGTGGCCCAGGCCGCAATGCGACAAGAGTTGGAACTGCAGAAATATATAACTAGAACGGAAGCATTAAATACTTAGGTGCCTAGTGTCTTTTATATACAGTCTCGAATTCAGGTAGTCCAGAATGATGGGTTTCAAGGGGTCCCAACTGAATTTAGAATTCTCATACTCAAATTCAGATATGGCAGCGGTTCGTGCCTTGGTTCTAGGTCTAAATCTAGTTGTTTCTATTGTATATAAGTAATTGTAAATCCCAAGTTAACTTGGTACGGCGGCAATACTTTAATGTGTCTGGATACAAGATCTCGAGACCAGTAGGGTGGCATCTTATACATCTCGTCGCCAAACTTCTCAACGGCGTATAGTATTAATAACTCTTGTTCCCATTGAACCACAGCAGTATCCCGGATTTGAATTAATATCATATCATTATATATTATTTTCAGCGGGCGTCATTCATGATGTCTCTATACAAGAAGCTCATATTTTTGACCTTCCTGATTACGACAATAATTGCAAATGCATCAGCTGCAATAGCACCTCCTGATGCTTCTTCCAATAGCACCTCGAGCCTTGATCTCAAAACCTCTACACCTCGAGCTCTCAATCCAACTTCGCTCCCGATAGCGCCCGAAAAGAATACGCCGCTTGCAGTTACACCAACTAGTAAGATTCTACAAGCAGAAACAGCAACCCTCAGCGATACTATCAGCCCCGCAAAGCGAACTGATGGTCCTATAAACCCAAATATATTTTACTCTAACTACCTTACCGCCCGCTGTCCAACACTCTCAGAACTACGTTACATGGACGATGACCCTCTCAACTACCAGCAGTTCAACCTTGTGCCCTACAGTCGGCCAAGACTATTCACGGAGGCAAATGGAGCCCCTTCATTACAAGAACATACGGGAAGACGTCGAACATTGCGCAATTACTGGCTTAGAAAATGCCGAGACTGCCATTGCGACCCAGTATCACGTCGATTGACCCGCGGACCTGGGCCTGATGCTCCCGACGACCAGCGGAATCATGGTTCGAATAGAGGTGGATGCTACATCCGAGAAACACCCGAAAAATGTGAAAACTGGTTTAGTAAGCTTACTTTCCTCAAAAGAATTTCTTCCCCATAGATCTTATGTCATTATTCTTGTATTTCTTTCTTTCTTTTTTTTTAAAAAAAAAAAATGAAAAGTGAAAAGAAAAGTCTGATCCTGGACAAATTTGAGCGTAATCCGATATCCCTCGGAATTGTCTCTAGATCTGCTTCCTGTTTTTCATGATAAATATGTTTTCTGGTTCTGACGATACAGTACATTTATTAAGAGTCCAAAGCCCGATGCTAACGTTCCGATCCTTCGACCTTCATTGAAGATTGTCGGTGTGTCATGGAACTTCGCTTAGATCAACCCCCAAGGTTTCGAGAAGTCACGGCGGAAGATTATCAAGATGCATTGGATAATATCCCCGATGACGTTAAAAAGCTGGACCCCGAATACGTCTGGAGGCCATCTCCGGGCTGGGAAATGACGTGGAATAAAAATAGCGGTGGTGGCCGTTCGAGGGGTGGGCAGGCATCCCACAGGGAACTCGCTCCAGATACAAAAGAACCGTACTACCTCGAAGGACCGAATGATGACGACACGGGGATGTACGGTTTTCCAGGGAGGTATTACCCGGGCGGTGGATTTACGTCTCCCTTCGGAAAGTCTTTGCCTGCTAAACGGGATAATCTAAAGAAAAGAGATGAGAACAAAGGAGATGAGGACAAAAAAAGAAGGGGACAAAAAAGACCGATGAGGGGAGATTCTAAGGAAGCAGCCGATATTGAAACTTGATGTCGGGGGTATAGTTACAACCACCCCTTCTCATATATATCATTCTCCCGAACAAAGGTTAAGCGTACTATACTAGCTTCTATATCCTAGAAGTTGCCGCTTACCCGGGTCCCCACTCGAAATGCTTTTATTTCCGCTGGTGTTCATACACTATAATATTAATTCCTGTCTTCACTGATTGGTCTAGTCTGGCTTCCACGATATGGTGTATTGGTCTGGTAATTGCTTATATAGTTTTTGGTGTATACGCACATGTATCTAGAGAATTTACTTCGGCGAAACTCCTTAAGTCCTTATTCTGGCTCGCGAAGGATATTGCATTTTCCATCTCACCAGGGATCTTTTAATTCTCGACAATGCATGCACCAACGTTGCAACTTATCCTTCTATAACAGTTAATGGTCGGTATATTATTTGAAACGCCAACAAAATTACAAGATCGAAGACACCAGAAGAGGTGCTAACATTGTTATCACAATGCAATATATCTGTCCAGTACTCTGAACAACGTACAACAAGACAATAAAATATATATATGGCGCCTCCGAGTGAAACGTTAGTATCTAAGTATATATACTCGGCAGGCATAGATTGAAATATATGTACAAAACAGCGATTGCATTGGCCATCCCTTAAAAAAAAAAAAAAAGTCGCTCAGCATAAGCAAAATAAAGCTTATTCTTTGATGTAAGAGAAACATCCCTTTGGCAAGCCATAATCCTCCTGGCACGTGATGGCGGGAGGGGGCACCGGGGAATCAACAAGAACCAAATATACAGAGATCACATCCCAAGTCATGATGTGTTCCACGCTCTTCACGAATGAGAATCGCCAGTCATATGATCTCTTGCAAACGATCTCAGTTCTTCTTCCCTCCGTGCTCTCTTTTCGATTAAGACCTTTTTCCTATCCTGCAACAGTGCCATATGCTTATCCTCCACGCTATCAAGCCACAACCCGGCTCCGATACTGATGGACATGTACAATGGATAGGCGATAGCCTCGGAAGGGAGGTAGTGAGGACGTTTCTGGATACCCAGCTGCATAAACCGGGCAGCGGCGCCTAAAGCAAGAGTCCACGAGGTCAGTAGGGTGTCGGGCTATGTTGAAGGAGACTCATGAAGAGGAGACGTACCGAAGAAGGCGTAGAAGGCGATTGAGCTCATGGTTTTCTTGTTCAACTAGATAGAACTGTAGAACAGCGATTGGAGAGTATGATTGATATCTCCTTCGTAGTCTTTCCGGGAGGAAGCGCCGGGGCGTGGTCGTCGATGCAGAGTGGATTGGTTGGTTGTTTTCGGTGACGTTGAGGCAGAGTCGGAGGTTGGACGTTGATTCGCGCCAAGCCTTTTTCGGCGGATGTGTTGTGGCGGGTGCAAAAGATAAAAGATGTCTTGGCTTCAGTGCCGACAGGGCTCAGCTTACCGCACCTGCTGGTTAATATCAGAAGATGATAGCTCCTTGGGACTACGAGGAATACCCTGGTTAGCTACTTAAGTAGATAGTTTGGAGGTAGTCTCGAGACCAGGGTAAGCTTGGGAGGTTTGTTTAATATTTTACATGATGTTCTTTTGATATTCAGAGTATCATTTAGAGACAGTTAATTGTATACAGTATACAGTAGATCCGTAGCATAGCATAAGTATAGCATATAAGTAGTATTATAGCTGATAGTTCAACCTCTAACATAGTATCGTACTTTACTACGGTATTCATTATTCCTTCTACGTCCGTACTTTAACAAAACCTCAAAACCATATGCCAGTCAGTACTATGTATAATAATAGTTGTACATGTCCGATCTTCTCGATATGAGACCATTTAGATCATGTGATCCACGCGCGTGTCGCTCCAAATAGCAAATAGCAAAAAGTAGTATGAACCTGAAGAACAGGGGTTAAGTCACAGTATTCTCTTCCTTCCAGCGAAACCCTCCTGGCGACAACCAAGACTTTCCAACAGCCAAAATCGTCCCCGTTTAAAGTACTCCGACCACACCACGCACACGACCACCCATTTAAATTCCCCCATTGTCGCCGGTTTGGTGGCACAACTATGGCTGCCGGTGAAGTCCGGCCCTGGCCGGTTTTCATGCTAGCATTTGTCGGCTGTCTTTTGTGTATAGTCAATGTTATCATCTTGACTGGGGTTGATGTTAAGGGGAAGATTTCCAAAATAGTCTTGCCGAAGGAGGTCAAGAAGGCTTTCCCATATTTCGACGTATGCCTGATATACACCTTATACTTCCCATATCAATCCGTCTTTTTCTTATTGAGAAAGTCAAAGACGTTAAATAAGTTTTACGGGTGTCTAATTAAATTTATTATTTATATAATATAGCCTCCAAATCTTGTCGACGACATAGACCTTCCCGACGAACTCGACCAGCATCCAATTGTCGCCTTGACGCGCGACCAGCTCAAGAAGTTCGACCGATATAAGCGTGCCCAGCCAAAATCATTCGCTCAAGTGGTGGAGAAATACCGTCTGAAATATGGCCGACATCCACCACCAAATTTCGACGAGGTTGGTTACACATCCCAGCCCCGAAGAGGGTTGAACACCAATAAAGTCGTACTGGAATCGCTAAATTATCTTTGGGGGATAAAATAATAGTGGTACAAGTTCGCCAAGAAGCGGAAATGCGTCAACTTCGATGATTTCGACCAGATTATGGACGACTTACGGCCGTACTGGGGTATGAAACCTGCGGATATCAGAGCTATGGTCAAGGCTATGGATACAGATCAAAGCAGGGTCTCGATATTGAAAGTAAGTTCAAAAAGTCTTTTTTTTTTCCCCTGGGAAATATAAGATGGTTGGTGACTGATTGTGACCCACGAGTATGGAAATAAATATAGGTTAGAGGACAGAAAGTTGCTCAAACTAGCCGGCCAGACGCATGGCGAGCCTCAGTGTTCGAGAGAATGCTGGCTGTGGCTGCACCGCTTCTCCCAGATCTAGATATCGCCATGAACTACCTCGATGAGCCACGAGTGGTTGCACCGTGGGAGGAAGTACAGGCCAAACTAGCACAGGAAAAAAAGACTAGGGTTCAGCATCCAGAGACAGTGAACGAGTTTTCGAAAATTGATTGGGATGCTCCAATAGATATTAAGAATCTTGACCTTGGTTTCTTCGACCATAGCGGGAAGCCTTATATGGATCTTGCGTCGAAGGCGTGTCCCCCAGAATCCTATGCCCGTCGCCCGGAATTGGATATCAAACATGTCGAGAGCAAGTATAAGGACCCGGTAGGCGGGTTTATCCGCAACTTCAACCTTTCGTCCGACCTCTGCACCATCGGCCCACATCTCGCAAATCTACACGGCTTCCTCTTCAGCTCCTCCACCACAATTGCGACGCAGAAACTCGTCCCAATCTTTGGAGAATGCAAGGTCAATGTGAACAACGACATCTTATTCCCAGCAAATAAATACTACGACCTCGCTGACCCCCGCTACATCTACAACGACGAACAAGATGTTGCATGGCACGAAAAAACGCCTAAGATGGTCTGGCGTGGTGTCACCTCAGGTGGCGTTCAGAACCAGGAAATATACCACAGACTCCAACGACACCGCTTCGTCGCCCTAACAAATTCCTCAAAACTTTCGGGGACAGAGGTTACGATTATGGAGGCTGTCAGTGAGGACAATACCAGTGGAGAGTACACACCTACGTTTTTCCATCCAGCGCACTATGCGGATTCAACTATGGATGTAGGTTTCTCAGCAATTGTCTGGTGTGTCCCAGACTGCCATTTCCTCGACGACAAATTATCTGCAAAGCCTTCACTGGAGTTTAAGGAAACTTTCAAATTCAAGTATCTGGCAGATATCGATGGGCATTCTTTCAGTGGTCGTTGGTATGCGTTCTTGAAGAGTAGAAGTATGGGTATTAAGTCTACTATATTCAGAGAATGGCATGATCAAAGACTTTTCGAATGGGTACATTTTGCGCCGATGGACAATCGGTTTGACGATTTATACGCACTTATGACTTATTTTACCGGAGTAGAAAAGGGGGTTGGCGGTAAAGATGGAGCATATGTCCCAAGACACGATACCGAGGCAAAGAGGATTGCGGATCGGAGTAGGGAGTGGGCGATGCAGGTTTTGAGGACCGAGGATATCGAGGTTGGTTTTCCTCCCTTTGGTTCTTTTATCAAGATCTTCTCTCGGCCTACAGAATTGACATACTAACCTGTTCATCGTCAATAGATTTACATGTTACGTTTACTACTGGAGTACGCTAGGGTTGTGGATGATAATAGGGACAAGATTGGATACAGCGGAGACGGCAGTGAAGTTGATTCTGCCGATAATAATAGACTTGGATGGCGTTACAGGCTATGATCTGGATTATCTAATACATGAACTAACTAATCACCCAAGTTTTCTATGCATCGATATATACCTATATATATACACCTATCATTCCGCTGGGGTATTTAGCCTCGATCGAATCCAGGCGTATATACATGCAGTCGATACAATCAATTACCCAATTTTTGTAATTTTTAATCTGAATTAGCACATAGGAGTTTTACCCCAGATCACTCGATTCACTCAGGACCCATATAAATATTTAAATTTATAGATTGCTACGTAAATACGACGATACATCATAACGTAGACCCCAAATCGCAGTAGAAACGCCTTCCCAGTCCAAGCGCTAGAATAACATCCAAATCTATAATACACAGCCTCTAATCACCCCCCCTCGCCAGTAACCGCCTAAACCGACCCCGCCAAAGCCGCGAACGGATTTGTCCCAATATGTTCCGCAATCTCCCCTTCTCCCCCGACAATCTTCGAATTAACGTTGTCCCAATCACCACTTCTGTCCTTGATAACCTTGACCTTCTTCCTACTTTCCTCCTGCTTAACCTCCAATATTTCGGCAACAGCAGCAGCCTTCTCCTTCCCGACCTCCCGTCTCTTCTTCTGAGTTTTTGACTTCTGACCACGTTTTAAGTGCTTATTTGGGTTCGAAGACTTTTGAACGCCGGAGGAGAGGGTACGGTGGATTACATCCAGGACTTTTCGAGTTATTTTATCGGCTGTGGGGGTTGTGAGAGAGGTTCTGGTTGGGGAGGATGGTCGCGGGGCTGTGGTTATCGATTTATCGAGGTTTAAGGATGGAGATACGGCGCGACGGGCGGCGCGGGAATGGACCGATAGGACTGGTTGGGTTTGTAGAAGTTAGTTAGTTGTTAGATGAGGTTATGGGTACTTGAAGCTACAAAAAAGATTTGCGATTTTACCTTTTCTTGCTTTTGCCATTTTTCTTTATTAATTTGTATTATTTTGATATTGATAAAGACCTCGAGTATAGTTGGTAAGATGGGATGAAGGAGGGTATCAGATATCTCTGAGACAAGACCGTAGGCGTGGTTGAAAGAAATGGGGGGTGTATGAGGTATGTGTATGTAGATGTTGTCTAAGCTTAGCTTCGAAGTCGCAGTTTTTTTTTTTTTTTTTTTGAAAGTTGGAACCTTTCAAGTCGCACAGAAACTTTTTTATTTTATTTTTCATTTCAGCAATGACAGGGGTTAGTCTTGATGGCGCTAAGCTGGATTGGGAATATTACAACATCGACCAACACAGAATCCAACACATTTTTTTGAAAAATAAAAGCTTTGTTTTCTTTCATGGCTCGAGTTAGTTCTTGTATCGTGGGATTCGGTTGCTTTGTTAGTATGTTTCGTGGTATCGTGGTGAAGTATTATCGGATGGGATATCATGGAAGTTAACGGGTCGTTGTGCAGGTATGGATATTTAGTGTCTTGTTCTTTAGGTTCCCCTTCCGAAGTTTCTTTTGATCATAAACTAATGGTTCATACGTATCTTAGTATCCTCAATACATCTTAAGACCTTAGGACACATGCCACAACGATCGAGTATCCGGATATAAACATAAAATACCAACATGGGAGAACTACACTCTCCCAGCGACTCCTTAAAATGGAAGCGACACTACAAATACAAGAGTCTACGGAGTTTCACGGGCACAAACATCGACTGTACAGACGTGCAACCTTCCAAATCGGCACGAGGATCGTTGAGGGCAACAGACCCGCTTAAACCCCGTCAAGAGAGTATTATATCGAAGAAACAGCCTTCTCGGCCGCTGTCTGGTGTTCGTTTCTTTAATGATGTATCAGAACCAAGGGATGGGAAGGAGGAGTGGAGACGTTATAATGTGGATCAGAAGATTGTTATGAGTAATAACAGTATTTTCAAGGATTGGGATTCTGAGTTGGGTAGGAGGATTTTGGGCGCTATTCGAAAATATAAGGGTGGTTCGTTGGGTCTCCGCTCGACTGGCAGTTCGGGTGGCGGTTCAGGAGGCGATTCGGGCGGTACCTCTGGAGGTGGTCCAGGTGATACTTCAGGGGGTGGTTCAGGAGGTAGTTCCGGTGGTGGCTCAGGAGATACTCCAGGGGGTGGTTCAGGAGGTACCTCGGGAGGTGGTTCAGGCAATACTTCAGGAGGCGGTTCCGGTGGTAGTTCCGGCGGAGGCTCAGGCAGCAGCTCAATGTTTTCATGGAGAAGCTGGTCAAGTATCATCTGGAGCAACTCCGACCCCGTAAACGAAGCCATCTTCAAAAGCAAACTCACGACAACCGACTACTCAAGACTAGCAAAAAAAATCGGTGCCATCGCGCGCCCCGCCACTGTAAATCTATGTTACCTCAACGCCGGTATTCAAGCTCTAGCCGCAACTCGCTTCGTCCACTTCGTCGATCGAACGGATCAAATCACGCCCATTGCGGGCGGTGGCCACGGCTTAGTACCAATCACGGAACGCATTGCGAATGCTTTTAAAAGTGTGAATCAATGGTATAACGCCGGGTTTAGTGGGAGTCTAGCAAACCGTGTAGCTGCTGGACGAGTTCACCAGACACCGACGCCGGATACAATCGGGATGGGCATGCTTCCCTTTATGGACACAGCGAGTGGGTTCACGCCAATGTGCGATATTACGGAATTTCTGGACAGTATTATAGGATCTTTGGATGATGAGTACTTGATGGAATTACAGACGTTCCATGATTTGGGTGCTAGTGGTTGGGTAAACTATCAGAATCCGACGACGTGCACGCAAGCGACTAAAGTATCGTGCTTGATCTGTGGGTATACGTATGTCGAGGAGATTACTAGAGTATGGATAGGGGCGCTTTATAAGCCGCATGTAGATTCTAACGTTGATGGGACACATACTGTATGTGCTGCAAATCCATCCCCAGTCGAAGACTAATTTCCCAGAACCAGGAGATACAAAAGTTCGGGTTCCTGCTAACAGATTATACGCAACTTTATTAGGTTGACCTTGCACATACTCTCGACCACTTCACCAGAATTGCATTAGTAGAAAGCGAAGCATGTATTTCATGCAATCTAATCGATTTATACAAAATCAACAAAAGGGCCCAACGGCACCTAAAAGCCAGCGCCAAAGGGGAAGCCGACGCCACCAGCGACACCTCCAAAAAAATCTCTGCGGATATCATAGAAATCGATCGACGTCTGCTAGCAATAGAGCAGGGCCTACGACGAAAACTTACAAATGACCGGATACCCGTTGATGACAACGGAAGACTCCGGGGTATTAACATGCGAAGCGAAGCTATGACTCCAAGGAGCCCTAGATCCGAAACCCAAGTAATCTCACGGCTGCCGAATACCATTATTTTGGGATATAACATCGTTCATTCCGATACAATGAAGAAGAACAGAACACAGTTGAAAATCCCGCAAGTGCTAAGCTTCGCACCATGGACCGCGGACACAACAGACGGAAACCACAGTAGAGACCCGTTGAGACCATTAAGGCCGAAAGGTAGTAAATACAACGATGGTATTGAATATGAATGCAGAGCCATATCTTATCACCATGGTGAGACTACGAACAGTGGTCATTATTTCACCGACAGGTTACCTTGGATACCCAACCCTAGAGATGTTGCAGCCGGCGCAGCGCCACGGGAGCCATACGAATGGTGGTTTTGCAACGAATATATCACCGATATGTTTGCCGCTGACCAACCATTTCCTCGTCCTAGCGGTGCAAAGGAACAGGAAGTTTTAGTTGTATATGAAAGGATTATGGATCCTGCCGACAAGGCTGCTATAATTCTCCCCAGTGCTGATACGACCAGATTGTTTGATTTTAACAGAGAGTATCAGTTTTCGGAGTACAGTATTCCAGCTGGTGGACCCGTAGTGTTCAAGAATGAACAAAATATGGAAGGTAAAAGTTCACCACGTCTAGATTTGTCAAAGTGGACAAAAATCACAGGGTTTTTTGGTGGGGTTGGAACAAGATCATCAAAGAGGGTGCGGGTACATGATTATGAGAACGAGGATATCTCAATATCCTCCGCAGTGGAGATAATGGACACAAGACCTCCGAAACGTGCACGGGTAGCCAATTACGAGGTTGGAGCCAGTTGGGGCTTACGGTCAACTAGAGGAGCTGGCCACGAGTCAAATGCTGAAAGGGAAAGAAGAAAGGCAATGGAAAACCTACATGACTCAAGTTTGATCAGACATCCCGAGGTTCTAGCTGACTTCGAACAAAAGAAGAAATGGAGGATGGGGGGATCACATGGTGGAGATTTCATAATACCCCCATCGCCGGATGCCTCCACATCCTCTATCGACTCCGGTAATAATGATAGGAAGCAACAAAGAAAGAACAGCCCAGGGAAGCGGAGCAACATCCAGAAGGTACCGTCTTCAAATAGCATAACACCTATATATGTGGTTCACGAGGATGAACCTGAAGGTTGTTACAGAATGGAATATGTAGAGAAGGCGAGCTCGAGCAATCATGATCATCCCATCAGCGAGAGGGCCAAGGGTAAGAGATCAACCTATCGGTATTAGCTTCGAGTTTAGATCGAAATCCTAGATATAGAGTGATAAGTAGCTATAGAATCATTTTATCTACAAGGAGAACTCAGAGGTTCGGAGAGGAAACTAGAAGTTTCGAGTATTTGTGTAGTTCGTAAGTTCGAGATCGATGGTTACAGCAAACAGGTGACAGTTGCTTAGATACTAAGTATGTAGTTCTAATCTGAATCTCGGCCTCATGTATACTGCCTATAGCTACCAAGTAAGTGCTTGAGTAGGTACTTGTACTTACCTAGGTAGTCATTGTATTCTATATAGCATTTATACTATCCGGTTGTCGGCTCCGATCAGCTGAAAGTACATTCCAAGTTTGAATATTAATCAAAATATACGTCTAAGCTGGAATGGCCACTTAAATGTGTATGAAGAGTGTATACTCACAGTCAACTAGGATTTGGGTCGATCTAAAAGCGCCATCACTCAAAAGGTGATCCAGGTATCTGATGCACAGTACCATTTCGATCCTCAAAGACGTCTCTCGGCCCCAGTTTCTTTTTGCACTTTTTTTTTTCATGGACCTCACAATATATCTTGAATTAGTAGGATCGTAATAGTCTTCCTGCTGCATCATTCTGATTTTAACTCCCCTCGCCTCCCTCTTAGATCTTATCTCGTAAACCAGAACTCATAAAGATCTATATAGATGCAGAATATTGTGTCGTATAAAATGGTCTCAACCCGAAGGTCTCATCGCATGTCAGCTTACATACACACAGAGAAGCTAGTTGACATGGATAATTACCCTCCTTTCCATTTAATGTTCCTTTTGTACTATTGAAACAAAATAGTCCATCTATCACTTCAAATGTATTAAGTACAATAAAGTATAACTGTTGTTAGATGTAATTATAACCTTTGCAGTATTCATCATCAGATACCTCAAACAAATTACCACAAAGGTATTGAATCACCGCGTAGTATTAATGCATCGGATGGCAACAAAGAATCCTCTTAATATAATTATAATCACACCTTATCTTGACCCAACATCGACTTCAACCTCACCACCGTGATTCTCACCTCCACGAAAACCTTTTAGAAGCATATATATATAAGTCTTACAACAAACACCCTTGTCTCGTACCCAGACCTGGAAGCAAACACCTTAACGTACCACATATCATAGCCATGGGCTATCGACAAAAAGAGAGCCCCGAGGCCGCTTCGGGGCTCACCGGTTGTACCAAACAGAGCGACATCTTAAACAAGATCTTCGATCGTAACAGTCGGGTTATCAAACGACAGACTTTTGGTATTGGCCTTCGCATGGCTAAAGGGAAGAAAGATGGTGATGAAGACAGCGACGAAGATGACGACGAAGAAGAAGAAGAAGAAGAAAGTGGTGATGACAAAGACAAGAAGAAACCAGATCAAAAACCTGCACCTAGCCGCCCTAACGCTGACCCTTGGACAACAGGAGGTGAAAGACAGACGATTATTGGTATAGAACGTGCGGATGTAGGGAATCTATGCTATGTAAACACAGCGTTACAGGTTAGTTCTCGAAGCTAAGGGTTTATAGCAATCTACAGTCGGAAAACTGTCTACTTAGTAGTATACTAATATCTACATATATACATACGATAGGGACTAGCAGCAACTTCATACCCCGAATGGGTGAACGTCACTACAAGCGCCACATACGCAGACGACCCAAAGAAAGGCGATTTAGCCAAATTAATAGATGGAGTATTCAAACAGCTCAACCACTTTACAAAGAAGAAGTATGAGAGCAGAGCAACCATCTTGACTCCCACCACGGATGATCTTACGTTTCCAGACCTTGGCACCCAACAGCATTGTGCTACCGAGTTGATTGTACGATTGAATGACCGTATTATAGAAAATATGAATACTATCGGATATGAGAATCGTATTAAGGTGGGGGTTCTTACTCGACGGAATTGTCTAGATTGTGGGAATGTGTGGACGCAAGCCGAAGAATACCCGAGTCTCCAATTGCACAAACCGCTCAAGGTGAGCCTTCTAATTCCTTTCTTCTTATTCTCTTCCTCCTTCCTCTTCTTCTAACATATTAGTTATAGAGACTGCAAGCGACATTAGACGAAACTCTCGAATGGCATCAACGAATAGAATACTGGTTAAGCGGTAGATGCAACAGATGCAGAGCTCTTGAAATTAGAAAGATACTACGTCGTGCTCTTAGGAACTCGACCAGGGACCGTACATCTGCTGCAAATGTGAAGATCATCCGGAACCGTATCCAACTCCTCGAGCAGTCTCTTCGGAACCATACATACAACAACTTGACAAATACCCAAGAAATACGTCTAGGGTTGGCTAGAATAGCGCCATACCCCGTAAGACCTACAAAAACCGCAGATATGACGGACACATTCTTCAAAGGTCTCAAAGATACTTACGATAAGGAAATCATCAGGAGGACAATCAATTACGATTCGGATTGGTCCCAAACACAGGCGATAACCGATCTACCTGAAATCCTTATAGTTGAATTCGTCAACGTTCCAGGATATGACGCCCGAGGACGACCTACCAAATTAAAATCCCGTGTCACATTCGACCCATCTATGGACTTCACCAACTACGTGGCCGGACCAAACCGTAACATACATATGGGAAATTTCAACCTACCCATCAGGATGTTGGGCGATGCTGCGAATCCCGCGGTTCCGACGTATGAATTACGAGCTATGTTGGTCCATCAGGGTACTGATTTTGTAGCCGGACATTGGTATTGTTACCGTCGTGAATGGAAGGATCCGGTGAACCCTGTGGGTGAACAGTGGTGGCTTTGTGACGAGGCGAATACATTAAGAGTCGGTAAGCAAGATTTGTTTGGTGGGAATAGGGAAGACCCGAGGACGCCTCGACCTGGACAGCTGTATGCGCTGATATACGAAGCAGTGCCACCCGGGGGAACTGTTCCAGGAAAGGGTGGAGATGAGAGCAATATTACACTGTGGAAAGAAGCAAAATAACGTACGGGTCTGGAAGTAATATACATACTACATACTTAAGTACATAGTACTAAAACTAGACTAGCTATAGGATAGACTAGTAATATAATCCTGATCGATATCATGAAGTTGGTGATATATAAATGTGTTGAGTTGTGTGTTGTCTATTGTTGCAGTGACGCACAGGCTAATTACAGCTCTCAGCCCAGCCTGGTCTCGTTCTGGTATGATGCTTGATACTTGCTTGAATGCGAGCACCATAAGGAACCACCAACCACCATTAATCACCAATCACCAATCATCACCCCCTTCGAATTCCACCATTCCCACCAGCCATCACCATCAACCGGACCTCAGCGGGGCTCTACACAGTTTGACTCTTCTCTAATCGCCGTCGATTGCAATTACCCACAAAGCCTGACCCCTGCTTACTCACCATATCCATCTATCCTGGCACAGAGCTAGCTGGCCAGGATATAAGTACTGACTTACCTACCGTTCGACCACGGCTGGTGTTCTATATATATACACCTGGCATACGGTACATAAGTAGTACTTACATACATACCTACATACGAGCGCTGCTGACCTCTCTGGTTGCGGATTGCCTCGGATTGCTAGAATTTTCGAATTCTCTTCCTCTTGTCCACATTTGTATACTTCCCATATACTACATGTATCTCCTTACCTAGTGTACCTACCTGAGTACATACTACTTACATTTTGGGCCCAATCAGCTTTGTCAGCTCTATACAGGAACCTGGGGCAATCAAGCGAGCGAGCGAACACGAAAGTACGCAAGCGACTTTGTCTGACTGACCTTGCCTGAACATAGTGAAACAGCTACTTCAGGTAGCAATTAATCAAGTGCGGACCCAAACCCCCCCAAAAAGGCTTATTCCCACCGACCAGACCCTTCATACCTTCGTCCTTGTCTTCATAGTCCCTGTTGTTATCTCATCTCCCCTAACTTCACCAATAATTATCTAAGAAATACACTGCTGGGGGAGTCCCATCAACTATTTTCAAAGCTGGCGAGCAAACGTCTTTCGTTCGGCCTTTCTAGGCTGCTAGGCGGATCCAACACCACTGCAGCACAATCCTCTTCCTCTGACCCGCCTACTCCCTCGAAAGACCCCAACGGCTCCTCAAAACCATCCACTCCTACCTCTCCGGCACACCAGGAAAAAAAGTCGCGAAGAATATCCACCGCTACAGTATCTTCGTTCATGGCATCTGCCAAAAGTACCTTGTCGCACGCCGCGGGGCTGGAAGACAAGTCGAAACGATCCTTCAACGTCATACACCCTCCACCGAGTCCCACGAGGACGCCCGGCGGTTCTGTCGCTCCCTATGAGACCGAAAACAATAATGCCGCCGGAAATTCGCGTCCTTTACCCCAAAACACATTTCGTGTAGGCGTGTCGGAAGATAAGAACAGGCGCTGCAGGCGGACAATGGAAGACACCCATTCCTATCTCTACAACTTCCTGCCCCCTGCCCCGCCGGCTTGCATGCTGAACTCGAATTTGTGTTCGGATACCGATAAGACTGCCATATATTCCAGCCTAGACGAAAATGCTGCTGGTGAATCGGACAATGGATATTTCGCAGTTTTCGACGGCCACGCCGGGACTTTCGCAGCGGATTGGTGCGGGAAGAAGTTACACCACTTGCTCGAGGACAGTATTCGGAGGAATAAGGACAACAAGTCGATGCCTGAGTTGCTGGATCAAACCTTTATGAATGTGGATAAGGAGCTGAAGGACCTTCCCGTTAAGAACAGTGGCTGCACGGCTGTTTGCGCCGTCCTGAAGTGGGAAGACCGAACTGTCGACTCAGGTTCGGACTCTGCAGGAGACCAATCCCCAAGCTCGAAGAAGCACCCTGCTGAGAAGAAACCCACAAAACGTGTTCGAATGCTGTATACTGCCAATGTTGGAGATGCAAGAATTGTTTTGTGTCGCTCGGGCAAGGCTCTGCGACTTAGCTACGACCACAAGGGTAGTGATGAAAATGAGGGCAAGAGAGTAGCGAATGCCGGCGGCCTTATTCTCAATAATCGAGTGAATGGTAAGCCATCTCCTTTTGAGATATCTTAATTTGAATTTTTTTAAAGGCAGCGACTAACCAAGCTATGAAGGGGTTCTCGCTGTCACAAGAGCATTAGGGGACTCATACATCAAAGAGCTGGTGACTGGCCACCCATATACCACCGAAACTGTCATTCAGCCTGATCTCGACGAGTTCATTATCCTAGCATGCGATGGGGTAAGTAATCTACGACCTCCTAAAACCCACCTAAACGACATTGCAAGCTAATTTCTTCTTCAGTTATGGGATGTCTGCTCAGACCAAGAAGCCGTCGACCTCATCCGAACCGTCCAGGACCCTCAGGACGCCTCTAAAGCACTCGTTGATCACGCCCTTGCTAGGTTCTCGACTGACAATTTGAGTTGCATGATCGTTCGGTTCGAGAAGCCCAAGGAGCTTAACACTGTTGCTGGCGTTGGTCTCGGGATTCTCCCAGAGAAGAACGCATCTGAGAGCGCCCTCGTTGACGAGGATGTCGTTATGGACGATGCTGCCGAGAAGAAGGCGACTCCACCAAAGACCGAGGAGGCGAAGTGAGCCAAAGAATTGTGCATCTTGTCTTTTTGTTTTCTGCCTTTGCTGTCTTTCCACCTTTGTACATCTTGACATGCAGACCTCCCTGTATTCTGAAAGAAAATCCTCTTTGGCGACGAATAAAATCCCTACCTCGTTCCTATTGTTCCTTATTCTTTTTTTTCTTTTTTTCTTTTTTTCTTTTTGGTTTCTTCGCTCCCCTCTTCGTTCGTTCCTATCGCTCTCGTTTTGCAAAAAAGAACATTGTTAACGGCGCTTCCGGTGGCATTCTTTGCGGTCTCTTCCCTCTTTCTTTCCTTCTTTCTTTTTATTTTGTGTTTTTCTCCCCATTCTCGATATGCTTTGGATGCTTCATGGGATTTCCGGCCTATGTCTCTTTTTTGTTGGATGCTTTCTGATGTTCTATGGTATTTCGAGAGTTCCTCCCTATAGTCTGTCGATATGTGTATCCTGGTGGAAGTCCTCCATGGGCGAGTGCAGTGGTGGACTAGAATTTGTAAACTACTTATATATGTTTTAAGACGGGCTGAATTACATCCTGTAAGACCGTTCAAGGAACCTAACTTTCAACCCTTCATGGAAACCCGAGACTTATGTATATCTGCAGCTCACCGGCAACTGCATCAAGGTCAATATACCTAATACCTCCGGACTACCATCAATTGACACTTGATCATGATACCTTTCAGGATGAAAAGAAAAGAAAAGAGGCCTGTCATATATGCATACCCAAATAAACGCCACCCCATGTATGTACCCAACATGGATTTCGTATCGTACAAAAAAAACAATATATACAAACCCCCTTCGCTTCCCAACTGTCCCTCCCTCCTTCTCTCAGCACCTCCTCTCCCATATAAGCTGTGTACAAAGTACATATCCACGAACCCCCAAAATCATTGAAACCATTCAGCATCCCCTTTAACCCGACTAATATCCTCCAATTTCCCTTTGCCCATCTTAACCACCGAGAACTTAATCATTCGGGGATCGACACCCAACGTATCCCTCACAATCTTCTGTGTAGCTGGATCGCAATCAAAACGCATGAGGAAGTAATGACCCTGGGTATGTGTCGCTTGATGTTTTCGAGTCTTCTTGGGGAGGAAGGTTGTATCCCAGTTGTTGATGCCTCGGACGATACCGCCGTTGGTTAGGACTTGCATGCCGACGGTTTTGATGACTCTGTGGGCACTATATGTTAGAAGGTTGCTTTTTTTTCCCTCTTTCTTTCTATTTTTTAGACTAGTATGGTGATGGTGGTGGTGGTGGCTAACTCTTTGATTTCCATCAGGCTGCCTGGACGGACCTGGTGATATATGTATATGTTAGTATTGTATTATCCTGGGATTTATAGGAAGGAGTATGTAGACTTACAGCTCCCAGAAGCTCGTACAACATGATTGCTAGATCCCTTTCTTCTCTGTCTCTCTCTCTCTCTACCTTGAAATCTAGATTCGTGTATCTCAAAAGTGTCGAAGGTGGGGGGGGGGAATCCAGGTATTCCAAAGAAAACCCAAAAAAGAGACTGTTGACAGACTATTGAAGGCTTGATGTTACAGAAAGAACGAAGAAGTAGAGAAGAAAAAAAGAAAATATTCCATCAAGATTTCCGATAAGATAAACTTCAACCAAACAAACCAACGGCATTTTAATAGGAAAGAAAAAAACAACACCAAAATTTCCACAAAAGGGTTGGAACTTTTTTTCCTTTTGTTGAACACGGAAACCCGACTTCACCCCGCCAAACCTCTCTCTCTCTCTTTCTCTCTATTTCAATTGGAACTTTGAAATATACTCCGACGTCACAGCAGATATCTTCAAAAAAAAATTGTAAAGGGAATAAGGGGAAAAAGGATATTTAAATAAACAATGGCGTCAACACTCCGTATTGTCTCGCGAGCTCTCCCGAGAGCTTCGGGTACACTGTGCAGAGCTACCTCTGCTGCTCCCGTCAGGGTCCTCGGTACTCCGTTAAGCCGTAGACACCTTTCGGGAACTGCTGCACGATTCGAAAGTATGATACCTCCTTTCCTCTCTCTATCCATATCTCTATCTCTCTACCTATCTTATTTACTTTTCACGAAAACAAAAATAAACAATCCATATCCATACTAACTAACCTCATAACAACTCCAGTCGTCAAACGTTACACCGAAGACCACGAATGGATCTCCTACGACACAGAGACCGGCGTCGGCACCATCGGAATCACAAACTACGCCCAAGAGAAACTCGGCGAAGTAGTCTTCATCGAATTGCCGGAGGTCGATTCCACCGTCGAAGCCGATGATTCGATAGGTGCCGTCGAGAGTGTCAAATCCGCTTCGGATATCATGTCCCCCGTTACCGGCGAGGTCATAGAAGTCAATGATGCTTTGAGCGAGAAGCCCAAGTTGATCAATGAGGATCCCGAAGGTGGGGATGGCTGGATTGTTAAGATTAATGTCGCTGAGGAAGAGGTTGAACGGTTGCAGGAGGAGTTGATGGATGAAGCTGCGTATGAACGGTTTACTCAGGAGTAAATAGGGTAGATGCGCTCAAGGGCGGCGGTTATGATGGGTATGGAAGTGGAGATGGAGATGGTAATAATTAACTGGTACTATTTAGCTAGGGACCCTCTATTGAGAAGAGAGGGAAGGAAAGAAGGAAGGAAGGAAATACAAGAACAATGGCGTCGTCGCCGTCCACGAAGAGCCTAATTCTTCGTTCTGCTTTTTTTTTTTTTTAATTATCATTATTGTTCTTTTGGTCTGTTTTGTACTATAGGTTTTAACAGCTACGACGGTTTATATACATGGAACGAAATATAACGGATTCAACACCAGATATGATGCGATATCTTTTTTTTTTCTTTCTATATTTACTACTACATATACAGTGCGAACAGGCCAGGGACTCGATTCGAAGATGGAAGTTATCGAATGTCAATGGATGTTGATACGATACATATGCATACACATACATGGCATAGAGTTCTTTTCGGAAACACTCCGAGGTTACCCGTTTCACCAAAATATACAACAAGTGCCGTCGGCAGCAAAATGTGTTACTTTCTAAAAAAAAAAAAAAACCATTTTACAGCCCCCAGTGGTCTGGCAAGCGTTCCTCAAATTAATTTTCGTGAGAAATTCATTTCTAAACATTTGGTAAGAACCAGCTGTCCGAGTCTATAACAAAACTATGAAACAAGTAATGAAAGTCGAGTGAGTGTAGAGAAGAAGAAGAAGAAGAAGAAGAGAGTTGACGCTTTTGAAAGACATAACCCACACCCTCCAACTGCTCTAACCTCGAGAATCATACCAATTGATACACCACCTCATAACCTGCTTCCCGGCTCCGTCGAGCATATTTTTATACGCAGGATTTGTAGCCTGTGTAAACATATACATATGCGCATTGACCTCATCGGTCGCTTTATCATTCAGCTGAGGGAACCACCAGGTCCTCAAATCCCGATTTCCAACATCGATATCCGCCGCTCCTCTATTATCGGATGAAGCCGCTGCGCTCCCCGCAGGAGGAGAGGCCTTGTCCTTCGATGAAGACGGCGAGGTAGGTGTCGACGTAGATCCAGACCTTGGTTTTGGTGGAAGAGAGCAGAAGGTTCGGAGACCTCCACCTCCTACTTCAACCGTCTTCCCCTGGGTGTTAGATACAGACTTCGCACCTTTACCCAATACAGTGTAGAAATTGGCAATTCCTATGCCGGGGACGGAAGAAGCCCTCATAACCCTTGTCTTCAACTCTTCGGAAGTGAATAATGCGCCTACGAATTCCAAGTGCGACGTAACCCAGCTGAATCCTTGTGTGATATTGGACCTGTTCATGTAAACTGCGGTACCAGCGCCCGCAGTAACGGTAGTCGCAGCTGCTGCTGCCAGTGCCAACTTCCCCCAGCCCCATCCGCCACCTGATGAAGCTGCTTCTCCAGCGGCAGGGAGAGCAGCAGCTTGAGCGCCTGACGAAGAAGTGGCCACCGATGCGGCGGGCGCTGCTTCTTGAGACCCGAAGAAACCGAGGGTCTTCGCAATGCTCGAAACTGTCGTGAAGGCATCCGATGCTGCACGAAAGTTATTCTCTGCACTGTTGGCGAACATACTCGGTGAAAGTCCCTAATATGACAATCCAACGATATCATTACTAAAACAAAATTCACTTTTTTTTCTTCACTTTACTCATCATGAGTTTTAGGTAGAAGAAAGGATTTACCAGATACGGAGTATCGAAGGCACAAATGCCGACGATGGCAGGGAACATCATCCGTTCATCGTTCAGCACATCTTGTCGTTTCCCGCTCGAGGACGAGGCCTTCGAGGATGACGCCTTCGAGGACGACGCCTTGGACGACGAGTCCCTTCTTTTCCTCGGATCTAGGCTGCTCGACCTCGACGAAGGCGACGACGAAGACGGAGATGTTGGTTTTTTCTTTATGGGTTCGTCATCCAGGATCGAAAGCAGCGTGTCAGCAGCTACGATCCCGCCCATGGAGTGGGCCAGTAGCACCACCCGTACCGAGGGATCAATCAGCGACCGGTTGCCATTGAGATCTTCGGTGTCGAGAACGAGATCTTGGAGCCTACGGATCTCGACGTTCGAGTTAACATTCCAAATACGTCAATTGGACAAAAAAAGGATACAAGTTCCAGTTGAGGTAAGCTCCAAGGTAGCAACAGGAACTCGTTCGAGATCCGGGCAAAAGCGAAATCCTTTTTTTAAACCTAGACCTGGAAGCATTTTCCCTTGACGAAGTGGCCGCAATAAGGCACAGCTTGTTGGAGTGACAAAAAAAAAGCCATGGCTTATTTGCAACAAGAAGTTGGTTCTAATCATTTATTCTTGGATATCACACCCTTGGAGGAATAATCCCATTCGCTGCCTGGTTCGTCATCACACACACAGACATCCACTGCGTAGAGAGAAAATAGCAGCAACATGCACAGGATAGCGAGAGAATTAAACGACGACAAATGCGTATACATCAAGGGAAGAAGGGGGGGGAGGGGGGGGATCCAATAGGCGAGAGGGCGAAGGAGAGGGACTCCATACCATTCACGAAAACACTTCACAGCCGCAGGCAGATTTCCTCTGGTTTCGTATCTCGGGTACACGACAGATTTCACGCCGATATTCGGAAGAAACTTTTGTAATGTCTGCTGTAGATGCTGTTACATCCCGACATCCGAGGAAATGTGAAAAAAATCACCCCTTAGCCACGAGTTCAGAGAGAGAGAGAAAAATAAAATAAAATAACTTCATTTTCGATATTTGACCTTCATATCTGCACCCTGAAGATGGGGTCTATGTAGGGGTATAGATCCACCTCGAAGGTGAGAAAACGAGGGACGTGCAAGGGGTGCATTTGAATTCTCGGCAGAAATACCTCAGGAAAGAGACCGAAAGTATCATCGCCGCCCTAATCCGATGAGGAGAAATAAGTAACTTTTTTAGTCCAAATGTTCAACTTGATAACCAAGACACTAATCTAGGCATCTTATGGAGAAAGAGAAGAAAAAATAAAAAAGGGAGGGCAAAAATGCAGCAGGCAACAACGAGTTAACGAGTTAACGAGAGTGAAAGTTATAATCCATATGCATGGGAACAATCAGAATTGGCCGCCGAAAGAAAGGTTGGTTGTGTGGGGTACCTTATCCCTCCAGGGGTGGTGTCGTGCCCGAGTTCAATTGAGGCGGCTGATGTCAACTAACCTTGAAGCCATGGATGAAAACTAATAGTAACGTCCGTTTCCGTGCCATCAAAGCGGTCTTGGGAGAAGAAAAGAATGTGGAAGCTGTAATTCTCGAACTTGTTAAGTGGTGGTTAGTATAAAAAAGAAACGCCCGATGGTGAGAAACCCTGGTTGGTGGTGATATCGATGGTGGAACAGGTTTGAATTCAAGATTAACTGAGCTCGGTTTGGAGAAGTTTTTGGGAATCAGTCCGTTGAGTTTGGTATTCAATTGAGTTACTAATAAGCTAACGTCGACGAAGTACAAGTCCGTCCGGTGCCACCACGACAAACCTCCACGACAGACCCCCAGATTGGCTGCTCTTTGTTTCCTCTAGTTATTTCTTTCTTTCTTTTTCTTGTCACCTATCACCTATCACCTTCCTTCGTGGCTATTGACTACTTTGGTAAAGTTACTTCGGAGACACGCAAGAGCTATATCGCCTCGAATAGCATTATAATGTTAACGTTGAGTTGGTCGAGTTAGTTGATATGTAGGTACCTGCTCACCAAGAAAAAAAAAAAAAAAAAAAAAAAAAAAAAGACTCGAGAGCGGGGCAAAGTGGTGACGATTATCATATCATGCGCCATTACTTGTCAACAGAGGTTGGAAATTCACCCGCGATCCAGCACCTTCCAACGGGAATTGCCTAAGATTGGCTAAAACCAGCGCGTGTCCGGTCGAGTTGTCGACGTGTGTGTGTGTGTGTCTACTATGTAAGTATAATGGATGGATGTGTGTGGAGGTCTGTATTGGACTAATATTAACGTTAACAGGTTATTGTACCCAAAAACGGACGAAGCTTGCCTTCTTCACGAAGGTTCTTGTTGCATGCAAGGACTCAACTGATCCTGTCTGCTGCGAGCATCAAACTGGTACCGCACTGGATGTATGGATGTACAGTTACCCTGTCTATGGCCGTATGATCTGTCAAGATCTCGACGAACGGAGAGAAAGAAAGAGGGACCGGGGGGCTAGGCTAACAATAACCCTGTAAACGTCTAACGTCTGCGTCTTCGAATCCTCGGTCTTCTCAGCTTTTGCCGATCTTGCAGCACCAAAGTGGACCTCTTTCTTTGGAGGGATGATGGTTGTTAGTGATCAGATGTCTACCCTGTTCGTCTATGCATGTCGTCGGCGGGCCATTTACCTTCGGAAGCTGCGATGGTTTTTTTTTAGTCCCGCAGCGGCCGCGGGTCACCACAAAGTTCTAGTGACATGATTCATACTCACAGAGGCAATGGGATGCGGTATGTTTAAAGGATTTATTCGTATAGGTTCGTATGCGGGCAAAAAAGTTAAGATACTGTTGACAGTACATACATTCGTACATACATACATAACAGGCCTGGATGGTGGCTGCGGACTGTAAAAAGTAAGCCTGCCCGCCACGAATTGTCTTGTCCTGACATCCTGCAGCTTCCATGTCTTCCGAGATGTAGGTATGATTTGAGACATTCGAAACTCTGATAGGATAGACGAAAAGGGCCTGACCAGGTGACCTTGGCTTCCGAGGAGGCCAAAGATTAAATTTTTTTTTTTTTTTGAAGGTTCGATATCAAAAAGACTTCAAAGCTGCTAAGATACTAGTAAGTAGCTAGGGGTCTTAGAGCTCGAGCTATGCAGCAGCTGCAGACTTTGCTCATCTGCATATGGTAATATTATATGGAATACCGGCGATCCATTATCAAATCAAAAGTTTTTCCCTTTCCGCCGAGTTCGAGACCAGCCTCATGGAGAGAACTACCATTGCAGGAAAGGCGAAGCTTGGTGAACCGAGTAAACCATCTGCTATCGAAAAGATGGGGGTTTGTGCAATAGATGACGTTGAAGTGCCACCTAAAAAAACCCTGTCCTCTGATTCGTCCGGGCTCATCCATCCTCCTCAACGATCTCACGGGAATTTGCGGTTACTCCATGTAAAATACATATTTGTCTCTTATGACATCGATGCATGCTTATACATACATACACCACTGGGGCCTTTGTTTCTCTTAGAAAATGCTTGCTTAGTTCGATGACTTTCAGTTAACCGTTCCGACGACCCCCATCCTTGAAATTTTTAATTGTGGATCGCGATCGATCATCTCGGTCAAGTACGACAATATTGCAATTAGGACCCAACATGTCGCAGAAGCTACGAGACCGCCACGACATTAATTCGACACCTAAAATGTATGTTAGTATAGTATGTACGATATATGTACGTACTGACTTACATACATACATACATACATACATACATACATACATACATGAGTACATAGGTAACTGTTTGCATTTGCAAGCCATCGTCAAAATCACAATGGTCCAGATCACGAGCTAGCTAGCTCCGAGTGGATATTTTGAAGATGAAGCTAAGCAATTACCCAGACAAGGTTCCACGATTCGAATGTGATATCGAAAGCTAAAGGTGAGGCAAAAACCGAAGAGGACCATGCAACATTTGAAGAACCAAGATAACGCATAGGACTCGTGCATAAAAGAAACCTAAAAAGGTCGGTCGGAAAAAGGAATATTGATTAAAGCCGCGGATTTCATATCGCTCGCGAGGGGGAGAAGAAAAGAAAAAACCTCCCATGATCATGATCGTATGTAATGTCAGTACTCCGTAATACGAAAACCGCTTCATCATAGACAAAAAATCATCAAGTTGGAAACCACAATAGCCAAATATGGCATGTCAGCGGCTAGGAAACACTCAGAGGGATCGGCTATTGTGGAGATTGGAGCAGAGCAAATAGCTTGAAAGGATATGCTGTGCATGGCATGGCCTGGAATGAATGAAAATGAACTCCGGCAAATGGATCCTACCTAATCCATCCATCCATCCTAAGACTTCCTACGGTCCCAAGACACCGACGGCCAACCCACCATCCGTGGCCATGGGATGCTCCGCGTTGCAAATTCAGTATGGAAATGTGGGGACCTTGTTCGAAGGAGGGGCGTAAGGGTGGTGAGCCAGTTATGAGGGTTGGCTGAACTAGCATGAACCGTCCAGGCTGCTTTCCTCGTTAAAACGCCCACACCTACTGCGCAAGTGCAGATAGAACAGACAAACCTACATGCTCTGTGCTATTATACGTTTATCCTTGCCTGCCTCGCCTGGTTATGCAACTGGGTTCACCGCACTTAATCAGATACGTCTGGCAATTTATCATCGACATTAGCATGGCCCGTGGCTGGGCATTTGTTCCCATGTAAGTATCGCGGCCCCTCCTTTCCCACCTCTTTCCGAGCATGGAAAAGTCATTTGAGAGGGCCAAAACCCAGATCCTAAGCATGATGCACGAGTAGCACAGCTAATTATCTTAGCACTTTACGCGTTCCGGGAAGGCAAAGGAGCCAGAAGAAAAAATAAAAATAAAAAAATTAAAAGTGGATCTCAATCGATTTTTTTTGTTCACCTCCACATGACAATCAAAAGCTTGAAGAGGCCACGAACAGACTAGTGGCAAAGGTCCTGCGATATATGCAAAATACAATAATTAGATCGTAGGCAGGCGGCATCTTGGGGTTTTGACACATCAAAGCACACATGAACGAGAGTTTCGGAAGCTGGAGGAAATGCCGGCTGGATGATCTGTTTTTCGATGTTGAGTGGACGTACATACCTGGGGCCTTGCATCTCCTCCGTTTTGCATTGCGACATCTGATTCTGAACCGATGTTGCTTGGAAATCCGGCAAGCTTGGAGGCGGGGGGTTGGATATATGCATTTGAAGAAGGAGCTTTGAGGGAGCGGGTATCCATCTAACGACGATACTGAATTCCTATTACTCGCCGACTGGTTACAAGCCAGATGATAGCAGGACTCCAAAGGAAGATCGCTTAACTTGTCCGCATTCGAATACCTTTTCGGAGTTCGTTTCTTCAAGGATGCACTTGCTCGCGACATACTACGGTAAGACTTTTTTATTTTATT